CATCTCTTTAAGAACTTGCCACAATTTGTTGTGATCCACACAATCAAAAGCTTTAGCATAGTCAATGAAGCAGAAGTAGATGTTTTTCTGGAACTCCCTAGCTTTCTCCATGATCCAGCGTATGTTGGCAATTTGATCTCTAGTTCCTCTGCCTCTTCGAAATCCTGCCTGTACTTCTGGTAGTTCTCGATCCAAAGTCCCTTCCAACTCTGTTGTTCTGTTCTGTTAAATGACTTCACAATGAATCACCAAGATCATTGCTATCAAAATCTAAGTACAAATAATTTTCCTTGGCATGTCTGGCTATGTGGCAGAGGTTCACAGCCTGAGGCCCTTGGACAATATGCAGTCTTCCAGCCAAACGTGGTGTTGAATTTTAACAATGTGTCAAAACTATAGAAATATATATACAAATAATAATAAAAATTAATAATGGTAACACTATATTGAATCAAATTTAGTTTTTGATCTGACCATGACTATTTCTTGGCTCTGGAACTACCACTTTTTGGAAATTCCCCTGGCATACCACTCAAAGACTTAAAATGTGGAATGCTTCACTCTAAAATGCAGTCAATATAGTAAAAAGTAAATACAGTAAAAAAAAAATTAGTTGAATGAAACACTGTTTCCTCTTCCTATAAAATCTCTAGAAAATTTTAAATCATGTCTCCCATCTTACAGTTTCAAACATGTACCGTAATTTCATGCCTTTCTGAGTTTTCCTTATCTCATTATATTGCACATTACAGCACAATTCTCATAGTTTCCTTGAAGAACCACGCTAAATTGGAAATATTTTGTGGCTAATATTATTTTCAGCTAACATTAGTGATTGATTATTAAAAACGTTGAAAGTCTTTTTTGGTATCTTTGCTCTAGTAATTTTTGTAAAAGGTACATCTATTTTCCCTGCTATATTCCACACTGCATATTTTGTTATATAAATCATATTTGTATTAAGATATTAATATAAACTGGGGAAACCATATCATTACCACATACTCACCTCTTGTTTATTTCACTTAATGATGAAAGGAAAATTGCAAGCCTCAGTAAATGCAGTAAAAGAGCTCATAAAATTGATGGTGGTCACCTAGTGCTTCATAGGAACAATTAATTAAATTAGAACAATTATCAGTAGAACAACTTGCTTCCACTGGAAGTTTTAAAGAAGAGACTGGACCGCCATTTGTCTGAAATGGTAGAGGGTCTCCTGCCAGAGCAGGGGTTTGGACTAGAAGACCTCCAAGGTCCCTTCCAACTCTGTTGTTCTGCTAGTACAGATATGACAGGACACACAGCTGAATAACAATAATTGCACCACTTTAACAGCAAATTTCCTGGTCCCTGTTGTGGTCGTGAGTGAGAACTAGCTGTAGCACAAAAATAAAATGTAATAGCAAATGCCCAAGCTGGGATGGCAATAATCTCCCAGCAACGTGAGAATCCTTGTTTTCCTTTTCCACTCCAGGTGACCTTATGCTCAAACACAGTGAAGACCTATGAAACTGCCCTGGTAGTGGATGTCAAGGGTAGTGGTGAGGATGTGCTGGCCCTCCCAATTTCAGCAAGGTACTGTTTATTTCATTTCTGCAATGCTGTGGCTTCTGTGGTGACTCCAGTCTTTGTATCCATTCTAAACAAGATAACATGGAAGGGTCAGTGAATAAGTTGTCAGCGTTTTAGTCCAATTAAATAGAACATCATTCTTAAACGTGATAATTAGAACTGTAAGTATAATAATTTGATTGTATATTCACAGGACTTTTCAATTGTGGCACAAGGATTAAGATAATGAATTTTGATTGATTACATACCATCAAGTGATTGTTGACTATTAGTGATTACATAGATGTAGTTTTTCCAGGAGGGTCTGTCCCTAATCAAGTCTTTCAGATCTTCCAATGGTGCTAATCAAGGAGAGAACCAACCTAGAACTAAGGAGAAATTTCCTGACAGAAGAATTTAATCAGTGGATTGGCTTACCTCCAGAAGTTGTGGGTGCTCCAACTCTGGAGGTTTGTAAGAAGAGATTGGACAATCATTTGTCCAGAATAATAGAGAGTCTCCTGTCTGAGCAGGAGGTTGGACTGGAAGATCTCCAAGGTCCCTTTCAACCCTTTTATTCTATTCTGTTCTTCTGTGCACTCATCACTGCTGTAACGTATTCCCCTGTACTGCAGGTCATCCTCCTTTTCTCTTTTCTTCCTCCTTTCCCAGCCTTAGAACCTTGTCCAGAGTGCTGGGCCTTCACACAATGTACCTGAAGTAGGATAGCCATTTGTGCCTTGAGTGAGGTCTCTGGTTTGATTTGTTCAGCTCTGTTTATTTGTTTGTGTAAGGTCCTGCCTCAGCTATCTTCTCAGGAAAGCATGACTCTTGAAACAAGCATTATTTCAAAAGGAATGTTTACTGAAAGAATGTGATTGTAGCGAAGCCAGGTGGAATCTGAAGTTCCCACGTGAATTGTTAAGCTAATGCCCGCTTGTTCAAACCCTACCCCAATGCTCCAGTCCATCAGGAGCCAATATGCTGGCATGAAGGTGTTGTGAGAACTCTGAGACGAGAAGGTGATAACAAGTTGTTCCTTGGCAACGCGACCTGGGTAACAGGCGGGAGCTGGGGGAGTAGCCGGAAAGGAGTTCATCCAGATGGCCCATTCCCCCCTCCCTAATTCCCATAGAGATACTTGAAAGTGAAAGCATCAAAGGCTTCAATCCCCAAGTAATCTTCCCCCTCCCCTCAAAATGGCAGCGTTCCAACAGGGACCTGACGGTTTGTTTCCTTGGCTATCCATGATATTCTCAGGAGTCTTCTCCAAGCCCAAGTTCAAGGGCATCCATACTCTTCCTATCCCACTTCTTCAAAGTACAACTTTCACTTCCAGAGTGTCACAGGGAATATCACGGCTTTCATGTTCCTGATCTTTGTAGGTGTAGACATATCATATCATTTGAATACCTTTTCCTAGGCCTTCGTGGCTTTTGAACCAAGTGCTAGTCTGCAGCATATTCCTTGATTGCTTATCTTTTACAGTTGAAGATGGATGATTGTAGGTTTACAGAATCTCCTTTGGTGATACTCACTTGCCTGAACCTGTGGGTTAAGCAGCAGCTAGCTTCACTTTGTTCTCTTTGTCTGGAGATTGCTAAGACATTTTGAAATCTGGTTGAGAAATAGCAAAGGGAATGCTAGAGAAGCCATAACATAAACAAGGCAGGTCAGATGGTGTTCTCAAGGCCTTGAGCCTGAGGAAAGTGACAAAGTGTTGCAAACATGCTTGACATACCTCTAACTGGGATTTCCAGATCCAAGTCCAATTTTCTGTGCAACATGGCCTTCACACCTCAAAAAACTGAACTACCAGGAAAATATGAAGGCCCACCCTCTCTTGAGACTTAGGATCAAGCGTGGCTCTGCTTCCAGCAGCTTCACTTTTAATGTGCTATGTGCAGTTTTAGAAACCCGCATCTTCAGATACCTAATAACAAGCTGATGAGACTTTTCCAGAATTATAAATGTGTTATTCTCTACATCTTCATTGTAGTTTAGAAATTTAAAAAATTTTTTTTATTGATTTCTTTTTCTGATTAACTAGATGTCTCTCACTTCCACTACATGTGGCTAGCCCCACTGTGAATTTTGGACGTTGTTTCCTGAAATTTCAGTATCAACAAATGGCAAAACTTGTTAATGAAGCTGACCTTCCAGGGTGCTATGGTGTTCTTCCCCAGGTTTGTTTGCATTTTGACTTCCCTATTTCCTGTTTGAATGTCCTGCTGCTTCTAAAGTGAGCTTTTCATTCACATTGATAGTCTTGTACAGGAGGAAGAAACTGGCAGCACCTGTAGGGGCAAGGTGGATTTAATAATGTGCCTATAGAAAAGAGGAAAGAAATGTTTCAGCCCAGTTATGATCATTTCTTGAACTCTACTCTTGTTTAGATTTTATTTAAGGATGTTTGGATAAGTTGTTGCTCTATTGCTCTTATGCTGTTGAAAATAACTGCTAAAAAGTTTGCTGAAATAAATTTTCAAAGCTCTATCATGAACAATAAAATAAATAAACAAAAGACATGGATTTTATTGGAACAGATGGTGACAACATAGAAACAGAAAGACTTCAGGCAGGTAATTCTTAGTGCTTTTATCTCCACCTAGGAATATAAGAACTCTCCCACCATTTTGTATTCAAGTCCAGCACCTTGTGGTATTATTCCACCGCATGCCACAGTTGAAATCCCATTAGCTTTGGAAGTCGAGGAAAAAGGTCACCAGGAAACAGTGGCCTACATAGCTATCTTTGGGAACGAGGACATTCCCCTGGTGAGTGGATTGAATGAGCAGGAATAAAGAGGGCTTTCTTACACCTTATATTGCCTGCAATAAGTTCCTCTGCTGCAGAAGGACAGGAAAAGATTGTAATCCATTGGTAATGATAAGGTCATTGGTTTGCTTTATGTGGGAAGATACGCTAGAGAAGGAGAAAGAGGTAGATCATTTATTCAAGTGGATCCTAGGACCTGCCATTCTGGTATTTGACAATAGAATGAAGAATGGTTGAAAATGGCATTCCAGATGATCGATAGTAAAATGATTGTCAAGCTCGAAGAAGCTTCATGCTATTTCAGCCATTTCTGTTTCTCGGCTTGCCTACAGACCCAGGGGGTAATAATGGAATGTGCATTTGCAACTGTGGAACTGTTAAGCCTGAGAAGCAAGGTCATCCAAGATTTTGTTTTGAGAACTGAAGATAATAATTGTCTGAAGCTTAATTGGGTAATGTGACCTGCACTGTCAGAGGAGAAGAGAGTTCCCATACTTTTAATATACTGATTTGGCGCCAATTTAGCCAGAGCTGGTTTTCTATTCATCAGTGCCGATATGGTGTGCTCAATAAAGTTTTGCATTAGAGATTGGAATGTCTCAGCTGTGCTTACTTTGTTGGATCATCAGTCAGAACCTTGACAATGATACTATGTGTGTGTGTGTGCCAATGATTTGGGAATGGTTAAAAAATTCCATATGTAAGTGGGTAGATCTGACTCTAGAATATAGATCTAGCAAAAATCCCTTTTAAAACTTTACAGTTAAATACTTACTGTATTTCTAATTTATTCTGGAAATTTGAATACTGTGTAATTGGGAATGTGCACTGCATCATTCACTTGAGAAACAAAAGTTTTTCATAAGATTTTACTCTGTTCAAGATAGTGAAGTACTTAATATGTACAGAACAAAGATTCTAAGAATGTTTATGTCTCCCAAGGTTTCAGAAAGGAGGCTGAAAAGCAAGCCTCCTCAGGTACAATAATGTTTGTAGCAGTAAAAGGGAAGACCCTCCTAAGGCACAATCTCCAACTTCAATACTTCTCTCTGAATGTTTGGGTTGGTGGCTGTTCCTTGGGTGAGAGTCTCTCCTGGGGTAGATAGTTACATTATTGCCATCTGTTCTTGAGTGGGAACTTACTCCCTCAGAACAGGAAATCTGTCTTCCTCAGAAATAAGCGCTCTATTTATTCAGTCAGTCAGTCAGTCAGTCAGTCAGTCAATTTCTATAGCCACCCGACTCAACCAAATGACTCTTGGTGGTCATTACCAGGATTTGACTGCCTGCTTCCATTCCTTCAGAGCCCCCCCCCTCCCCCTCCCCGTCCACAGCAATCTATGTCCTGGCCTGTGGCTTGGAATGGCATAACTCACCACGGCCAACTCACCACAAAACAATTCTCTGCGGGACAATTCAACAAATACAAAAGTTAAATTAATTTCAATGGAACTGTGACAATAATAATAAATTAAAGAAAGTCAAAGTTACAATAATTTTGACAAAAATGTGGTCACCAATAATAAAAGTAACTGAATGAAACAGTTAATACAGCATTGAATTGTCCTTGGCAAGTTGACTGTGGCAAGTTATCCTAGAGCCCCTGTGGCTCCCATCTCACTCATCCAATCCAAAGGAGGAGGCCTTGCTGCCCAAGGTGCTTCTGCCTAGCAATCAGCATCAATGGACCACCAAGAATTCTCTCCAGCATCTAGTTGTGATCACACACTGCTCAATCAATCTTCTCTCACTGGACTGCTCAGCACCTCAACATTCAAACCTGCACTTCCCCCCCCCCCCCCCCCCCCCCCCCCCCCCCCCCCCCCCCCCCCCCCCCCCCCCCCCCCCCCCCCCCCCCCCCGCTTCACAACTCTCATCTGTGAAGGTAGGCTGCTCCACCCTTTAAATTCTTCAGGTAGATGTTAACAATCCAATCTCTTCTTACAGAATCACTTTGCTCTCCTCAGCTACCAACACAGACCATGAGGAAATGTCTACTCTAATGTATTGCAGCTTGACAATTGAGCTGAAGCAAAATGGCTGCCCAGCCCCATGGGGCAGCTACAGAGCCCTGGAATCAGTTCAGTCCTGTGTCCACCACAACAAAACAATAGGTTTTAAATAGGTTTTAACTAGGTTTCCCTCCTGTCCTGTGGTATAAATGAAGTATAAAGTTGATACCTAAGCACCAAATCCAAGTATGCATGAAAATCAACCTTCCTTAATGTAAGTATATTGTACCTGTGAGGACTTCACTTTGCAGGACTCTCTTCCATATTTATGTTTTCTAGGAAATTCTGACAGCTGTAATTCATGCATCAAGAGATCACCTAGATTATAGAAGACTATTTTACAGTATGCTGATCACTTCCAGCAGTCATAAGTCACAATCAACGTTGCTGTGTTAACTTCTGCTTGCTTCTTTTTTTCCCCCCTGCCATAGAAAATCCAACTGGTGGCTTTTGGAGAAGGTCCTGTTGTTTATGTGCATCCATCTAAGATAGATTTTGGCTGCATCCGGGTTTTAAAGAATGTTTCCAGGGCACTTTGTCTTTCAAATCAGTCTGTTATTCCTGCACCATTTAAGGCACAGATGGTAAGTCAATTTTGAAGCTTATTTATATTGGGAAATAAAACTGAAAATGATAATATTACTCTAAAATTGGCCTGTCTGAATTATGAACACAAATACTGACTTTCAGAACTGTATTGCAGAACTATTTTGCTGTAGAAGAAACATTTGGAACAATCTTGATTGTTAAACAACCTTTAATGGTTCTTTTTTCTCCCTGGACAGAAAGGATATAATAATAATAATAATAATAATAATAATAATAATAATAATAATAATAGTGATGATGATGATGATGATGATGATGATGATGATGATGATGATGATGATGATGATGATGATGATGATGATGATGATGATGATGGAAGGGACCTTGGAGGTTATCTAGTCCAACCCCCTGCTCAGGCAGGAAACCCTATACCATTTCGGACAAATGGCTGTCCAGTCTCTTCTTAAAAACTTCCAGTGTTGGAGCATTCACCACTTCTGGAGGCAGGTTGTTCCATTGGTTAATTGTGCTAACTGTCAGGAAGTTTCTCCTTAGTTCTATATATCTTCTTGGACAGAAAAATTTGAATTTTACTTATATCTGCTTAGGGGAGATTTAGGAATGGCTAGTTGGTTGGATAAATTTATAAAGGCTACCTAAAAAAATAAAATAAAATGGATGTTCCCTACTTAGCTCTAAATAGTAAAAAAAACCATCCTTAACATCTGTCCCGAGTAGCCTCAGTTTGCCATATCACCAAGAAAATACTGATGAACCATAGAAAGAAATTCTCTCCATGTTGAAATTAATACAAGAAACAATTGCTAGGCAATTGATCAGATTCAAAATAACACAAAGGAGATAAAAGAACAATTTACTAATTTAAATCTATAGACTCAAAAAACAACTACAGAGAAGGAACCAGCAACCCAGAAAATAGAAGGAAAACTAGAGAATGCTGACATAAACAGTGAGGATCTAAAGCACGGGTGTCAAACTCGCGACGCCACATGACGTGTCGCGACGTATTGCAACTTTTTCCCATTGCCGGCAATGGGGTGGGTGCGGTTTTGGCATGACGCATCTGGCCCAGCAGTTTGACACCCCTTATCTAAAGGATGAAGCAAACGACCAGACTCAGATAAATGAAAACTTAGAAGACAAAACGGTAGTATTGGAAACGGAAAAAACATTTTACAAACCAAGGTTTCAGAACATACTGGAGGATAAGGAAGGAGAGCTGATGGAATTGAAGATAAAGCCATTAACAGAACTGTGGGGAACTGGAGAAGGAGGGAGGCTGTTTAATGAATATCAACGGGCTAATTCTTAAAAAAATACTTTAATTAAATTGTCTCTCTTGTTTCACATAATATATACAAAAATAAAGGAAGAATTATTTGATGATCCAAATGCACTGACTTGGAAAGTTAGTTGGCAAAGGAAGAAAGAGTAAATTGATTGAAGGAAACAGAAGCTTTGACCTATTAGAGGGGATGCTAGATTACTAATTAGATGTTTGAATATGGTTAAGAATAGACTGTTAAAAATAGAAGTATTATTATAACTAGATAGACATGATTTGTAATCAGAATATCATATCTTGGTATGAAAAGGGAAATAAGAATAAGGGAAGAAATTTGAATAAGGGAAGCTTTTGGTTACCCAAATAACTTGTTCTGAAATTATAAAAGATTGGGATATTTTGAACATGGATGGGAAATTAAAATTGAAAAAAGCGAAAATAGGATATGGACTAAATAAATGGAAACTGAGTGCAAATGCAATTAAGATATGCTTTGGTTAGAAAAGATATTCTAAATTGATATTATTGACACTATTAGAAAAATGTAACAATGTAGAAAAATGTAACAATGTAGAAAAATGTTGATATGTAATTGTATATTTACTAACAACAATAAGAATTGTATTTGCTTAGTGTGGAAAAATGGTTATTACCAGAAGAAGAGTGGACGTAATATCGGACTTAGTTTGAAGAAGCTTACATGTGTGTTTTTTTCTCCAGTTCTTTTTCCTCTATCCTGCTGTCTCCAGGTATTGCCACCTCCACTGTCCAGACTGTTTTTTCTTTCTCTTCAACAGTTGTTAAGTCTGGGGTGTTATGTGGCAGATGCTTGTCTATTTGAATTCCAAAGTCCCAGCGCATTTATCTTCTTCATTTTCTATTACTTTGTCTATTTTGTGGTCCCACCAAACTCACATCCATTCCAGAAGTGCTACCTTTACTAGAGCATGGCATATCAAAAGAATCTTAAAGAATAACAATCATTGTAAAATAAATTTTACCTTCAGGGTATCTTTGATATATTTTGTTTGTTAATTCTTGGTAGTGACAGTACACCCATTTTAATGGATATGATAGTTTTTGTATTATGATTTAACATATTTGTATTTCTTTAATATGTAACTTGCCTTTTAAAATATTAGGATCTGGCATAGAGGAGGTTATTAATTGTCTATTTTTATTGTATTTCAGGCCCGTACTCCTTCGCAGTGGAGAATTGACCCCAGTGAAGGAGTTGTTCCTCCAGAGACGGAAATATCACTTACTCTTATTGTTAATTTGGATGATACCGTATTGTTTCAGGATAAAATCAACCTGGCTATAGAGAAGAGTAATTCTTATATTATTCCAGTCCAGGCCACCGGCATTGGAACTACCATTGTCACAGACAAGCCATTTGCTCCTGCCATCAATCTGGGACCCCATTTCAGGTGAGGGTCATTTTTGTCTGTAGCTGATCAGGAGCCAACGGGCTCTGACCCACATGGGAAGCTCAGTCAACCTTAGGCAAGCCATATTTTGTTAGGTAAGTAGAATTCAGTTAAGATAGTTCAGAGGTTGCTCAATTGGATTCATTCCTTGGTCTGAATCACTTTCACATTCTTGAGACAAAAAGAGGGAAATTTATGAAATTAGCAAATGATGCAGAACTGTAATCTGACTTCATTTCCCATGGAGGAATTGTCAAAGGATAATAGTGCAGCCATAGAATTTGCCATTAATGTGTTATTTTTTCCTTAATCACTCTGAAAAACATTCTTGATTACCAGAGGTAGCAGCTAGCAATTGCAACCTGTCAGATACCCTCCAGACTGCCAGCTCGTATTTTTGTAGTTAACAACTTCACATATTTGTTAGGGTCTTAGTATACTTCTGATTGCTTTTTGCTGAGTTTACAGTGCTGCCTTTGAAACAATTCCACTACATTATCAACATAAAACTGGGCTTCAATCTAAAGCCCTTTAGAGCCCTGTTTCAAGAGCCCCTTCCTTGCCTTTTGTTGATTCTGGCTGGGTGGTCTTCTGTGCTCTTCCTTTGTGGGAGGTGACACTTTCACATGATGACTTTGTTTCCCCAAAGCCCAAGTTTGAGACATATGATAAGGGAAAATCAAGGAGTGGCCTTCTTTGCTTCTCCACCTCTTTCTTCCTTGTCAAGGAGGAGCTGAAGAAGGAGCTGAAGGGAAGCATATAATAGAGGCAACTCATATCTGCCATATGTAGAAATTATTTTTGGTGTCAGCTTGTATGTGCATATTTTCTCCTCAAATGTAATAGCTCAATTTTCTCATTTTGTTACTCTTTGCCCACAGTTTCAATGTCCCAAATTGAATCTCATTCTATTATTTTCATTCTACTATGATGGTCAGCTTTCCCATATGATAAATATGCTAAATAGTCCAATCCTATCATCTAATAATAAAAATAGAATGACTATGGCAAGAGATAGCAAAGATACTGTCAGGTGCAGGAAATCAGGAGTCAAGAAGGTTCAAATGAGTACATGTTTGTTCCATGCTACCTCTAAACAAGAATCTGAATTACTAACAGTCAAAGCAAATTGGTGGTAGATAAGAGTCAATGGAATTCAAGGAAGGCTGGTCTTAGAGTTCTTGTGGGCACGAAGGGACTCGAGACTGATGATGTCCCTTGGTCTCAGCCTGGTCATCTCCCACAGATACTGCCAATAACAATAGATTATTGGGTGCAATTCCAAAACATCTGGAGCATCACTTGGACACCATCGGCATTGAAAAAAAATCCCCATCAGTCATCATCAGCAATCAGCTAGCAGGGCAGAGACAAAAATGCCGGAATTGTCCATAACAGCCCATAAAGTTCTAGCATTAGAGAACTGCATGAAACAGTTTGAATATCAAGCCCCAAATGCTTGGCAGGTTGAGGAACATCAGAAATGCAGGTCTGGAATCAGAAAGTCTTCCAACAGTGGGGCAAGGACTTTGCTTATCATGCAGCCCCTGGCTGGCTATGCGTTTCCTCAGAAGGTCTGTTCTAAATATGTCATTTTAAATTTGAAAGAAGTAGAGTGGGAGAGCTAACTCTCACATTGGTAAGTCTAGTAATAATTTACAAAAAAGTAGCAGATTTCTCAACTATAGAGTCCTCACTGAATTTCTTGTACAATATTGTTTTTGTTTACTATTATGTTTTTCTTAATAAATCTTTCTACTCAGAGCTCTGAGAGGTTTTTGAGCTTAGCCAGTTCCAAATGAGTCTAGGCTGTCATCTGAGAACGTGACAAATATTGGCATTTTCTACATAGAAAAGAATTTAATATAAAGAAGTCATTTTTGCAGACATTCTGCTCTACACTTTCCAAATACCATATTATTCAGAAAGCTTTAGGTTGTAAATTCTAAGACCACATTTGGAATACTGCATCTGATTTTGGTCACCATGATACAAAAAAGCTATTGAGACTCTAGAAAGAACACAGAGAAGAGCAGTAAAGATTAGTGGATTGGAGAATAAAATATACAGTTGTGGGAACTAGGTATGTCTAGCTTAATGAAGAGAAGGACTGGGGGGGGGGGACATGAGAGCAGTCTGCCAATATTTGAGGGCTGCCACAGTGAGGTTGAGAAAAACAGAATGACTTAGAAAAGTAGGGTTGGATGGAGTTGATAAGATCCTCAAGAAAGATAAGTGATATGAAGCAGTGTATTGTATGCTTCATTGATAGCCAAGGTTAGAATTATTTGTGGTGAGTGGTATTAGTGTAACCTGGTTAGATTTTTTCTCTTATATCTTGTCTTTAATTTATTTGTTTGCTGTATTTTGCATCTGGTTGCTTCCTCTGAAATGGAATTGTATGATAGGCCTGTCTTCTGTCACTTTTCTAGTTTGGATCCCTGCTGCTATCGTTTCAAGATCACCAACCGTGGGCGTCGCACCCATCAGCTTTACTGGATGACTGAAGGTTTTGCCCCATTTCGTCAGCACAACACCCTCCCTGCCATCAGCGCCAACACCAAGACCATCCCCCCAAACACAGAACCTCAGGGTCCTGTGTTCAAGCTTCAGCCACTGAGAATGGAACTGGCCCCAGGAAAGAGTATGGACATGGTCCTGGAAGGATCTTCTGATGTTCCCAAGGTATTCTTCTGGATCCTGTGCTTGTGGCTAGGTGATCTCCAGAGTTCCTTCTAATCTTCCCTTCCCTATGATGCAAAGTGTTCCTTTGATTGATGGCATGGCATGTCAGTTTCTGGGAATGGTCTGCATCTGAGCAGGCCAGGTGGCTACAATTGCTAGAATTATATGATCAAGACAATCAGGCCTCGCTTAGCTGCTGTATGTCTATGGGAATTCTCAGGTTGTTCCAAAGGTGCTTTTCAAAAGGCAACTGGACTTTCTTACTTTTTTTGTTCAAAACATTTTGCTTCTCATTCAAGAAGCTCCCTCAATTTTGGATGAGAAGCGAGATGTCTTCAAGGAGAAAACAAAGAAAGCCCAGTTGCCTTTTGAAAAAGCACCTTTGGGACTTAGCTGCTGTAGGTGCCATATGGTCACCTCAAAAAAATCACCCAAGTAAAGTTATAAATGTTATTGGATAACATGCTTTATTTTCTTGCCTGTCTGTGTTTCATTCACCTTTTCTGGGTTTTAAACTGTATCTGAGTTTTTAAAGCCCAGAGCTGGATTTTTCTCTTCCTCTTTACTCTGAGACGACTATGCTACTATATTTTGTATTTTTACATCTATTACTGGGGAAATGATGTAACTTGCCCTTGCTCCTGGAGTCCTGAGAAAATCTCCTTCAGCTGATGACCAGAGGGGCCTTTTCAGCCTGGCCCCCCTTTGAGTAGGACATGCTAGTGTTGGGGGCTTTCCTGACCAGCCTCTGGGTAGCAGAGGCTTCTTATGGGGGAAGCCCTTCCCAGTGAGATGGCAGAAAGAATCTTCATTCCAAAATGGCTCGTGGGCCAGGGAGAAATGAGCAACAGCAAGCAGGAAAAAGCTGTTCTTTTTTCTGGGCTGTTTGGTTCCAAGTAGGGCAGGCCAGCAAAAGCAGGCAGAGAGGGGAAGGGATTCTGTTGATTGCTAGAGCAGGAGTCTCCAAACTTGGCAACTTTAAGACTTGGGGGGCTTCAAATCCCAGATATTCTGGGAATTGAAGTCCACACATCTTAACATGCCTAAGGTTGCAAAACACTGCTCTACAGCGGGGATTTCCAACGTAGGCAACACAAGTCTTAAAGTTATCAAGGCTGGAGACACCTGCTTTAGAGGACCAGGCTGGCTGGGGAATTCTGGGAGTTGACGTCTACTAGTCTTGAAATTGCCAAGGTTGGAGACTGCTGCTTGCAGGAAGCTAGTGGCGGAACAGCTTCTTGATGGAAAGCGATCATCTCACTGTATCAGCTCCAAGTCTTGTGCAGTAAAAGAGGAGAAATGTAGTCAGTCTACAGGGGCACCAGGGCTGGGCAGAGCACCTGGTGAACGGGAGGTTTGGGTGGCAAACTGACTGAAGGAGGCATTTCCAAGGCACCCATGGGGTTTCTGACCAACTGGCTCAGCCACATTCATTCTACTGCTCTTTGCCTGAACAGCTGGTTAAAGAGAGATTGCTCTGCCACGCGATCATAGGGAAACAGTCTGGAAAAGAACGTATCATGAAGGTTGATGTCACCTGTGAATTCATCGCACCAGTTCTGCAGATTTCCTCCAGAGCAGTTACTTTCCGTGTGGAGAAGGTGAGTGCTTTGATACCATGAGATCCTTCTGGCTTTTGACCTCAGACTAGCCCAAAGACCAGAATTCTGTGAGCCAGCTCCCTCTGGGATATTGGAATCCCAAGTCCTTTGAGAGATTGCCGGTGCTGTGGGGGAGGGTCACTATAGGAGCTAATACATACATGGCCAGAACTTGAAAAATGAAGGGATTTATTCTGGATATTAAGGTATTTAGGCTGATAAGGTAGTGGTATCTTATATCATTACCATCATCATCATCATCATCATCATCATCATCATCATCATCGTTTTAGACATTGTCCATCCACTGCAGGATGAAGGCCACTTCCACCTGTTTCCAACTATATGGTCCGGAGTTTTCTTTTGCTAATTGGGCCCACAATACTTGCTGTTGTGGTCTCTCCATCTTGTTTTAGGTCTCTTTTGTGTACACTTTTTATCAAGTGGGTGTTGTGATACCTCGCCAGCCAGTGGATCTGGCAGCTGAATCTAAGGACTCAGATAAGAAGGAGGGGCATGGAGGGACATTCGAGTCAGAGGAAGGCTCTTAGGAGCACCAAGACTCACAGTTAGATGAGGAGCCTGGCCTCTCTACTCACGCTTGGGCAGAGACGCAGCTGTTTTGGGAGCCTGAGTTGGACGATGGTGAGGAACAGCTGGGGCCAATCCCGGATGCGCAGAGAAGAAAGGCGAACAAGACAGAGAAAGGCAGTGGGACAGCTCCATAGGCAAAGGAAAAGTCATTAAGAAGCTACACCCTGGCTGGATTATAAAGGGGGAAGGTGTGGGAGGTGCTGGTTCCCAAAGGCAATTGTTCATGCTGAGAATTGTGTTTTTGTGGATTGTGTTGCTTGCCTCTGAAGTCTTGGCCATTGAGTCAGGTGTGTAAAAATAAAAGGGGTTTATTTTTTCTTGTGGTTCCTGCCTGGTTCCATGAAGAGGGGTTTCTTCTTGCGAGTAAGTATTGTTAGTATTCTATTCTCTGATTCTCCACTAGATGTCAGCAGTTATTTCTTTTTTCAGTTTTTTTTTCAATCAAAAAGTTATTTTTGTTATATATTTTTATAATTCCATCAAAAATTCTTTAGGGTATAATCTTGACAGTTTTTTAGTTCCTAGATTTGTCCAGACTGTAGTATTTTAAATAAAATTTTAGTATATCTCTTTCCTCCTTAATATTAATTCTCCGCTTCCATCTGTAAGGGAATGGGGATATAGTCCCCTCCCTTTACTTCTGGAGATTTTCTTGCTTTGGGGATCTTTCTCAAGGATTCAATCAGTAGATAGAAGAAATAAGATCAGTACTCTCACCATTTCTAAGCATGCTATTCACCGATGTTCAGGTTCGTGCTCTGGGACTTCGGCTGCAAGTAGCTTGGGCTAGACGCTGATCTCATGCTAGCTTTTCTCCTTTTGGGTTCGGAGGGCTTCCCCCAGATCAAAAGAAGCAATTGCCATCACTTCATGATCAACGGAGTGCCCCTCCTTCACGGTCACCTCTTGACTTCGGACCTATCTAGCCGTGGGGAGTGGAGGTCTGCTCTCATGCGGCCATGCGCTACGGGTGAAAACTGGAAGTCCAGAAGTATTTTAAAAATCTAGTAGTCCTTCAGTAATTGGCATGGGCCACTGATTGGTTCCTGCACTAAGTAATAGACTGAACTTCAGTGATCTTTTCTAACACTATCAAATTGTGATTCTACTTTATTTTGTGCATTGCACTTGCCTGTGTGTGTGATCAGTCTTTCTGTTTTTTTCTCCAGAACCCCAGTGACATTTTGACCGCGCAGTACAAGCCTCTATCCTTGAAGAATGTTTCCTCTTTGCCGCTCAGAGTTGTCCTTTCTTTGCAAGAGCCCTTTGCCCTCTGTGACGTAAATCACAAAACGATTCCAGCTCCTGAACAGGTAAGAGAATTGTCCATCTGAATTCAGTCCACATCCTGAATAGCAGAACAGTATCAGATGGTAGAGAGACAGAAAGTGTTAATTATGGTATAAGAAAATTACAGTTAGGAATGTCCATGAAACAGAAAATGTGTTTTGTTTCAAAACCAAAACAAGCAAACCACATTTTAGAAATTCTGCCAAATTTCAAATTTTGAAATTGAAATTGAAATTTGAAATTGAATTTGATAGAATATTTTTGTGGCATGGGCTTGGGACAGAATCAAATCTGCAGGGATCCCAGAACCACTCAGGCTGAGTAGGGAAGGTTGGTGTGACTCACCTCTCTCCCTTCTATCCTTTAGTATAACCTATTATCATAATGTATATTTTAAATTTTGTTAATCATTCTAATCTAGTTGTAGATTTAATTTGGAGATTTGCTCGTTCATATTGGCTAAATTGTTTTTAGTCTATGATTTCTTTTTATATCCTCTTTGCATTCAACAATTGGTGAATTAGTTGTAGCATAGAATATATTTCTTTCTGAAAGGTGTTTGTTTTTTCTTGAGGCATCACTCCTGGAGATTAGTTTTCTGGTCTTTATATGTATCCTTTATAGTCCAATAGATTCCAAAGTATTGGTTCAGTTCTGAAAGCAATATTTTATAGTAATCCCTTGTCTCAAGTATCCCAAAAATTGTCACTCAGACAAGGTTGTAATCCACAATGTTCAAAGTGTTCAAAGTGTTCAACCTCTCTGAAAACAGCTTAAAAGTCTCTCCCAGCCAGGCGTAGTCAATTTTTTTTTTCTCTCCCACTAGCTCTTGAAATTAAAAGGCCAAGCTCAGTAGGTATTTACAATCCAAGAAGGTCAGGGTGATAGACATGCCACAATATTTTCCTTTATTGTCAGCTGTTCTCCCAGGGTAGGAATCACCAAGCAAAGCAAATTATAGTGCTATGCACAAATCTACCACTAGATGTCATTCAAAGTCCATTTTCCACTCTTAAAACAAAGGATTGATTTCTTATATTTTGTTTGTTTGTTTTTTTCAAAGAGAAAATCTTAACAATTATCTCAAATTTATCAAAAGTTTAGTTTTGTATTACTTTCACTTCATATTATGTATTTCTGTCCCCCATAACAAATTTAAAACGCCGCTTCCGTTCACATCTGGAGGTTTTAGGCTTCTTGAGAGCTTTTCCCAGGAAATTCAGTTGTAAAAAAGTAAAGAAAGGATCAATAATCTCACCCAGTCCAAACATGCTGTTTATGTCATGCTAATTAAAGTTTTTGTTCTTTGGTTATTAGCAGCTAATGGCTGGTCACAGTGGTATGGCTAGTCTTTCCCCTGCCGGTTTAGAAGGCTTTCCTTGGATCCAACGGAGAGACCGCCGTCTCTCTGTGATCGATAAGGCACCCCTCCTTCTTCATCGCCTCTTCGGGGTGACTTTAAGCCCTTTTCAGGGGCCCCAGCAGGGCAAAATCTGGCATGGAAGGCAGAGCCTTGCCTTCCTGCCTCTGTCTCGCCGCAACGCAAAACCAGAAGTGCTGCTGCCCACATCCTTGGCTTCCTCCTGCTCTTCCCCCATCTGACTTCTGCTAAATGCTTCAGTCCATTCATAGTCTACTGGAGTTGGGAGGCCAATACATTTCATTAAATAAATAAATGCATACATAGATACATACGTAACTGGAAAAAACCAGCTCCCATTTCATTCTTTACCTAGAACGCCCTCAAGGTATGTTTTAGCCATCTAAAAACATGCACAGAACTCATCATGCACAAACTGTTCTGAATATCACTGATGTCTATTTAACTTTGATTCCAATTCAGCCTTTGAAGATGGATGTTGGAGAGATACATCATCTTTCAGTCAGGTTTAACCCCGTCTATAGAGATGACCTGTGTAGTCGAGTATTGGAAGAGGTTCTTGTTTTGCGTTACTTGGAGCATCCTCATGTGGACTACATTGATCTCCGGGGAGAAGTGCATTTCCCAAACCTCCACTTCCAAACAATGGATCTCAATTTTGGCTGCATCTTGAACGACACAGAAGTTACCCGTGACATCAATATGAGCAACCGCAGTCCCCTTCTAATCAAATATCGCTGGTCCTTCCTGACAGATGATCGTGAGTCCTTTATCAGGTACAAGCCATCACATACTCTGGAATTTTGCCTGATTTCTAGTTATTTATAGCACTTGATTCATTGTGTATTAAGAAATTTGTTTTCAAAAGCTGGTCTTTAAGAAATTACTTCTGATCAAGAAAAGTGTTCTAGGTTCTAAAATATAATTCTTTATTCTTTATTGGCCAAGTGTGGTTGGATACATAAGGAATTTGTTTCCGGTGCATAAGCTCTCAGTGTACATACAAGTAATAGTGATAGTCATGATCATATACAACATGAAAATACATTCATCATAAATCAGGAAATATAACACTTCATCATAAATCATAAGATGCAATGCTTAGTGATAGTAATAGAGTACTAGCTAAGCAAACAACATAAATCATTGATACAAAGATACAGTTTTGAGCATCCAGATTCTACAAATAGCACCTTTGTCAAGTCTGAGTTTATAGCAGTTTTCATAGTATTTATTTTTCTTGTTTAGTACAGGTAATTCTCATTTAGAGACCACAGTGGGAACCAGCAACTTGATCATTAAGCAAAGTGGGCATTAAGTAAAAAAAATGACATATCTTCATCTTTATGATTTTACTTCAAGTTTCCTTTGCTTGACAGCATCAGACAGATATAACCTCAAATAGCCAGATGAGTCCAAATGGCAGGGAAGCTTTCCAGAATGTGACTCACAAGGAAGCTGGATAAAAGGACGTAACCCATTTCCCCCATCCCCTGCCCTTTGAAACACTCACCCCTGTGCTAGGATAATTAGCAAGAAGAAAATGAATGTTTGTACTTATATTCATTGGAGATAAAGAGATTACAAGAGAGTAAAAGGACACATAATAGGAATATACAGAGAAAGGAATGGGCTAGAGCTGGCTCTTTGACTTGCGTGCTCACTGGTGCAACTTAGGAACAAACAAAAGCAGCAAAACCTGTCAATTTCAGGCAGCCGCCACTAGCTGGAAGGTCCCTCCCTCCCTCCCTCCTTCCCTCCCCCCCTCCCTCTCTCTCTGTAAGTGTGTGTATTTGTGTTTATAATCAGTTTATAGAGAAGATAAAAACTAACAAAAACTAATATAGAGTAAACAAAGAAAAAGGGGAAAAAAGAAAGACAAAGGTGCCAAAAAAAGATACAGAATTAGCTGATTTTCTTGCAGCAAAATGCAAATATGATTATAAAATTATCTCTTACTCTATGGTTACAAAAAGAAAAACTCGGAGTTTGGTGTAAGATGGGCAGCAGTATGGACCTGCCTCAGCTAATTCTCCCAAGAAAGCAGAACTCTTGAAACTGGCATTGTTTCAAGCAGGAACATTTATTGAGAATTAGTGATAGCAGGACAGCAAAGCAAGATTTCTCGCGCGAATTGGGCCTGGATATCTCCAGGCCCAATTCGCATCGGGCCTGGATATCTCCGAGACCGCCTTCTGCCACAGATCCCCTCTCACAGACCGGTACGCTCCCACAGAGCGGGCCTCCTCAGGGTGCCGTCGGCCAAGCAGTGTCGGCTGGCGACCCCCAGGGGGAGGGCCTTCTCTGTGGGTGCCCCCACCCTCTGGAACGAACTACCCCCCGAGATCCGGACGATTCCGGANTAAATAAATAAATAAATAAATAAATAAATTAAACCTTTCGTTCACAAAAAGCCCAACTGTCCAGTTTGCGTCTGGTATGATCTGGTGGAGATCCAGATTGCCCCCTCTCCCTTCCCAAAGACTCCTGTATTTCTCAGATTCAGCTCAGAAAACATTCGGCCTCTTCATGCCCAGAAAAGAACAGAAGAGCAGGAGATCCTGAAGCCGCCACAAAGCCCCCCAAGGTGCAAGATTCGCAAGGATTCCATCAGGTTTGTATGTGACAAATCCACCAAAGGCCAAGACTGTGGCCTTAATAAGAAACACCGTTATGCCTCTCCAGCAGGCTCTCTGGAGAAAGGGTTGGGCAAGGTGGTAAGGCAAAGGGGGCTGGGTGGGCATGTGCCAAGAGACTCAGAAAGCACCAAGATCATGATGATGGGCCACAACAATGAGGGCCAGGGACAAGGCTGCTTTAAATGCTACTGATGATCTTCAAGAGCCAACTTAATTTATTTTTTCACAAGCTAAATCACTAATTTGATATTTGGCCACAATAATTTGGAGGCAGATCCTGGCTATGGCTGAGAATGAATGTCCTCACAAGATTTTTCCCACCTCACCCTCTTCTGGGCAAAGAGATCTTTCTGCCAGTGTGGGTAGAAATAGCTGTGCAGTAGCTGAGGAAGAAGACGCTGGTCTCAGGTACGTGCTGTTGCCGGGAGCCTCTGAAGTGGTCAGAGCTGCAGGTTGCAGGGAGGCAGTTCTGCCCAAAGCCAGCCCCTCCAGCTCGTCATCCCAGGGCCTTTGGACATCCCGGTTTCAGGCTCTGCCTCAGCTCTTTGTCATGTGGGAAATGTAAGGCTAGGTCACTGCGGACATAGTTTTCTACAAAGAGGAACACTGATGTGGACCGCCACGTGCAGGGGGATGCAGTGTGGCATTTCTTTCAAAGAGATAAACATTAAAAACCAGCTGACATTATGCATAGGCATTTGTTTATATTATACCTGGAAATGAATTGAAGTTGTATTTTGTGTATATGGATTCTGAATTTGTGCTGAAATTCTGTTTAGAGCCTTCCATGGGAAAGGACCTTTTTAGCAGGAAATATGCTCCAAGCACAGGTTCCTTTTTAACTATGTCATGCAGTTCTTTTTTAAATGAAGTTTCATTTTTAAAGAAGCAACGGATGGAAACTAATCAAGAAGAAACTTCCTAACAGTGAGGGCAATCAACCAGTGGAATGGCTTCCCTCTGGAAGCTGTGGGTGCTCCATCACTGGAGGTTTTAAAGAAGAGATTGGACAGTCACTGGTCTGAAATAGGATAGGGTCTCCTGCTTGAGCTGGGTGGTGGTGGTGGTGGTGGACTAGAAGACCTCTGAAGTCCCTTTCAACTCTGTTATTCAGTTAATTCTCAAAGCAGTTGCATCATTTGGATGGCACTCTTTGGATTCTATCAATAGTGCTGGGGAAAATTGATTATTCTTGTTTTCTTTAGGTTATTCTTTATTGTTAAGTTAGCTTATTATAGCTATGATTCTTTGAAGGTAAAGACCTCAGAGTTGTAGGACTGGGGAGGTGCAGGCATTGGGATGCAGGCCTTGGGGTGCAGTCACAGACTGACCTTTTTGACATATTCGGGGCCTGTGATTTCTAGGGCAATTTGGGCATAAATGGGTATATGGTTGAAGCGAATTTCTACCAACTCACAGCCATTCAGTTATCCCCACACCGTTTTCTGCACTGCCTACCACTTTAACACATAGCAAAGGTACCAAGACACAATTAATGTGGTAATGAAAATTATTTAATTGGATCCAGTTGCTGCATTTGAATGCATGAAAGCTGCCTCTGGCACCTATGGGAAAATACTAGGATGAGGAAATGTTTGTCTTTTAAGTTATTGCATTTTTAAAGACTTTATCGTTTTTAGAAATTGTGGAGCAGTTTTTTAAATTCAGTAAATAAATTAAGCTGAACAAATATTATCCTTCATAACCTGAACATTACCTATGAGCATATGAGCTGAAAAATACTTCCTGTCACAAATAGGAACCCATTCTTCTTTGATGTTATAGGAGCCCCACCCTTGGAGTTGGACACGAGTGGACAGGGGAAATCTTTACCTTTATCTGTATGCAGGCATTTTCAACTGGAGCAAATATTCTAATGTATATTTGTTACATACTAATATATTTAGTATACAATTAGTTAATTGCAATAATTAATGCAAATATAGATGTCCTTCTTGACGTTAAAGAAGCTTAATGCTTCTTCCATACTCCCAGCTATCTTGAGCAATATAATATATATTTCTCTCCCAATAAATTATCTCTAGAAAAACAGCTGTAGAGAAAAACACCAGCTATGCAAGTGGAGAAGATGTTTCTGTTAAAGAACCTGTTAAAGAACTTAAGGATGATGCACAGATTATGCCTGAAATACAGGTAATGGCACAGGCCAATTTTCTGTGGGTCAACAAAATTGTGGCCTGCTGAAATAGAGGTCTGTTAGTGGTTCAGCTCGGAAACTGACTCCTGAAAGTCCTACTTTTGGCTTTGGAAAGCCTGGTCCTCTTCATTTAGGGGGTGTCCTAATTGCACATTCAATTAAGATTACGGTGAGGCTCTATGTGTATTTGACCGGAAGCTGCAACTGCTGCAGAAGTTGTCAACCATGAGTGGTTTCTGCTCTGCTACACCTTCTGTGCTGGCTAAGCTAAGTTCAGACTTCATTTTTTGGCAAAAAAAAAAAAAAAAAAAAGGTCGTAAACAAAGGGATCAGAACTGATGGCAGATCATCTTCACTGATGCAGACCTAGGAAATTGCTCAGTTCATCCGAGATGAGATTGCCCTGCTGTCTGTGCTGTAACGTCCACAATTTTCATCATGATTATTTGCAAGTGAGCCTTGTCTCTGTCCACTGGAATACTGACCAATGCATAAGTGTCTTAAAGAAAGCAAATGATCCTTTCGAGTGAAATTCTGTGATGACAGGGACCAGCTATTCCTGGAGAGTTGTTCCTAAAAGGACAACACTTGGATGTTAGGTGGATTTTCAGTTTGAACCCTCTATTTTTTTCTGGATGTGGTGGAACAATCCAGAAATTTAATAATCTTTACATCTTGTCCCATTCCTGTTCATCCGTGTCTTGTCAGTGATGAACTGTGGATGAATGGGCTTTAGAATAGTTTTTGAAAGCCTCCAAGCTGGGAGATTTTGTGAGCTAAACACTTACCGTATGCAAGGCAGTTTGTCTTTTCTGTGCCTGTTTCTTTTTCTGATGGACACATGTCTATTCTGTTTTCTAGTTTTTTTTGAAAACTTCTGAAGTAAACCAGGAGGCTCCAGAGAAGAACCAGGCAGGAACCAAAGAAGTCCTGTGGTGTGCAGACTCAGAGGAGCTACACTTGACAGGCGTGGAAGAAGTAAGCCCACTTGACACTCTCTGCTGAAGGCTGGGGGCCCAGGACAGAGGTGGCTCTTCCTCAAGTGTTTCTCTCAGGCAGTGTCCATTCTTCTCCTTGGGGCTGGGTCAGGGAGCCTGCTGGGGCAGGGCCTTCTTTGCCAAACACATCCAGACCTTTCCCAGCTGGCCAGAGGCTCTTGTTTCATCCTTGGCTTTCTGCTCAAGATCTGAATAAGCCCAGAGACAAAGTAGTGTTTGTTTTCCTTGTATTAAAAAATGTAGAGATGTATTAGGAGTTGTTGAGCTTTGCCCAGAAAGAATAAAAATGTGGAAAGAGGCCCTTGAGTCCAACCCCCTATTCTGTGCTGGAATCCAGAATGTTCTTACCCAGTGTTATTTCTGGTTTTCCTATCACTATTTATATTGTCTTTTTCTGATACCTCTTGTTTGTTTGTTTGTTTGTTTGTTTATTTATTTATTATACACAATGTGTATGTTTTCCTTATTTCCTTATTTCAGAGTTTTCATCTTCAGACACTACAGGATTCCTTTCAAAGCCCTTCTAACCAATCTTGTTGTGCTTCAGCCAAATACATTGCTGCAAGTTCTTGTAAGGGCTAAAGCACTGCAGAAAACTTAGACTGTAGTCCTAGAAACAAAATCCACCTCATTTTTGTAGCCACTGATTCGTTTGCAACAATCCTTTCTTTCCAGTCTTCTTCCATTCCATGAGAAGACCACCCTCAAAGTCAATGGTGATACCATGGAGAAGCAAAGTTCACAATCTTTGGGACCAGCTTTTGTGGGAACTGTTGCTTGCACACATTTAGCATTACTTTTACAGTAATATAATTGCCTTGAGGACTGGGAAAATTGCATTATCAGTAGAATGTTTGTAGCTGAGGTTGAATTGTGGTCCTGGGTTTCAAAAGTCTGAAGGAAAACCATCAAGCTCAGAGAGCATCAAGAACCCCACAAACTTCATTATTCTTGTCCTAGCCCATTAATCTTTCTCTGTTAGTACCATCTCTCAGAAGTAAAAAAAAAATGTTTGTGCTGCCACTTTGTGCCTTTGTTTTGTTTTGTTCACTGCCCATTTGTTCAAACAGCAACAAGCTAGGAACCTCAAAGCTCTGAAGGGAAGGGGAGGTCTTAACAAGTGCCCACCTATGGGCAGCAGAGCTAGTCATCCTGGGGCATCTTGCAATGGAGCAGTGACTCTTCCTTCCTTGCTCAATCAGGTTTTTGACATCCTGCCACTATATGGAACGTTGCAGCCAAGCGAGACCCAGCAAATGTCATTTACTTTCTATGGCCACGCCAACATTGTTGCTTGTGTCAAAGCACTTTGTGAAGTAGAGGGAGGTCCCACCTATGAAATTCTGCTGCGGGGTGAAGCCTCGCTTGTTCAATATGTGTTTGACCAAAAGGAAATTGATTATGGGCTCCAGGTAGGCTTAATGTGCTGTTTGCTTGTTTATTGAATACACATACACACACATGCATATACAGAGAGAACGCTGTTGAGCTCTCAATCCTCTTTTAGGTCTCCTCTTTTTCCTCATACTTCCTTTTATTCTCTAGAACGGCAGCCCCCAAAGGGGCCTGGTTTTGCATGCTGCCTGCATCCCACAGATTGGGCTTTGCTTGTTTGCGCGGCCCATTTGCTGGCATGCCGTGGCCCAGTGCCAGTCCATGGACTGGGGGTTTTGGGGACCCCTGCTCTAGAAGTCATCCTTCAGGCACATTTACATACACACGTGTCCTCAGATGAAGTCCCATGTTTTGTATTGGTCTCAGCATTTTATGAGGATTTCTGAAGGACTGGGCCTCTAATGTCACAGAAATCTTTCCAGGCTGGAATGATCTGGCATCGGTCCTCATGCTCTTAGAAACGTTTCTGACTGATGGGAGGGAATATCCGATTGTATTTGATTCTAGTGGGCTACTAGAGCCTGCCAGGATGTTCCAACTCTCCCTCTAGCTCATCCCAGCCAGAGGGGAGAAAGGCTCTCAGAGGGGACCCTCCCTAGTTTCCAGTGAGGGACGGGAGGGGAACATCTGTGGATATACAGAAATCCAGAACCTGCATATAAATATAAAAACATATAAATATGTTAGCAAACTGAATAAAATGCCATTACATTTTTCCAGAGGTAAAAATTGAAACAATTTGAATAATGGACGAGTTGAGGCTAGTTAAAAGTTTGGCCACATTTCTTGGAATTGTGGTGCTTGAACATCATTGTAGGATAACACATTTTCATTACTTTGGGTCTCCCTCTCAATGCCTCTAGGCCCATTGGGTTTTCTAATATTGAAACATTGTGTGTGTCTAGTAGAAGAAATCCCTCCCAGCTTGCCTGGTGCAGAGTTGTGAGGGAATCATGAAGGGTGCTTCAGCTGTGCCCAAAAGGAGGTGCTGTTTCGTAGTAGTAGTAGTAGTAGTAGTAGTAGTAGTAGTAGTAGTAGTAGTAGTAGTAATAATAATAATAATAATAATAATAATAATAATAATAATACCTGGAAGGGACCCTGAAGGTCATCTAGTCCAACCCCCTGCTCAGGCAGGAAACCCTATACCATTTCGGACAAAGGGCTGTACAGTCTTTTCTTAAAAACTTCCAGTGTTGGAGCATTCACCGCTTCTGGAGGCAGGTTGTTCCACTGGTTAATTGCTCTCTTCTCTCCTTCTAAGCCCTTTGACCACATCTGTATAGCTGAGATCATTCTGAAAAACACAGGAAAAGTTGGATTTGAATATTCCATACTTGACGCTATCCAGGCCTCAGCTGACAACCCTCCCCCTGGTGTGCCACTGACTCTGCCTGCCACCGTAAGTAAGATTGAAGGAGGCTAAACTGGGGGTTTCAGATTAATTTCTTGACTGGAATGCAGATCTATACAAATTACAGAAAGCAAGCAGACTCTTGCAAATAAACCATCAGAATCCAGAGGTCCTACGCAATATTCCAACAGCCATCAGCCTCAACGCAGTTTCCTGTGAACTCTCTTGGCTTAATAGCTGCTGAGATCTGGATTCTAAGTGCTGCCATCCAAGCGGTCAGCATGTCATGAGAGCTGCAGAAAGTGAGCAAGAGGACCCTAATAAAGTTATGCCAGATATGTTCCTAGGGCAATGAGGAGTGAAACATATTTTAAATCCAAAAGAACACATATCATTCAGCAGCTCAGATGCTTCCTTGTTTCAAAGGCAAAGAGGTACAGCATAATCAGATTTTGTTGATATAGCTGATGTTGAATCGAATCACAATAGAGTTGGCAGGTCGGCCTGTGGCTGCATCCCAATGCCTGCACTTCCCCAGTCCTACAACTCTGAGGTCTTTACCATCAAAGAATCATAGCTATAATAAGCTAACTTAACAATAAAGAATAACCTAAAGAAAACAAGAATAATCAATTTTCCCCAGCACTATTGATAGAATCCAAAGAGTGCCATGCAAATGATGCAACAGCTTTGAGAATTAACTGAATAAGAGAGCTGGAAGGGATCTTGGAGGTCTTCTAGCCCAACCCCCTGCTCAAGCAGGAGACCCTATATCATTTCTGACAAGTGGCTGTCCAATCTCTTCTTAAAAACCTCCAGTGGCTCCTACAACTTCTGAAGGCAAGTTCCACTAGTTATTATCCTCACTGTTAAGAAGCTTCTCTTTAATTCCAGGTTGCTTCTCTCCTTGATTAGCTTCCATCCATTGTTTCTTGTCTTGCCTTTTAGTGTTTTGGAAAATAAGTTGACCCCTCAAGAGTTGTGCTTTCCTGAGAGGATCAGCTCAGGCAGGTCCTTACAATTCCAATATTTGAGGGGCTGTCACAGAGAAGAGGGGGACAACCTATTTCCCAAAAGCACCTGAAAGCCAGGCAAGGAATAACGGATGGAAACTGATCAAGGAGAGATTCAACCTAGAAATAAGGAGACATTTTCTGACAGTGAGAACAATCAACCAATGGAATGGCTTTCCTCCAGAAGTTGTGGGTGCTTCATCACTGGAAGCTTTCAAGAAGAGACTTGTCAGGGTCTCCTGCTTGAGCAAAGGGTTGGACTGGAAGACTGCCAAGGTCCCTTCCAACTCTGTTATTTTGTTATGATGAAGACTAGGAATTACTTCTTTAAATATTTCTTTCCTCCTTTTCTTATTTCTTCCTCTTTCTATTTTCCTTTTTATTGCACTTTTTTATTCTCTTCTTCTTCTCTCTGAGTTTAGTTTACATTGTCTTTTACTATTGTTATTAACATTTTTAATAAAAAATATTTTAAAAAGATATTGCAGTCACATGACAACCTTGCTTAATGATCTGCAGATTCTTCCCTTAACAATGGCAGCTGAGACTGCCAGAATGGCCATCACTAAGTGGTGCAGTCACAGGATATTGTACTTTACAACTGGGACACTTAGTGAAGTGGCAACTGTCGTCCCGATGGTTGTCATAAGTGGAGGGTCACCTGTAGTTATCGTATTCCTCCAACATATTTACTTATTTTCTTTTTTTCTCTTTTATTGATTTGAGTTATGTTAACCAAATATTTTAAAAATTCAATAGTGATATATTTTGACTAGAAAACAGGTATGAAATGTTTTATAGTATATTAAGTTTTAATTGTGCATTGTGTATATGATGTTTTTGAGAATGCTATTCAAGATATATTAACTGTCTGCTGGTATAATCATTGTTTATAATATTTTTAATTACCTATATTCATATTTTTTAAAATATTAAAAAGTGGCATAGCTTATCTGTGCTACCCCTGCACACTAGGAAACAGACGCAGGTTTGGGTTGGATAGCTAAAACCTTTTAAACAGAAAACATTCAAAATCATATTGACTCTCAGAGAAATAGGTTCTCCCCATTTGCTGCCATTTGCAGATTTGATGGGCTTTCTCATCATTCAGAGACTGATACTTTTGCAAGTCAATGATGGACCATCTCTGTACTCTGGAACAAATATCTGGGTATCCTTGGGAGCTGTGAAAGCCAAATGAAAAATTGCTAGGTGTTTTGTGCAAGGGATGAAGAGTTTCATCATTCTGCCTTTTCCATCTTCCAGAATGATATTGGCTCAGGAAAGGAGCAAATATTGAAGGTCTATTACTTGCCAGGAGTTCCAGAGGTCTTTCAGAGAACCTTCCAAATACAGGTGGCTCACCTGGAACCAGATAGGATCACTCTGAAAGGACAGGGAGTTTTCCCTAGAATTTGCTTGGATCTGCCCAGAAATATTCACGGTAAGAGTAATAGTACTTTGTCTTCCCATGAAACTAATATAGCTGAAAAATATGTTAATTCTTTAACAAATATTCACCAGCAGTGTGCAGGAAACACTGTTTTTTGTTTTGAGTTTCAACAACAAACAATATTTTAATTTATAATTCTATCTGAACAGAAAGAAAATCTTTTTGGTCCTGGTTTTCATACTAGGATGCCGAAACATCTTTTTCATACTAGAATCACAAGTATTGGCTAAAAGGATTAATTTTAAATATTGCTTTCTATTCCTGAGAATATTTCAATTTTTTTCTTAAAATCATGCTCTTGGCCAATGAAAAATACCAGCTAGCCATTTTTACCTCAGCCACATATAAACAACAGGTCAAAATCAATTGAGCATGAGCTCAATCAAAAGCAACAACTTTCAACGCTGGACTTGTGTTTTAAAAAGAATCTTGCTAGTTAATTCTTGTGTGCATGACATTTGTACTACAACAGCAAAGAAAAATGCAGTTTAGCTACATTTGCAGTTGTCAGGCTTAAAGCCCAATGCCCTGTATTTAAATAAATAAGCTCAATATCAAAACATAAGTGTGTAAGTAAAAACCTTCCAACCAAACTAACATTGCAGTCTTTTCATTTTGAATGAAAATTTTATTTCATTTTTTAGTATTTTTATTATTTAGAGAGTCCAGCTTTCAGTCAATGCATAATTTTAGGGCAACTTCCAAGAATTAAAAATGCAAAATATATTAAACATTTGTGTGGTTCAAATTAAGGGTGAAAATTAAAATCAGTATCAATAAATAATTAACCATCAAAAGCTTGTGAAAAGAGTTGTTTTCTCTATGTTCCCACTATATTTAAAAATAGGGGGAGGAATGTTTTCTTGGGGAAAGCATTCTATAGCATGGGAGGTCAATATCCTCAGGATACAACCATGGACTGTTCAACCATCCAAATGGAAAGCAGCAAAGGAGCCAGATTAGACCATTAGTATTATTAAATACATCCTGAAAGCTGGAGACCAGAACGTGGAAGCCACTGAAAGGAGCACAGCCTCTTTCGAATGCACTTCTTCTCAGCTCAGAATGCCTGGCCTTTCTCCTTTTTATAGGAAATGAGCGGTACAGCAGCATCCTCAGAGAAGTGAAGCAGCGACTAGAACAGGAAACACAGAAAGATTTCAGCGGTAATTCCGAAGCATTGACCACAGAACCACCCATGGAAGAATCCTTGACCACGGTAAGATGAACAGCTCTTCCATCTGACTGTCAGCTGGGCTGGGTGGAGACACTAAGGTGGAATTGAGCCTCTGAGGAGCACCACACTCCTCTATGACACAACTATCTCAGGGAGTGGAACCAAAGGCCAATTCTTTGGGGAAGGGGCTACATTCTGGTTTGGGTGAGATCAGGATGCAAGAGTAGAAGCCTAACACTGCCACAGACATGCTAGAGTTATTGACTCTTCCTGGTGTCTTAAGCTCAACACACAACTGCAGCTGGAGATGGAAAGGCTACTTGTGCGAGAGCACGCTCTGGAGCAACAGAAGCTGCTGGCCTTGGCTTCAGTGGACGACCCAGCAGCCTGTCAGCGAGCTCGCCGGAAACTGGTCAAGTTAGTGCATATAGCTTATTTCTGGTCCAAGAGGACGGGTTTCCAGGAGTTTTCCCAAGGAATAATCAATGAAATGCATATTCCCAAATCAAAGCTGTTTGCCTGGTCTTTAGGGCCTCTCTTTAGCAGGGTGACACACTGTCTAGGCTGAGAATTTAGCTGTGGTTTTCTCCTCTCTAAGCTGGTTGAACGCTTATGAAATGATTTCTGTGCATGAAGATATAAGGGAAGGGGTCAAATGAAGAATGGTTAAGGAACTAGATGTCATCCCCCAAGCTTCGCAAAGCTGACAGCCTGACATTAGCAACGGGGGAGGGAAGAGTATTGGAATGCAGGGACCAGAGGGAAACCTAAGCATGCCTGTGGAGGAATGAGGAGCACCTGCTAGCCAAGGTCACCCAATAGAATGCAAAGCAGAAAAGCCCATGAAACCGAAGCCCTGTTACCCAAACAATATACCAGCACTTAATTGGACGTTTGCTGATAACAGGAGAGCTGGCCAGGGAAAAGGGAATGTTAATTGCATTATCTGTGTGAAAAAACGCCAGATTAAGCTCCAGTCAAGTGTACTCTTGGCAAAACAATGGTCCAGGAGTCTTTCTTTGCTAGGTGAATGAAAGGGATGATTGACACTAGGTATGTCTAGCTAGCCTAACAAGAAGGACTCGGGGCGACAGGATATCTGTCTTCCAGCACCTGAGGGACTGTCACAGAGAAGAGAGGGTCAGCCTATTCTACAAAGCACCTGAAGGCAGGACAAGAAGCAACAAGCTCTTCAGTGGAAGCTCCAATCTCAAACTAGGGAGAAATTTCTGCCTCCGTGATTTGTGGGTGCTCCATTGCTGGAGGTTTCCAAGAAAAGATTGGACAACCATTTGTCTGTGATGATATAAGGATTCCTGCCATGGACTGATTCTATGATTTTATAGTTTGCTGCTTAACTCCCTTTTTCTCCCTCATAAGCACAGCCTGGTCATGCCAGTCTTTAGTGTGGTTGAAATTAATGAACTGGTGAAATTTGAGATTTTGTAGAAAATATCACTCATCTTGTTTGTTAACATCGTCCACATTATGCTTTTTTTTAGAGCCCAGCTACCTGAGTATATCTTAGATTTTGGCTACATAATTATGGGCACCATCAGAACTCACATCATCAAGATCACAAACACTGGCCACTTCCCCGTCTCCTTCCATGCAGATCGACGGGACCTGCGGGACACAGGTACAAAAAGGGAATCATTCCATCTTTTTCTAGCCTACGTTAAAAGAGTAAACAATGATTTAAGGCCCAAATAATTAAATGGAACAAAATACATTGAAACTTCCCATGTTTACTGGACAAGTGTAGTTTTTTAGTATATTCAAAATATTGTAGTTTTGTTCATTGCTGGTCGTCTCCTATGCCATGGAGATTGCAGTAGACAGAGGGAGGATCTCACAGGATCCCTTTCTAGCCTTGCTCACTTTTATCTGTTTGTAACATGGGTTACTGCTGCCCTTTTACCCCAGACCAGAAGAGGCTTCTGTTACTGTAACCAAAAATAAAGCCAGATTTAGCTTGCTGCTTAGCACCAATAAACAAACAAACAAACAAACAAATAAATGGTAAGCCCTGGTTCAGTCTGTTCAATATGCACACGCGTACACACGTATATATGTAGATGTGCCCACAGACAGTCACTATCACTTACAATTGCTAATGACTATATTCACATGTCACATTAAGCCAAAATTGAGCCAAAGCACTGTGCAATGCTCAGCATGTCAAACTTGGATATCTGTTTCTCGCCATCTATCTTTCTGCAGTTGTTGGTGGGGAACCAGCACCTCTGTACCCTTTGAATGTCTTGGAGATGCAATATGTATGGAGTTCAACAGTGGCTTCTTTTCATAGGTAGTGAGAGCTGTTTCTATTGTTGTTATCCTGAGTCAGGTTTCAACACTGAACTGGATCGGGTGAAGAATCTGCCTTTCTGCGAGACAGAGACATTTGAAATATGGTTTGACCCCCAGAGTGCCGGCTGTGCCCTTGGAGAGAAAGAAGTGCTATTGCCCATTAAGGTGCTTTGAAGGTTCTTTTACACACACACACACACACACACACACACACACACACACACAGAGAGAGAGAGAGAGAGAGAGAGAGACAGACAGACAGACAGACAGACAGACAGACAGACAGACAGACAGACAGACAGACAGACAGACAGACAGACAGACAGACAGACAGACGGGGGGGGGCACACAGAGGCACACACTCCAGAGTTATGCACTGCTACCTTCCCTAAAAGAGGAAAAACGGGCAAAAATTGTCTGGACCAGCTGGGTCAGGCTATGACGCATTGAGGAAGGGGCTCACTTCCGCTTCCTTGAGAGCAGGTGGAACCACCCGCTCTTTCAAGGAGGAATTAACCTTCGCCTAAACCAATTACACACACCCCTCTCAGGCGGACTTAATCGGCCAGGAGGGACCTGGATCTCATGCAGAAGTGGCCAGACTGACCTCTGAGAAAAGCTGTGTCCACTTCCTCAGGTTTAACAGAGTCAAACTTCTCCCAGGCCCCCTCCCCCATCAGTTAGCCCTGCTCCAAGGCCAGAGTCTAACATGGAGTGAATGTGAATGATTTAACCATGCAATGCCTAGCAGATTTCTTCCAGCATCCTTGTAAGGGAACCTCAGAGTTATAGTGTTGCCCATGAAAGGAAAAGTTAGGGGATGTGACGTGAGAGCTGGGCAAGTAGAGTTGAACTAGTATCTGACAAACAGTTTAGCTAGCCTGTCTGTAGAACCAACAGCTTATCCTAACAACTGCAAGAGCAGAATGACTGTGCCTTTATCTAGCGGGGTTGGCTTGGATATGTGAAACAGGCCATTCCTGCTTGGTGGGAAGGAACTTAAAGGCTAAAGGGAAGATCCTCTGACCTGCTTACAACAAGATGGAGTGGAGCAGTGGTTGAGATGGCTCCACAGGACTGGGGTAATGGGGGCTGTCCTTCAGAGCCTGAATTGCCTGGATTATTCCCATTCCCTTTTTCCAATTGTCCTCTCTAATCAGGACCTCTGGGCCCAGGAAAGGTTGTGCCCACTTGCCTCTTGGGGCATGTGCTGGGGCAAGAAATGTGTTTCAGTCCCCCATTTGACCTGTGGTTATGCCAGAAGTTCTGAGGGTGGGGATAGGTGGGTCTGGATGAGAATAGCAGTCATACACTATACATCACGCTCAGGAGGGTTTGATACGATTTGCTGCAGGTTGTGGCTGGTCCCACGTTCCACATCTCTCTTCGGGCCACGGTGATCATGCCATCTCTCTGCATCTCCAGTGACAATCTAGAGTTCTCTGCTGTCCAGTGTGGACAATGTCAGGTGGAGACCATCCAGCTTCACAACCAGCTGCAGGTGGTATGCGAGTGGTTTGCCACAAGCAATGAACAAATGAAAAAGGTAATGCACCACTGAAACAGACCTTGCTTTGCTCTTCTCTGATTGAATCTTGAAAAGCAGCTTGATCTGTAGGAATTTGGGGTGGGATGGAAGTTAAGTTGCTTGAAAGGTGCAGTTTTGGTTCTTAAGCTGAGCCCTTTGGATCTGTGTAACATTCAGGAAAATTTTAAGAAGTGAAAAACAAGATTCTTGTTTTCATATAAATTTAATAATATAACTTGCAAAAGATTTACCACAGAGAATTGATTACACAACTCTTGATTCTGTTTTGTTCCATGCAAATCTTTCAAAATGCAAAATAAGACTCCACAAAGCCTATGTCCCTATCCTCTACTTGATCAGTTGTTGATCATATACTATGGATCAGGAATATGCCTATGCAGTGGAGAAGGTGGAGTTGAATTCTTGTTTCTCTTGAAACCTCCATGACCCTCAGCTGCCTGCAAAAGGAAAACCTTTCATCCTTGTTCATATGGATGGAAAACCCACCCTACTTCCAGGGATACCGTAAAGGTGTTTCTAGAAGCTCAGTCAAAAGTTTGGTGTGGGCTGAGGCAATAATTCTCATCTTCTAGAGTGTGCTGTCCTTCAGAAGGATTCTTCGGAATGGAATAAAGAGGCAAGCTTTGTTCTTGACTTCATTGTTTGTTGTAAGCTCAGGTGGTTAAGCACATGCCGATGACCTTGCGCCGGAAAATGTGTGAACACAAGGAGAAGCCCCATGTCTTTGAGATGATTCCCCCGTATGGGATCCTGGCTCCCGGAGAGCGGCTCAATGTGCAGGTCAAGTTTGCCCCAAGAGAAGAGGTACGAAATGAGAAAGCTGTTTGGAGCACAACAAATATCCAAAGCGTTTTCAGGAAGAGCAGAGATGCATTGATGGCAGGAGAGGCAAAGAAAGGCAGACCATCCAATTCCTCATGCAAAGTAGATTTATTAAGGAGTCATCACGCCTGGATATTTCCTCACCTTCCCTGCCAGGATTCTGCCCACATGCCGTTCCTGCTCTTCAGTTGGCTTTATATATGGAAGAGCAGCTGGACTCTCCATTCTGAGCTCAGGCACTAGGAAGGGAACACTACCCCAAAAGGACTGGCCAGACAGTGATTATATTCCAATAGTCCAGATAGACAGCAAATCTTTTGGGCTAACTCTTTGCATTAATGCCTATTTTCCAACAGGACAGAACCCAAATATGTCTTTCTTTTTTGCCAGCTGTTCTGAGTTGAACAAACGTTACCAACTGAAGCTGGGAGGCTTTTGGGTTAAGATGATTTGGGGGCCTTTTTACCTGTTCTTATTTGTAATAAAGTGATATTATTTTTTACATCTTAGAAAATGTACCAGAATGTCCTGATCTTAAGCATTTCGCAGAGCACTCAGCAACTGTTGCTGAATGTCTCTGGGCAAGGTCTGGAGCCACGTCTTGAATTCAGCCCCTCCCTCCTGGAACTGGGGCCTCTCCTTCCCTATGGCATTGGAGATGAAGCCGAAGTGGTGGTGAAGAACCCCTGCAGCTTCCCTATTGAGTTCTACTCCTTAGAATTGGACCAGCAGTATCTTCTAGAAGAGCGGGTGAGCCATTTGTGCCAGTTAAGAATAACTCAAAGTGTTTACTGTATAAATAATGCTCCTCCAAGAAAATATTCTGAGGTCAGCAATTAAAAGGTCCTTTGGATGCAGAAATGCATCACAATGTCTGTAGACCTTAGAATAGGTTGTGCAGTTTTCTTGAGTCAAGGACCACACTTGAAATGGTTGGGGGCCACTCTCCCAAAATTAAAGGGGACCAGAGAATGAACCACCACCCAGACCCAATCACACATCCCCTCCCAGGTGGCCTTGACAACCAGAAGGCTTAGACTCGAACAAGGGAGTGGCTGACTTAACAGCTACAAGACTCCTGCCCGCTTCCTCAGATTCAACAGGATCAAACTTCACGCAGATAACTTCACCCTTTTAACCTTCAGTAGTTCTGCCCCAACACAGAGTGAATCCCAGCAATTTTATCCACAAGATGCATAATATATCTCACCGTTAAGCCTTCTAGGGAGAGACCAGGTCACCTGAAACCACTGGGCGGCTGCAATAAGCGGCTACCAAGGCTTTGGCCGGACTGTATAGCAGACCTTCCAGAACCAGCCAAGCTCCTTCTGGAGTCCAGTTGGTTCCATCAATCCCCTGGAGTTAGCCGGTCTAATAGGACAAGCCTCCCTGCAAAGGCAGGAGGTGACAGAGAGCTAGAGGCTTAACAGGGAGTGATCTCATCAAGGCAGAGAGAAAGCAATATCTCCTCAAAATCCAGAACACCTTGTCATAGCTCTGACAGTCAGATGTTACCACTATTATGCATTGGGCTCTGGATACCTGGGGCCAGGCTGTTAATGGTGGCCATGAACTCCTGAACTACCTCAGACCCTGTCCCCAGAGAAGATAAGCTGAAGTCCCCAAGACTTCAAGGGAGGAGCTGGTTCCGATAACTTATGGGGGTGCTGGCACATTCTCTCCTCAAGGGACTATTGCTCAGCCCAACTGTCTGGACAGTTTTCATCCAGTCACCAACCTCCCCTTTTTAGGGAATGTTGTGGAAAAATTGGCCACATGGCAGCTTCAGAGGATCTTGGATGAAGTGGATTGTCTGGACTGCTTTTAGTCAGGATTGAGGCCAGATTATGGGACTAAAAAAGAATTGATTGTGCTCTTGGATGACCTCTGGCAGGAGTGAGATGGGGGCAGTGCTGCCATTCTTGCTCTTTTGACCTGTCAGTGGCATTCAGTATTGTTGATCATGATATACTTCTGGACTAGCTTCAGGAGTTGGGGGCACTGTGTTGTGCTGCTTCTCCTTCCTCAGGGTCTGTTTAGTTGGTGTGGATGGAGGGAAGAAGTCCAGCAACTTGTTGGGTGCCACAGAGCCTGGTCCTCTCTCCCTTCCTATTGAACATCTGCATGAGGTGATCTGATGGCTTGAAATGAGATATCATCAGTATGATGATGATACCTAGCTTTACATCTCCATGCTGGGTTACCTGAGGGATGCTGTGTATGTCCTGTCCTAGTGCCCTAGAGGCTCCTGTGGTCTGGATGAGGTGCTCAGTCCAAACTAGACTGAATGGATTTGGGTGCTTGCACTTTCTGGGGACAAGGTACAATTCTTCATATTCTTGATTGATGAGATTCATGCCCAACCTATTGAATGAACTAGACAGGTAGAAACATCTGAGAGAAGAAGGTCCCTTTGATAGCCCAGTCCCAAGCCATGGAAAAAATGATAGGTGACATCTAGAATTGTAGAAATTGTTCTTCTAAAAAGAAACAAGAGTTTCTAAGAAAAGAACAAATCTAGATGGACAGAGCATTTCAAAATAATCCTCATCTGGACTGTCTGAGAGTGCCATGCTCAGAAAGTCTTTGTGGTTTGCCCTATCTTGACTGCAGATTTTGCGGATGCTGAAGGGCTACGATAACCACCATATCCTTCTGTTGCCTCCTCGGATGCCTGGAGAGAAGCTGCCTATTGAGGTGCTGGAATATTTTGAGGAACAAAAGAAGATTCAAGGCGACCAGGAAGGATTGAATCTGGATAATGGTGAGGGAGGGCCCCGTGGCCGGTAGGTCTGTGGCGGCCAGCAAGGAGCAGCGTGTTTTGCTCTGGCCTTTTCTGTCCATGGAAAAGAGCAAACTCCTTTTGACTTTTATTAAAGAAACTCTCTTTTTTATTAAAGAAACTCTCTAATTTTCTACCTCTGAAGAGAAGTCTAGTGATGGTAATGCCAGGAAAAAGGATAAAGAGGCAGAAACAATGTGCCTCACACAGATTCATTTTATTTAGCCATTAGGGCAGAATATCTCCTAGAAGTACTTGTGTCAATTTCCACAGAAGGAAGGTTGCCACTTAATTGATTTTCTTTCCCTTTGAATACGGAATAAACCTTCTGACTCCTTCCTGGAGGAGCAATGTAGGTGTAAGATAAAGGTAAAGGTTTCCCCTGTCCAGTCGTGTCTGGCTCTAGGGGTTAGTGCTTATCTCTATTTCTTGACTGAGGGAACCAGCATCGTCCAGAGACCCTTTCTGGTGTCATGACTATATGCCGAGGCACACAGAAGACTGTTACCTTCCCAGCAGAATGGTACCTATTAATCTGCTCACATTTGCATGGTTTCAAACTACTAGGTGGGCCGGAGCTGAGGCAGGTAATGGGAGTTCACTTTATTGCCTGGCACTCAGGTCTTGAACCCCGGGTTGTCCGCTTTCCAGCGGACAAGCTCAGTGTCTTTAACCACTGAGCCATTGCATCCCCTCATGATTTAGGTATATCTTCACATTAATCATTCAGATTAATGTGATAAACAAATATAGAAGTAGAAACAAATCCTTTGAGTAGAAATAGTTGGGCCGTGGAGCCAGTATGATCTTTGAAGTATCTTCCATGCAAATGAAACCACTTAAGTGACTGTGCAGTTTCCCTTTGGCAACCAGGAACAATGGCTGCTTGGGGAGAGGCAGGGGGAGAGTTGGTGCTCTGAGTTTGGTTAATTCCAGCCACAACACTAACCGAGCAAGCCAGCTGAAGGCAGAAGCTGTATGCACTGCCTGTAGTCCAGGAGAGTTGCCCCACCCATCATCTTGCATGGAAACCACAGGCTTCTTGCTCGGGGTTGTTCACAGGTTTGCAATCCCAGAGGCAAAGGGAGGGAGACCCAACCCTGCTTGGCGTTTTTCAGCCTGAAGCTGGGACCCTTCTTTCCCAACACACAGAGCCATGAAAAGGCGAACAGTCTTGACATGGCGCTGAAGAGCCAGGCTCGAAACTGGGAGACTGAGTTGCACATGGCAGCCAATCCAGACCATCCCACAGCAGGGTTGTGGTGAGAAAACAAGAGGCCAGAGCATTGGACATATAGACTATCTTGAGCTGGCCAGAGATAAAGGTGGAGTAAACATCAAATCCATAAAATAAGATAAACAGAAGAAATTAGATCATTTGGCTGAAATATTTCCTTGTTTTGATTGTTAAGAATTGCTGCCTATTCCTGGCAAGGCCTCGTCTAGTCATACTCCCGCTCCAGTTGGAACAATTAATTCCACATTAACTTTTTATTCCAAAATAGCACTGCCTATTTAACAAGAACTTAATTTTATCATTGATTTAATGGAGACACATATAAGTGTGGCTACAGTGTCTGTTCTGAGCCTATCTGTGTCCCGGATAGATGCAGAACCGTGAAGAAGCCTTGAAGTCGAGGCAGGGAGCAGTCATGCCAGAAGCTTCTCCCATGGGAGAAATAGCGAGTGGCTGCAATTACTCTCAAGACTCTGCTGTGCTTTGCTCTAGAATGCTCTCTTGGAAGCCTAAGGGCAGTGAGCATTCTTACCGGTCTGGTGTGCATGGCGTCCTTCCTCTTTTTGCTCCCGGACAGAGGAAGAAGAAAGCACTCACTTTTCTGAACATGGAATGAAGCCTCACCCTTCGGTTGTGCAAGCAGCAGCCATGGGGGCCTCTGCTCTTCCTTCTCTGTCACTCTTGGACAATAATCGGACGCTCCAAGCAGAATCCAAAATTGATCAGGAGGAAGAAGAGGAAGAAGACGGAACCGAAAAAGGTCAAGTGCAAGGTGAGTGCGTTCTTAGTTTTAGATGCAGAAGGACTTACTTGCTTCCTCTATTTTGCTGGTAGCTATTTATTTTATTTTATTTTATTTTATTTTATTTTATTTTATTTTATTTTATTTTATTTTATTTTATTATTTTATTTTATTTTATTTTATTTTATTTTATTTTATTTTATTTTATTTTATTTTATTTATTTTTTCAATAATTTAGAACTTGTCTCCAAGGGTTCTTCTAGTATAAATACCAAGTTATCCGCAAATGCTTGTAGTTTGTATTTTTCATCTTTTATCCCCATTCCCTTAATTTCTGGGTCTTGTCTAACATTTCTATTCAACACTTCCAAAGTTAGTATAAATAGCAATGGAGATAATGTACACCTGTGGTGGCGAACCTATGGCACGGGTGCCACAGGTGGCACTCAGAGCCCTCTCTGTGGGCATGCGCACCATCGCCCCAGTCCTAGGTCTTCAGCTGGGTTTTATAAAACCTTTTCGCTTTAGGCCTCCGCCGCCATGTGCAAAAACAAAAAAAAGATTCAATCAATCAATCAATTTCAACTTCTTGCAGGAAAAAAAAAGATCTCTCAAAGTTGGAATTGATTGATTGAACTTTTTAGTCTCACCCAGTCTGAGTTACCACCACAGCCACGCCTACCCACTGGGCCACGCCCACCCAAATGGCCACATCCACCCAATGGGCCACGCCCACCCGGCACCGGAGATACATAAGTGGGTTTTAGGTTGCAGTTTGGGCACTTGGTCTCTAAAAGGTTCGCCATCACTGATGTACACCCTTGTCTTGTACCTTTTTTATATTAACATTCTCTGTAAAATCTCCATTTACAATTACTTGGCTGTTTGTCTAAGGTATATTGTTTTAATTATATTTATAAATTTTTCTTCAAAGCCCATACAGTTTAATTGTTGAATCATAAATTGCCAATTTACATTATCAAAAGCTTTCTGTGCATCTAGGAAAATTAGTGCCATTTGTTTCCCTGGATGCATTTCATAGTATTCCAATGTATCCAAAATGATTCTTCATCAATGATTTGGACAAGGGGATAGATGGGGAACTTATCAAATTTGCGGATGACACCAAGCTGGCAGGAATAGCCAACACTCCAGAAGACAGGCTTAAGATACAGATGGACCTGGACAGACTTGAACACTGGGCGCTATCTAACAAAATGAAATTCAATGGTGAAAAAAGTAAGGTTCTACATTTAGGCAAGAAAAACCAAATGTGCAGGTATAGTATTGGGGATAATTTTTTCAAGGATCATAGAAGATGGGCTTCAGGAAGACACCTGCAATTTCCTTCAAAATGTAATTGGTCTAATCATGGATGGAGATCTTAACTTACTTGTGGTAGGATTTCCCATTTCCTATGCAGTTCAGAATTCTTTTAAATCTTTGCTTTATCCAAGGATCCCCTTGCATCCCAAACAGTTTGTCAAGCTTCCCCCCATTTGTAAGATGCAAGTTGAAAAAATTGGGAAACTAAATAGATGGTTCTAAAATCTACAGATGGATGCTAGGGGAGCATTGCTACAGAAGATGTCTAAAAGCAGTTTGAAAATAGTGCTGCTATCTGGTTGACCAAAATGCCAGGTTTTTTTCCAGCAGGGAGTCAACAAAGCCTCAACAAGCATAAGGAAACAGTTGGAGAGCTAGACAACAATCCTGTTTCTAAAGCCATTGCTCGCCATCTTGGCATTGATATCTCTCCAGAAGGACGTGCTGCCAGAAATCGCAGGGGTATTGCTATTATAATTCACGGAGCTCCCCTTACAGGTAAATGGCTTTTCTTGGACAACCAGGGTGTGTGTGGAGTAACACAGCTGCCTGCCCCAAGCCGTGCCCTCTGATACTAGGTTGGGCAATTTTCACTGATTCCTCTGCTTTTTTTTTATTCCTCTCCCAATCTTTTCTAATTAGTTCTTTTATTTAGTGTTAAGAATTTGGCTTTGGTTTCCTAAGTCTTGAAAAGGAATGTCCTGTTCACCCCATATAAAATATTAAATGCATGTGGGTTTAAGATTTTGTTATGGTATAATGTTTTTCAGCTTTAGGAGTGCTGGTCTCCTAGCCTCCTAAAGTCTAACTGCCCCCTGTACCTACTGAATTATGGTAAATTAATTAAGTTAGATTCAGAACAATGATAGTAGAGCAAGCCAGCTTTACAGAGAGTTGTTCCACACTCTACCACTACCAGGTCCTCTTAACACCAAACTGAAAGATATTCCACACACTGTGGGACAAACTTTATGTGGCTTTTGTAGACTGAAGGTATCTTCAGTTCAACCCTGAGGCAGGTGATGAGGAAAACTGGCTGCCTTATCCACTCAGACCGATTATGAAGTTGTACAAGGAAACACCAAGTTGAAAACTACTCTGTAGGCAAAAGAATTTAGGTTCTAGCCCCAAATCTATAGCCTAGGCCAGGGGTAGGCAACCTTGGCTCTTTTATGACTCGTGGACTTCAACTCCCAGAATTCCTGAGCCAGCCATGGACTAGGAAGTCCATGTTTAATTTCCCCTAACATTCATTGTGCAACATAAAGAACTTTTATATCAGTCAGATTCAATATCCTGCCTTCAGGACATAGTGTGGTGGCGCAGTGGTTAGGATGCAGTACTGCAGACTCCTTCTGCTGATTGCCAGCTACTGCAGTTCGATTCTCACTGGCTCCAGGTTGACTCAGCCTTCCATCGTTCCGAGGTCGGTAAAATGAGGACCCAGATTGTTGGGAGCAATAGGCTGACATTTGTAAACCGCTCAGAGAGGGCTGGAAAGTGCTGTGAAGCGGTATATAAGTCTATTGCTATTACTGTTAACCTCTCCTGGAGATAAAATGATATAGCCACACAAGGGTATCTTTGCCCTGTTCACCTGACCTCAGATCTGGATGTCCATGCAGCCAGACTGACCACTAGTTGCATTCACCTGTGGAATCTGACACAAAAACTTGCCTTCCTATTGTCCTAGCTATACAATATTTTGATAACGAAATGACTGTGGGCAAGGGAATCCAGATGTGTCTGTGTTTGTGAACTTCTGTATCTTCCATTCCCCCAGGGAAGACCAGTGCTGCTGTAGTCCTGGCCAAACACTACAGTGCAGCCTGCTTGTCCATTGATTCGGTGGTCCTGGAAGCCATCTCAGATGGGAGCAGTTCAGCAGGGCTTCATGCACGTGAACTTTGCATCCGAGCTGCTATTGAGCAGGCCCAGCGAGAGAACGAGGATGGTGGTAAGCAAGATGAGTGAGTTTGGGGGAGTCCAGCATTACCTCATGTTTCCAAACAAGCCTTGCTTTCCTCCCCTTCCATCTCTTCTTGGTCCAAATTTAATATCTCTGTAGGTCAGTTTGATCTCTGTCTGTGGCTTTGGCTACTCTTAAGAAGCTTGTCAATTTTTAGATTCCAATTTTTGCTGGAAGTTTGAATTCTAGAGATGTGTTCAGTTTTCTTAGGTATAATGTTTCCTCCACTTTGAAATTCCAAATAAAGTGGGAAAATAGAGGAGCTGCAAAATAGACCTGTTCCGGACTTCTGGCAAAGAATTATAAACTGAAAATGGCTCCACTAAAAGCTGATCTGAAGATGATAGCACAAAGAAGAGCCAGTGAGGAGAATGACTCTCTTAATTCCATATTCTCTTAATAATGCGTTAAGTTGAGGACTTTAAAATCAGACATTAAAAATAATTTTATAACTAGATATGGGACCTCTATTTCATGTGTTTATAGGTAGTCTTTATAGTAGAAGTCGTTTGTCAAGTAAAATTTTATAGTCCAAGGTATTTCATCATCTCATATAATAACCAATGTTCCTCAAATAAAGAGATAGGAAAGCAATTCCCCACATATAACTCTGAAAGTCAGTAAAGGTTTACATTCATAGTTCAAGCACTCCAGTTATGCTGCCCAGAAGTTCTCTTTACAGCTGAATTTCTCACAGGTGGTCTCTATCAAAGTCAAAGAGTTTTATCTGAAGTCTGGGCTTCAAGCCAAGTCTCTTTTAGGCAATACAAGTTGTAATACCAAACTTCGCCACAAGATGTCATTGATGCCGTTAAAAACTTTTTAAGTCCCCCGTTTTTATAATAGTTTTTCAAAGTTTATTTCTTTTCTTTTTAAATAAAAATCAGCGTATCCAGTAGAAATAGGAATAAGAAAACTTTTAGGAAAAGTTTTTAGTCCCCAAATTTCAAAAGCATATGCATCCAATTAGATTAAAGTTGTTTTTATCATTGCTTTGTTTCCCCTGGGTAGTCAGTCGCCGCTGTTGTTAGAGGGTGGGGCAGGAATTCCCTTCCCACTCTCCTCACAGGAGGGAAAATACTTAGGGCAGCTTTTGCAGGAAAGATATTTAGAGTCTTAAAGAAAAGATCAGATCTCACCCAGTTTCATCCGCGTTGCTTTAAAGGTCTTGGTAATAATTTTGACTTCGGCTGTCAGCAGCTTAATGACGAGCCATATTGCTATGGCTGTCTTTCCCCCACTGGTTTGGAGAGCTGCCCCGGATCAAGCGGAAGGGCTGCCGCCCTCCTGCGATCAAGCAGGGATCCCCTCCTCACTCGTCGCCCCTACAAGGTGACTTTCGACCCTTTCCAGGGTCCCCCAGTGGGATGAAATCGGATGCTGAAGACAGAGTTCGCCTCCATGCGTTTGAAGGCGCCAGTGGCAAACCGGAAGTCCCACATGCCTCCAGATGAGTCTGAAGTGGCAGATTGAGGCACTCAGTATCGTATAGAAGGCAACTAAACTCAAGTATTTCAAGATGGCTCTCCTAGAACACTAAGAAAAAAAGGGAAATATTTGTTCTTCTCATAGAAATTGAAAGACTCAAGCAGATGGGAAAATTCCGTTTGTTTTGGAAGTCTTCTTGGAAATTAAAAATCAGAATGATTAAACAGGCCTTTTATATGTAAAATTAACTTCACCAGACTCATGGACCTTCATAGCACTAAGAAGAGTGCTAGAGATGAAGAGGAGAAACCTGATACGGCTATTAAAATAAAGCCAAAATGGAAAAGACAACATTGATCTCACTAAGTGCAAATGAACTAAACTTGCCTCATAAACAAAAACAAAATTTTAGTAAAACAAAGCCAATTTTGCTTGTCTACAAAAACACTTATAAAACAAACCCATGTTAATTTATTGAAACTAGACCAGGAATACATAGCATTGAAAAGACAAAAAAAAATAGCAATTTATCTTAAATCACTTTCTGGGGAAGTACCAGAACAAGGCAAAGGAGGAAATTTAATTCTAACATTTAGAAAAGAAGATAAGATTTTAACACCGGCATCCATTTAAGCTACAAATAGAAGTATGGACCAATTGTAGGAACAATTCTCCCAGATGTTAATAGGAATTGCAGAGGGGATAATTATCACAGGAGACATGAATGGAGTGCCACATCCAAGCTTAGATAAATCATTCCCCAATCTCCAAAAAAAGGACCATTTTCAAGGAAGGTTTTCCAATATATCAATATATTGGCTTTGCTCCATACTTGAGATTAAAGAACTCAAAAGCCGGGAACTACATGCTTTTCTCAGGAGAACACCAAATGTGCCCAAGAAGTGATGTGTTCTGGATCTCCAAGGCCACCGAGTGGAAGGGATGCAGATTTGTTCAGGGACATAGGCAAACCATGCCCTAATTCGAAGAATTTTCTTGGTCTGATTTTCTGAGCCAGGTCACATAATACGCCACAAACCCAAATGGGCAGCTGCTAGAAGTAGAGTTTATTCATTCAGCCATGTACAATGATTAAAGGTAGTCCACATTGTTAGGGGTCCACCAGTAGAGATATACTGCATATATAATGACAAGCAGGCTTTGCTGTTTAGATATGCAGACTGAGGTGTTCCTGCCTTGGACTTTGATCCTGAGGTGCATGTTGGCTGTGTATAGAAGATCCTCCTTAAGTGTGTATTCCTATGAGGAGATGTGGCATCTTTCCTTGTCTTAAGGGGATTCTTTGATGGAGCCAGCTAAGTGTCAGGATTATATGTTGATTCTGAGGTTTCGGCAATTCAGAGGGCTGCTAAAGGGGAATGGGAGCAAATTAAAAGCTTTTCTATGTAGATTTTAACATAGAAAAAACAGTTAATTTCAAATGGAGGATGAATGGAAACGTTGCATACTGTAGAAATGCAAAAAACAATTCATTTAAAAGAAAAAGAAAAAGAGTTTTCGGAGACAGCCACCTGGGAGGCAAGGAAAGCTTATATGAAAAGCAAATCAGAAAAACCAGATTCATAAAAATAGATTAAAAACATTGAAAGGGATAATTAAAGGTAAACAACAATTAGAGGTATTGGAAATAACAGAACTTCAAAAGTAGATGAAATGTGTCAACCATATCATTTTGAAAAAGCAAACAAACCAGGGAAAATTCTGGCATTTCCAATTAGAAGACATTGCCTATAGAGAAATGGTGCATGGAAGAGCTTCCCTGAAGGGAACTAAATTTGGGGGGCCCAGGCGGGACTTCTAGAGCAGTGGTTCTCAACCTTTTTAATGCCGCGACCCCCAACCGGTCATAAGTTGAGGACTAAACCGGTCGTAAGTCGAGGACTAAACTGGTCGTAAGTCGAGGACTACCCAACCGGTCGTAAGTCGAGGACTTTCCCTGCCCGGGAGCGCCGTGCATGCGTGGTTCTCCCCCCTGCGCCGGCCGAGGTGTAGCTGGCAAGCGGCAGAGACGGAGCAGGCCGACCACCAGCTGGCCCAGCCCAAGGGAGGTAAGGCACCCGCCGGAAAAGGGGAAAAAAAATGGCGGACAGCCTTGCTTGGCGACCCCCGTGAAATGGTCGATCGACCCCAAATGGGGTCGCGACCCATAGGTTGAGAACCGCTGTTCTAGAGCCTGAAGAATTCTCTGGGTGCAAGGAGAACCCAAGAAACGATCCCAGCGGCTCTCCAGACAGCCGGCCCTTGTGAGAGGGTTGTGACATAGAGGCTTTGTTATCGCCTGGGGAGCCATCTGCTGCTGGGAGATTGGTTTTCATCACGTTCAACAGCTACTTGGCATCTGAGGGACAAAGAGATGCTAGATCTGGCCTTCCCATTTCTCAAACATTTCATTAATTTTTAAGTTGAAGAGAAGCTTTGAAGCTACGTATTTGTGTGTAGCAAAAATCTGAAAACTCTAGGTTCATCAGTTCACCAGTTCATTTGAAGGGGAAATTAGAGTCAGATGTTTCAATCCATAGGTTCCTAGTCAGGTGTGAGTTTGTGTGTGTGTGTGTGTCCTTTCTTCTTTAAAGCACAAAAATATGGGTCAATAATATAGTGATGTGGAAGTGGGTCATGGCTGCAACAAAGGGCATTTCTTTCAGAGATTTGTTTTTTTCAGAGGAGTTGCAAAAAAAGAAAAGCCCTAATTAATACTTTTCCTGCCTGTCAACAAGGAAGAAAAAACCTTTTCTTGCACTCCTCCTTCTAGCCTTGTTCCTCCCCTCCCCACTTTTTTTCCAAGGCACAGAGGGGCAGCCGGCCCTCACTCTAGCCACCCGGCTGAGCACCGAGGCTTTGGCCAAGCACACCTCGAATGGCAGCCAGCAAAGCTCCGAGTCCAAGACTGGGCCCCTCTCCAACGTCTCCCGGGGTTACCGAGGAAGCACCGCCACAGCCAAAGGCAAGCCAGAAAGCCACTTATCCCTGAAGCAGCAGCAGCAGCAGCAGCAGCAGCAGCAGCAGCAGCAGCAGCAGCAGTCAGATCAGCCAGGATCCCAGGTGAAAACCCATGGGCAGATAGTCCTCACTTACTGACTATAATTGGACCAACTCTGTCGAGAACTGGCACAGTCATTAAGTGAATCTCTGGGGGCTTATTGAGTGTGACATCCTGTGACTGCATCTTAACACTTCCTGCCAGCTTGTTCACTGACTTCACTTCTCCAAAGGTTGCAGCTGGAGCTCTCGTAGCTGTGAGGCACTGTTGCAAATGAGCCCCGGTTGCCATATGCCCCAAGCACAATCAAGTGAATGCGGATATGCTGCACTTGCAACAAGTTTGAATGCTGGTCGTAAATCTCCTTCAGCACCACTGTAACTTCAAATGGTCATTGAACGAGTAGTCAGTAAGCAAGGGCCATCTGTATGACAGTTCACTAACTGAGTAGTAAAATATCTCCAAATACCAGCTCTCAGTGGAAGCCACATCATCTTTTCCCCCCCATTTGAAATGGACAATGAGGTCAGCTGTGCTTAACAATTAAACTGCTGCTTGACAGTCTGAATGACATCTAAATACCAACAATTAGTTTGTAGAGATTTTCTTTAATTGATCTATCAGGTGATTGGATCATTTCCTGGTTTAGTTTTTCTAAATTCCTTTCTGACTTGTCTGGGACTCCTTACTATATCTGACATATAACATCTGCCAGTGAGAGGTACTTGTATTAATAAAGGAGAATATTTGTAGCTCAGGGTTGACATGAGGGGTCCTTGGTGCTCTTTGAGCTTGCTTGTTTTCTTGCAGATGTTTCATTAACAAATATTCCTCCATCTGTGCCCCTACTTCTTTATTCTTTTCTTTTGGGGCTTTCTGAAATATTGCTCTTCTGTAATCAAAAGAGAAAGAGTAATTAATTTTTTCATTAAGATAACATATTGTAACATATGGCAAAACAGGTAATACAGCACAGTAAAATATTTAATTGTTAATTACAAAAAGTGAATGTCTAAACTTTTTAGCACTAATTCCTAACTGATCTGTTAATTTTCTAACTGCCTTCCCAGGTGCCCTCCAGCCCTATTCCCAGTGCCCCCCTCCAGCGACGCCTGAGTGTCAGTGCCAGTGGGGTTGGGGATTATGGTCTGATGAGTTGTGTCCTTCCAGATGAGCTATTGGTGGAGATTCTTTCGGAGAGGATGCAGGTAATTGCAGCCAGAAGAAAAAACCAAGGGAGTGTCAGGCACAATAGCTCATAGCAATATTTGTAAATTACCTAGTGAGCTTTTTGAAATCGTGGGCGCTCCATCACTGGAGATTTTTAAGAAGAGGCTAGACAGTTACTTGTCTGAGATGGTATAGGTTCTCCTGCTTGAGCAGGGGGCTGAACTAGAAGACCTCCAAGGTCCCTTCCAGCTCTATTCTATTCTTTTCCAGTTTCTTTAAACATGTCAATGGAGCTTTATTTATTTATTATAAAAACATTTCCAATTTCATTGCTTTGCTTTACTTAAAGGCTAGTTGGTGCATAGTTGGAACATAGAACATAAAATAACAGGATTGGAAGAGATCCTGGAGGTCTTCTAGTCCCTGGCTGAAAGAGGAGATCGTATACCATTTCAGACAAGTGATTGTCCAACCTCTTCTTGAAAACCTCCAATGATGGAGCACACACAACTTCTGAAAGTGAGCCATTCCACTGATTAGTTGTTCTCACTGTCAGGAAATTTCTCCCTAATTCAAGGTTGGATCTCTCTTTAACAATTTTCCACACATTACTTTTAGTTCTGCCTTCAGGTGCTTTGGAGAATAAGTCAACCTCCTCTTCTCTGTGACAACCCCTTAAGTATTGGAAGATTGGAAATGTCAGAATTCATGAGACTCTCAGGAAGACGCTGAACAACAATGGTGTACATCGCAGATTGCAAGGAAAAAAACACTATTGTCCAAAAAGAACATTGCTGCCCATCTATATTTTGTGAAAGACAATGCGATAAGCTAGAGGGCTATTGAAATAATGTTCTGTGGACAGATGAAACCAAAATAGATTGTTTTTGATTTGAATGAAAAGCAGCATGGTTTGGCAAAAGAGGAATGCTGCCTCTGGACCAGGACAGCTTCCCATCTTTGATGAAACCAAGAATTCTGGATTGTATGGCAAATTCTACAGGGAATTGCCAGGGTATCTGTTCATGAACTGGAGCTCAAGAGAAAGTGAGTCATACAGGAAGAGAACAACTCAAAACATACCAGTTGTATGACCAAAGAATGATCAAAGCAGGAGGAAGTCATGTTTTGGAATGGCCAAGTCCAAGTCCTGAGCATAACCCTATAGAAATATGGTGGAAGGACCTGGAGTGAGTAGTTTGTGTGAGGAAGTCCACCAACTTCCCTGAGTTGCGGCTACAGGATTTGGGTCTGGCTAGTCTAAGGAAAAGAAGAAATAGGGGAGACATGATAGCAGTGTTCCAGTATCTGAGTGGCTGCCATAAGGCAGAGGGGGCCAGGTTGTTCACTAAAGAACCAGATGGAAGGACGAGAAACAACGGTTGGAAACTGACAAAAGAGAAGCAACCTGGAACTAAGGAGAAATTTCCTGACAGTGAGGACAATCAACCAGTGGAACAGCTTACCCCCAGAAATTGTGGGCGCTCCATCACTGGAGATTTTTAAGAAGAGACTGGACATCCTGAGACGATATAGGTTCTCCTGTTCAAGCCTAGAAGACCTCCAAGGTCCCTTCCAGTTCTATTCTACTCTGCTCTACTCTACTCTGCTCTGCTCTGCTCTGCTCTGCTCTGCTGTGCTCTGCTCTGCTCTGCTCTGCTCTGCTCTGCTCTGCTCTGCTCTGCTCTGCTCTGCTCTGCTCTGCTCTGCTCTAACATTCCTCCAAGCTGATGTACCAGACTGATGAACAGTTATTGGAAATGCTTAATTTCTGCTCAGAGGGATTATACTGGTCACTGAAAGTAAAGGCTCACAAATGTGTAGCTTTGGATCGATGCATAAGTCTCACGTTTTGGACTCATTTGTTTAATTGGGTCCTTTTTGCCTAATTTTAGGACGTGTGGAGAACTGTATAGTGTCTCCTGTTATGGTTGGAGGGTTGGACTAGAAGACCTCCAAGTTCCCTTCCAACCCTATTATTATATGTTCTATGTTCTAATCCTATTCTACACCCTATTATATGAGTATAGAATAAAGCAGTAGTTAAATAGGCTTGTTATTGGGTATGTCCAAGAAATGATGGCATAAACAGACATATGTTGGATTCGTTCAGAAGGGCAGTTGCCATCTGGGTTTCTACTGCACAGTGAGATATTTCCCTTTTTGGAAAAAATACCAAAACTTAACAAATGAGATACCACTAGAAGGCTCCTGCTTTCTGCAAACAGGGAGAAAGTGGTATAGGTTTTTAAGAAAAGACTGGACAGTCATTTGTCTGAAATGATATCAGATCTGCTGCTTGAGCAGGGGTTGGACTAGAAGACCTCCAAAGTTCCTTTCAACTTTGTTATAATTATTGCTAGAAAGGCTTGAGGAAATTGTGAATCCCCACAGAAGATGACATCATTAGGAGCATGAGACTCTGTGACACAAAACCTATAGCAGATTCCAGTCGACTGTTCTGTGCTACAGAAGTAGTTTTTTTGAATGCCAAAACCATACCAAGGGTTGAGTCCTACAAGACAGGAGTCTCCAAGAGAAGGACAAGGGGGGACATAATAGCAGTGTTCCAATATCTCAGGGGCTGCCACAAAGAAGAGGGAATCAAGCTATTTTCCAAAGCGCCTGAAGGCAGGATAAGAAGCAACGGGTGGAAACTAACCAAAGAGAGAAGCAACCTAGAACTAAGGAGAAACTTCCTGACAGTTAGAACAATTAACCAGTGGAACAACCTGCCTCCAGAAGCGGTGAATGTTCCAACACTGGAAGTTTTTAAGAAGAAACTGGACAGCCATTTGTCCGAAATGGTATAAGGTTTCCTGCCTGAGCAGGGGGTTGGACTAGATGACCTCCAAGATCCCTTCCAACTTTATCATTATTATTATTATTATTATAACCATGACAACTGTATACGATTTGTGGACTTCAACTGCCAGAATTCTTCAGCCAGCATCACTGGCTGAGGAATTCAGGGAGTTGAAGTCCACAAGTCTCAACTTGCCAAGGTTGGAAACCCCTGCTGCAAGATACTAACATTGCTGAAGTTGCTAGATCACTCAAAAGCAATGCATGTCTGGTCAAATCATTGGCTCCGGTTTCTTAATCTTTTCTTTATGAGAAAAATGGGCATTCTTATTGGAAACCAATAAATCTCTGCTTCCTTGCATTTCTGGAGGACTCTAATAAGTTGACTTTGGCTGCCATTGAAATCCATGCCTTTCATTTGCATTAGAGGGATGTGTGCACAGCACTGCTACACTGTTTACTGGCCTAAATGTGGTTTGCTTCCATTTTTGGACAGCTGAGTGATTGCTATCGTGGCATGGTGTTCGATGGGTTGGAAACTATGTTTGCCCGCAGCATGGTGTCAGCACTCCTCTGTCTGCTCAAAGCGATCAACAACCGACGGTATATCTATTTTGTGAACCTCTTCCAAGATTTTGCTGCTATGAAAGCTAGAGAGATAAGCAAGCAAGAGCAGGAAGGTAAGAATGATGTGGTTTTTGTGGGCTCATCCAATCGTTCTTTTTTGTGTCTTATTCCTAGTTATATTCTGTGGAATCAGGCGATGGAATTTGTGGTTGTCAGATTTGAGTTCCTTCTTCCCTTCCCTTCCCTTTCTCACCTCATCTTCTTTTTGTAAGAACTGTAATGGGATGGGAACTCAGGCATTGCCATCATTAATGGATGGAGGCCCAGTTTGCAGACTGAGACATCTCTTTTCCTTCTTGATCTCTGTGGAAGAACGGGAAGAGCAGGAAGCTGTTGCAAGAGAGAAGGCTCGTCTTCAGGAAATGGATGAAGAGGAATATGATGCCCTTACTGAAGAACAGAAGATCCAGTTTGACAATGAGCTGCTGCAGGCCTTACGGGAGAGAAAAAGAAGGTGAGGAAACTCTTCCCTTGCAGGTCTCCGAATTTGTTTGGGTGTCACAGAGGAAGATGAATTGTGGTTTTATGGCAAGGCACAGGATGTGGCTCTTACCAAAACTGTGGACCTTAATCTAGGGGAAAAATTAGTGAAATTCATGGCTGAATGTTTTATAGACATTTGTGTAGATTTATTAAAAATTCTTCTCCTTATTAAATGGCTGGAAGGGAGCTGGAGAAGCTAGCTCGGGAACTGGAGGAAAAGAAGCATCAACAAGAACTGGAGCGGCTGCGGGAGGAAGAGGAGGTGAAGAAGAAGTCCAAGCGATATAAGAGGGATGGGGGGAAGGAGAAAGAAGAGGCAGCGGGGAAAAAAGGCCAGCAAGGAGGCAAGCAGGTAAGTCTCAAGGGAACTCCTGCCCAACTGCTGCATTGCTATCCACCCCACCAGGTGGACCAGTCCAGGGGGTCAGAATCTGGCAAGTCTGGTGGGGTTTTACTTCCTCCTTCTCTTGGCTACAGTGCAGGGAATTAGGGAGGCGCCTGAGCCACTTCTGAGCATTATCTGGACGTTCTGAACTAGAACCATTTTTAGCCCCTTTGCCTAAGCAACAGAACCTGTATATTTCCATCAGGGCCATCTTCTTACACTCTATATGGGCACCTCCCACACCATTATACTTTGGGTCACTAAACTGATGCCACTGATGGAGCAATCCAGATGGCTTTACTCCCTGATTTGCCGTTACTGATGAGCAGGCAGAGGATGCCAGCTTCTTTGGTCATGAAGGCCGGGCGCCAGAAAGCCTGGGAGCCTGGCTCACAGAGGCACTTTTCCTTGATGCAAGCACAAGACGGGCAGAACAGCTGAAGGCTCCCTTCCTTTTCCTCTCACAGAATCCCACTATATCAGCTTACAAATCGGATGGGAAGCTGAATGAAGGGCTAGAGCGAAAAGGTTCTGCCAAGGAGCGTCCAGATGTGAGTGTCAATGACAAAGATGAGAAGAAAAAGAAGAGCAGAATGGCCTTGCAGAATGGGCAGCCAGGCACGGCACCCCCTGCCACCCAGGAAGAGGAGGAAGCAGAAAAGGACATGAGCGAGAGTGAGAAGAACTTGGCCCAGCGGTTCAAGCTGTACGAGGCCAGCCAGAAGGAGATCGCTCAGATCCTGGTGTTCTGGGACAGGGCTCAGTTGGTTCAGCTGCAGCCACCAGGCTCGGAGGACAAGCAGGAGGAAGCTGAGGATCAGCGCCAGGCTCCGTCTGGTCGCAAAGGCAGGAAGGACCGGGAAAGAGAGCGCCAGGAGAGGCTGGAGAAGGAGCGGGCAGAAAAGGAACGCTTGGAGAAGGAGAAGGCAGAGCGGGAACGCCTGGAAAAGCTCAAGGCCCTGGAGGACAGCAGAGCCGCCGGACTGGAGGGAGAAGGAGAAGGCATGGAGAGGGACATTGGCATCCCCTCTCTGGAAATCCATGTGCTCAGTTCCGAGGAGTCCAGTGGCAAGCGGATTCTGGAAAGTGGCAAGCTGCCCAGGGTCATCCAGGTGAGTCCTGGTGTGATCCACCCAATGGTGGGCTGGGCTGGGCTTTGCAGGGAGGGAGTTGCAGGCTGGTGGGAGGTCTATGATGGGATTCAGGGCATTAGCTGTGGAGGACATGTAAGGGACATCCAGTCAGACTGAGAAAATGCTGGTCACTCCAAAGAGTCAACAAATTAAGGCACTCTTTAGTGCTTTGCCTTTTTACAAGCTATGTGAATATCTACTGGTATGTGTATAGGGTGGGGGGATGGCCTGCTCATGCTGCAGACTCAAGAACCACCAAATGGGAATCAGGCTCCAGACATTTTGTTTCCTGGTTTTTTCAAAGATAGTTTCTCAAAGCTAATTTGCCATCTAAAAGCATTCCATAATGTATACACTTATGGTTCCTGCATCATTGGCTTGTCTGAATACTGAAGGCTGGCCAATCAGTGCAGAGCTTCTGTTCAATGGTTAGGAAAGCCAAACCTGAATCCTAGGATGGTTTGACATGTCTCCTGTGGCTGCCCCGAAATAAGTTGATAAAACTTTGGGATCAGGCTAAAAACAAAGGTTCAATATGTGTGTTTGCAATTTCATTAAGGATGGCATGGAAGTGACAACTCCTTTATCCCTCGCTCTAGATCTTGAATGGTTTGGGGTTAGGCCCTTCAGGAGCGCCCATCCCTCCCACAGCCTTTTTCTCAGTGATCCCATACCCTGAGAAGCGACCAGCACAAGTTGCCTCAGAAGTTCTCAAGCACTTCACCTTCATTATTCCTGAAGAACTGAATCCAGAAGAAGACAAAAAGGAGGCCGAGAGTGGTGTGGAGACTCCAGCGAGTCTCCCTGTGGCGAAGGTATGAAGTTGCTGCTTAGTGATACCTGGGCTGCATGGAGTAGTTTAGTTGACAGACGCTGATGTTGCTTTTTAGTGTGTGGTGTAAGCCCAAATCCTGCCAGTAAAAGTGCTGGGTAAATGTCCCCTCTGTCTGTATTGAACAGAATCTCTCCATTCCCTTATCTTTGATCTGGGACAGTACCCAACTGGGCTGAGTTCAGAGGATAGACACCAAGATGGGGAAGGTTCTGCCATCAGCCTGTCTAAGGAATGCTCAAAGGATTTGGGTAATTTAAACATTATTTTTTTCTCTTTAAAAAGAGAAGAAGACCTAGGAAAAATACAATGCAATCTTAACAAAATAACAGAGTTGGAAGGGACCTTGGAGGTTTTCTATTCTAACCACCTGTTCACCCAAGAGACCCTATACCAATTCAGACAAGTGGCTGTTCAGTCTCTTCTTAAAAACCTCCAGTGATGGAGCAGCCACAACTTCTGAAGGCAAGCCGTTCCACTGGTTGATTGTCCTCACTGTCAGGAAATTCCTCTTTAGTTCCAGGTTGCTTTTCTCCTTGATTAGTTTCCATCCATCCATCGAAAAATGTTGTCCCCAAAAATATGGAGCCACCTATGAATAGAATCAGGAGAGGACATGCCAAAACCAAGGCAAAGCTCTTCAAGTGGGGAATGGCCTTAATCCTAACTCTGAGCTTCTTGCCAAAAGAGGGCAGCCAGCCCCCCTCTGTGTGCAAAACTGGTTATGATCTGAGCTTCCTTTCCCCAACCAAAGGCCGGTGCCCCTCCCACCGTGCACCAGACAGTCAGAAAGGCTTTCCGGCCCAGGATAGGGAGGGAGCTTGTACGCCAGGCTAGAACTGCGAGAACCTCCCTTTCCCAGGGCAGCCTGCCGGCTCAGCTGCCCTCTCTGCCCTGGGCTAGGAAGAGAGTCTCTCTGAGGGACTTTTGCAAGTGGTGCCGTCTGGTGCTGAGTTGAAAGAGGGAGAGGAGGCAAATCAGCATTTAGTCATTGGTGTGCAGGAAGAGACCCAGAAAAGATCCTCCCTAAATCTTCACAGCATTTATTTGATAGTTACAGAGAGCATGGTTTAGTCCGAAAAGACTCCTGTCTGAAGGCAAAGAAACAATAAAGAAACTATTTTGAGCAATTCATTGTGTCATTTTTGGTTTCCTCGTGCCTGACACTTTATCAGCAAGTTGTACCTGGTTTTGCAGTTCTAGTAGTGCGTTCTTGTGTTCTTCCTCAACCTTATTAATAAAACTTACAGATCAGACCTCTGGAAGATGTGCTCTTGGATTAACCATGTCCATTCTGGCTGCTGCCCCAAAATACCTCATTCTTTATACAGCAAAAGAAAATAGAGTTGTTTAATGTATATATTGCCTTGCACTATATCCTGGAATGTAAATATGCTACCCCACACTCACAAAGCTGTTTTCTGAGAGATCGTCCAAGTGTGTCCATTTGCTGAGAAAAGTTGATTCCTGCTAGCACAAAAATCAAGTGGTGCTCATTTATGGTTATCCACTAGCCAATGATATGAAGATATAGAGCCTAAAACGTTTCTGCCAGCTCTACTATGATCATAGGGAGATGGACTTCCTGATTCCTAATTCCAGACTTTCCTTCTTGAGGGGTCCTTGGTGCTCTCTGAGCTTGGCTGTTTTCTTGCAGAAGCTTCATTGCCCGAGCTCGGTCACCTCACCAGTGCTAGCAGGGAGAGGGCTTTGCTCTCAGTTGATGTTCTGGTGTCTCGCCCTGTCAGTGTTGGTGGGGGCTGTTTACAGTTGGCTTCTTTGGCAGCTCCTGGATCGGGGTATTGTTTCCTTGATTGTTGCTCTGATGTTAATCTTTAATTAATGTTAATATTAATGTTGATATTCTCATTTATTGGCTTTCCATCTTGCTGTGTTTCTACTGGCTTTCAGGAGGATCTGGCCACCCCCACTCGAGGAAGGTCCAGGAAGGAGAAACCCGAGGTCCCCCGCGAAGCCCCAAAGGAAAAAAAAGCTGCCCCTCGCAGCAGAAAAGGCATCCATCCCAGCCCTGGCACAATGACGACCCTGTCTGAGCTTGATCAGGGCAGCCCCACCGCAGAGGCCTCCAGTGAGAAGCTGCTCAGGTTAGGGTCCTGAGGCAGAAGCCCCCCCCTGTGGGAAGAAGGGGGCAGACCTGCCAGCCAGAATAGAAGAACATTGATAGATTGGCTTGCCCGTGCTGCCTGGGACAGGAAGCTCGGGAAATGCTGTGGGCCACAGACAGGAACTGAAGTGCCCCCCCAAACAGAAATAACCATTTCTTTTGAAATGCCCATTTTTCTGTCTTTTTGCTGTTTTTAAATCTTACTGACTGCGCATCTTATCCTATGGGCTTCCTATGGGTTTTTTCTTGAGCCTTCTGAGGGTTTATCTGTTTCTAAATCTCATTTATTATGCCCTCATCTGGGAAGTTTCTTACCATGGTGGCTGTGGGTTTCTATAATCTCCCTTTCTTCCTCTTCCGTTGTCTTTTACAGGCAGCTTAAACAAAAGGAAGGGGAAGGGGAGAAAGGACTTCTTTGTCAATGTCTAAGGAGCATCTTTTTCAGAAAACAGGACAACTTTCTTCTGTGATGGAGCAGAGAGTTCTGCGCCCATGAAGTTTGCATTCAAACGTTTGGTCTTAGGGACACTGGCTTAAAGCAGATCTGTTGTGCTTTGTATCCCACAGGTTGAACAGCTTTCGCTGGATTGTTCCTGCTAATGGGGAAGTTTCAATGCGCATCCATTTCTCTTCCATCAAAACAGGACTCTTTGATCAGGTCCTAAATTTTGAAATCCTTGGAACTCGGAGACAGTATCAGGTGTGCTGCAGGGGCACCTGCACGTACCCCAGCATCTGCCAGGATCCCACGTAAGCAGGAAGGAAAAACTCTTGCCCAGTTATGGGCATCTTCCATGCTATGGTGTGAAGCTGGGCATATTGTGGCCCTTATTGTGTCCCCCAGTGTGGATGCAAGAGGGCCCCCCCCAGCTTGGCCTTTGGCTGAGGAGACACCTGTCTGTGGCATCATTTCATGAATAAATGATGCTACCTTGTGGTTTTTCTGCCTTTTTGAAGCTAGTGGTCAGAAGCTGAGATGGAAATCAAATAACATTACTGTGACCGAATCTCCTCTTAGCCTCTTAATTGCTTTGGGTTACATGTGATTTTATCTGTTTCAACATAATGAGGCTGAGCCAGTTGCTAAAAAGTATCTTCTTATAGATAGCAAAATAAATGTAGATTTTCCAGCTAAAATGGTTGGGAATTACATTATCCTAAGAATGAAGATTATACTTTTCAACAATTTGTTCTCTTTGTACTGTCAACATTGGCTGATACTGCAGGACGAGAGTGTCTTTCTTAAGAGCAACAGAAAAATAAGAGAATTACTCCATAGAGGGTCTGGCCTGCATTGGGTACCCCAGATCTTCAGATCAGTTTCCTAGTTCTCCTTGTTCCCCAGGAAACCAGCGGGGTTCTCTGGTTGCTTGCTTGCATCAGCTCTTGCTGATCTCTTGGTGTCTTGTCTGCCCAGACCTCTTATTTTGTTCAGTTGCTGATGCATCCTTGCTTCTCTGATTCAGGATAGTGTTCCCCCATCGTAAAAAGACTATCAAGACTGATGAAATTGTGTACAAGAAATACATCCTGAGCTTGGGTGTGTTCAACTTTGGTCCCTTGCTTTGTGGCAAGTCAAGAGAAAAGTAAGTGTTAGTGGGAGATAAGAGAGTGATAAGGAAATACTAGAAAGCTCAAGGGGATTTTCAAAAGGAGATATTTTTTTTTGTTTTTCACCAAAGCCATCAAAAGCAATGTTGGGCTGAAGGGGTTTTCTGGCCTTTTCACGTTTCTGGGTGGGAAAGACCCCAAAGAAGATAACAGTAGCTGGAATAACCTGACTGTGGAATAAGGAAGTGCATGCCTTTTCATATGTCTAAAAGAAGATGCTTCAGAGAATGTGTAATGTCAGGATCACAGGGTCTGTAGGTGTTATTTATTCATTGATTTAATCAAGTTTATAGAACTGCCTAACTCAACTGACTCTTCCAGTGTAAGCTTATAATATAAGCCTCAATAAGATGGTCAAAACAAGAATAAATACAGCAGTAACTCAAAGACAAAATCTGATTACGTGAAACACCCAACAGAAACAAGACCTCACCCAAGGCCTGGGGGAATCTCCACATCTTCAAGGTCAGGACAAGAAAAGTTCTAGGGATTTCCATTCCAGAGAGTAGTGCTCCAATTGAGAAGAATACTTTCTGAGTGTCCTTAAATGACATTATTTCAAGGACAAGACTCAGTGTACCCCTCTGTCAGATCTTAGTATGAGCAGAAACAGTGGGAGAAGGGTGATCCTTCAGCTAATCAGGTCCTCTCTGATGAAGGGCTTTACAGATCAGCACCAGTACCTTGAATTGTGCCCAGACATTGATCAGTATTGAACGTAGCCCGCCTTAGACTGCTTTTCCAAGCAGGAGAAGGGTAGGATAACAATCCTTCTCCCAATACAGGTAGTCCTTGACTTATAACTGTTCAGTTAGTGACCGCTCAAAGTTACAGCGGCACTGAAAAAAGCAACTTATAACCATTTTTCACACTTACAACCCTTGCAGCCTCCCCAGGGTCACGTGATCAAAATTGAGACACTTGGCAATTGACTCATATTTACGATGGTTGCCATGACCCGGGGTCATGAGATCACCTTTTGCGACCTTCTGAGATGCAAAGTCAATGGGGAAGCCAGATTCACTTAAGTGTGTTACTAATTTAACAACTGCAGTGATTCAATTAACATCTGTAAAATGGGGCAAACCTCACTTAACAAATGTCTCACTTAGCAACAGAAATTTTGGGCTCAGTTGTGGTTGAAAGTTGAGGATTATCAGTAATCACTGTGTCCTTTGTAGCTGGATTTGTTCCTTTGTGGGCTAAAAAAATTATAATACCACCGCAGGCTTTTCTTGCCAGATGGACAGAAGTATGTACAGAGCTTCCTTGGCCCTAGGCGCCCGCTTCTCATTCCATGCTGATTGGTCATAGGGGAATGCAAGTCTGGCCTGGGGAAGAGGAGCCCTCCCCCACCCCAACCCCTTTGACACCTGTGGGGCACTCCAGCACGTCTTCTCTCTGCCTTCCTCCGGGGCTCTCTAGGTACAAGGCTGCGCGGTATCCCAATCACTTTGAAAAGCTCACCATTCTCAACATCTCCCCTTTGGAGGTCGAAGTGCACTTCTTCTTCCAGCATGACTCCAGGGCAGTCACCTACCTCTTGGACCCACCTATGCTGATGCTGAAGCCAAACCAGAAGGAAGTAAGGGCAGCAGCCAGCCGCTTTCCTTGATAGGCTTCGCCCTGCAGGAGATTCCACTCAGTGCCGTTTCCTGTCCTTCCAGGTGCTGACCATCTGGGCATATCCAACAGCGGCTGGTGTGTTTGAAGACAGCATTGTCTGTTGTGTGAAAGAGAATCCGGAGCCGGTCACCTTCCGGATCTGCTGCCAGGGCGTTCGCCCAGAAGTGGAGCTGGACCGCCGACAGCTGCATTTTGAGAAGTTGCTGCTGCACAGGTTGGGCTTTAGGAGATTAGCCTATTTTAGCCATCTGTTTGCTGACCACCCCTCATTGTGTGTCTCTTTCCTTCACCTGAATGGAAATGGAACATGGTGGAGTGTGGAGGCGGAAAAATATTTTAGGGAATTTTTGACCAGTCTTCTGCCCTTAGATATTATAATGCTGCTAAAGTCTAAATCTAAATTATTTGATTGAGATTGGGTTGCGGGGGTCAATGAATGTGGCAATCTGATTTTCAGCAGCAAATGGCCATCCTGTTAAGGGAACTATGAGCTTTGTAGAGAAGTCTGATTTCCCAAAACCTTGATTAATAGTTCATTAATCTATGACATATTACTTGCTGTTGATATGTACACCGTGAGCTTATGCACTGGAGACAAATTCCTTGGGTGTCCGATCGCACTTGGCCAATAAAGAATTTATTCTATTCTATTCTATTCTATTCTATTCTATTCTATTCTATTCTATTCTATTCTATTCTATTCTACATTTTCAGTGGTAAAAGGCAAGTGCCAGTTTTTGTTTGAGTGGGACAGTCTACTCTAGCTGGCCAGAGACTTGAAACATGTTAACAGTATGTTGAGCATGGAGCTGTGGTCCTTCCTGCTTCCTCTTAAAAAAAGAAATTCCATGGGACTGTTTGTGGCAGGACTTCAGATCATAGAATCCAAAGTCTTTCACTTGGAACTGACGTGGAGATTATTTAGTCTAAAGAAAAGAAGAAATAGGGGAGACATGATAGCAGTGTTTCAGTATCTGAGGGGCTGCCACAAAGAAGATGGGGTCATGTTGTTCTCCAGAGCACCAGAGGGCAGGATGAGAAACAATGGTTGGAAACTGACCAAAGAGAGAAGCAACCTGGAATTGAGGAGAAACTTCCTGACAGTGAGGACAATCAACCAGTGAAGCAGTTTACCCCCAGAAATCGTGGGCGCTCCCATCACTGGAGATTTTTAAGAGACTGGACATTCACTTGTCTGAGACGGTATAGGTTCTCCTGCTTGAGCAGGGGGCTGGACTAGAAGACCTCCAAAATCTCTTCCAGCTCTATTCTAGTCTAACCTCCAGCTCACTGCAGCCTCCACTTGAACATCTCTGACAGATGACCAGGTGGCCTTTCAACACATCATTGGCAGCTGGATTCACTGGATGACAGCTCCTAAAGTCAAGCAGTTTCTCCTGATGTCTAGCTATAACCTGCCTCCTTAGAGTTTTTATCCACCCTTCCCCGTCTGCTCCTGCCCTTGGGGTTACAGAAAATAAGGCCACTCTTTGTTCTGTTCTTGCATCTGTCATGCCTCCTCTCAAAGATCTCTTCTATAGAATAAATATGAACAGATCCTTAACTATTCTACACAGGGATGGTTTCCAGTCTCTACCCTACCTTACCCTTGTCTTCCTCCAAATTCATCCAATTTGTCACTATCCCTTTTAAGCTGCTCTGGGTCTGGTTCCCCAGATGTGACCTAATCAGGGGAGAGTAGAGTGAAATGATTCCTTACCATATTAGACCAGACTCTGCTCTTCCTCCTGTACCCCAAGGGACCAGCTGCTTCAGAACCTGCTAAATTGTGGTCAAGAAGGATGCTGGGTTCCATTTTTGCAAGTACTGCTGCCAAGCCAATTCTTCATCTTCTCAAATTTGTGCCTTTAATGTTTCCTAGCTGGGTACAGAATTTCACATTTCTCTTTGTTACATTCCATCCTATTCCTTTCACCACTAAAGACGTTAAAAAAAAAAGGATTGAAAATTTCAAAAGACAAATATAAAAAAGCAACATAGAAAAACTAAACAATAGTAATATCTGACTAATCAATTAGTTCTGAAATTGTACTGCTAAAACAAAGAAGAAAAAAATAGAAAAAAACTGAAGATGACTGTAAATCACCTAAAAATGATCACATATGTAATATATTGCATTACACATTTTGTCACGCAATAACAATGTATGAAATTGTGCAGAAAATTTGTCTATTCTTGTAAACTATTAGGAAAACTGTGCCCAAACAAAACTTATGGAATTCATTTTTGTCAAAGCGTGCACCAACTCTAAAATTCCCCTCAAGGATTCAATGTAATTAAATGTAAAACTTCCTTCCCCTCTGCTATGTGATTGATCACGCTAACCAATGGAAGCAATTGGCGGACTCTGGTGAAACGTCTTCTCTCCACCTTTCAGCTCCTGTGGGAATGACCTTGGTTCCCATGGGACTACTCCGTGTTTAGTCTAGCAATGCTGTACTTTTTTTTCCCCTTTCCTCCCCCCCCACACCTGTGGCAACTCAGAACGACAAAGATGGCTTCAGCCAGGTTGGTTTCACAAGTTGACACCCAGACTTTAAATTGATCTGGATCCTCCCAGCCTTTAACAAGGCTTTGCAGACATGGCTCTGCCACTGTTTTGGGGGAGGGGTGTCTGGAAATGGCAGGGAGCTCTTAGAAAGGATTCTGCTGCTGATTGTAATGTTCTGTTTTCTAAATTGATTATAGAGACACTTAATATATTTTATATGTTCTATATAATAAATTGGTTTTTAATGTTTTTGTCAAGCCTCATAGAGTGACCAGGCTGGTCCAGACATAACTGCTTTGTAGCTTGCCAACAGCTTGTGGGGAGGGGGGAAATTGGAATGTGAGCTGTTAGCACCTGCCGGCTGCTTTGTGAGAAGCAAGGACATGCGGAGATACATTTATTGAAGATTGTGGATTCTCTCATAACAACTGCCTAACTAGCAATTGGGCAATGTGACCTGCACGAAAAATGGAGGGAGGTTTCTATTCTTTTAATATAACAAAATAGGCGCGAAAACCTCAGAGCTGGTTTTCACTTTCATCAGTGCTGAAATAGTGCATTCAATAAAGTTTTGCATTAGAGATTTAATCATCTTCGTTGGGTTCATCAGTCAGAACTTTGACAATTTTATTGGATTGATTTTTTTATCTGTGTGAACCACCCACAGTCACTTAGATGAGATGGGTGGCCATACAAATTGAATAAAGAAAATAAGTAAGATACATTAATGTCAAAATAACTTCGTATTTGAAGAGTAATCCAAATAAAATAATTCACAAAAACAACCCTAATACTACATGTAGACTCAATTTACACCTGAAGTTGGGGTTTCCAAATAAGGCTCTAATATATATAAGCATTTGCCTGGCTTCTCTTGTTTTTGCAGAAAGGAAACAAAATCCCTTTACCTAAAGAACGTGACTCCACTGCCAGTCGCCTGGCGAATCAGTGGCCTGGAGAACATTGGCGACGACTTCTGCTTGTCTGACGACATCGGCCTCATCGAGCCCTTCTCTGAGCACTGCCTGCTGGTCAATTTCAAGGCCACCAAGGCCCTCAATATCAAGAAGGCCATCCGGCTGGAGGTGAGTCCTCCGCCGGATAGGCACTTGGCAAAGCAATCCATTAGCAAGAGAGGCAAGGATTGTGATAAGTTTCCATTTCATGATCAGTTTCCCAACAAATCCCCTCCTTGACAAGTACCACCATTGCAACTACGGTGACCATTGGACTAACGATCCTTGTGGTCATTTTAGGTTTCTGATGCAGAAAATATTCTGGGGATTGTTCAGATTGAAAATATACAGATTGTTGCTGAGGCCTATGATGTGGCCCTGGACATCAGTTTCCCCAAAGGTAAGTTATCATTTATTTATTTAAATTAAATTAAGTTTAGACTCTTTGGAACTGAGGATTTTCAGCTAACTGCTCACTGGGAGTCAGTCCCCTCCTTGATTACCTCCCTGGGTCCGCAGCCATTTCTGCTGCAGTTGCTTTCCACCTGACCTTCCTCTTTTGGATTAGAAGACAGGGATGGAGGTTGTATCTTTGCCATCAAAGGAAATATTTTTTCAGCAAATTTTTATTTTATTCAGATATGTTGTCCTCCCCTACGTGGCATAGAGCCTGGCTGACTTCATGCAGCAGGATTGGTGTGCTCTTGGTTCCTTCAGTTGAACAATGTCTCCGCTCAGTCCTGCCCTCTGGAATGAGGTTCCCCTCCCCAAAGGTCTGGATAGCCCCTCCCACTCCGTGAAGCTCTTCACGCAGGCCTTTGGCAAGGGGCAGGGAAACCCCTCCCTCCATTGCACTTGCCATCTTTTTATTTTGTTGGGTTTTTCTTTTGTAGTTTGTTTGATTATTATGAATCGCTCAAAGACATTTGAAGTTGGGTGTCATGTTGTTGTTGTTGTTATTTACCTGACCTCAAAAAGTATGTTGTCGGGCAAAGGCCTGGCCAGGGCTCAGGATCAGCACCTGTCAGCGGGGCATTTCTGGGATGGTCTGTGACAAGTGAGAAACTCTGGCCGGTGTCAGGCAGAGGCATTTTGAGCATTTTCCTCGGCTTCATGCTGTCTTTTCTCTTTGTGGCCCTATAGGAACAAACGGTGGTTTGGAATTTGGGATTGTCAGAGTTATGGACGAAGCTAAGCAGATGTTATCAATGAAGAACAAAGGCAAATACGAGATTGCTTTCAGGTAAGCCCTGCTCTTCAGAGGATTCCCTTTGTTCTCCCTTTGCTCCCTGCTTCAGTATTATTTATTAAAGTTTTATAGCTCAGTGAAAGCCTCAAAGATCAGTCATTCGAGTTCACCTCACTCGCACTTTTATCCTGCAATTCTAATGATCCAAATCCCGCACGCCCTTTTTGTTCAATAAAGTCTGCATTGTTCACATTTTATTTATTTGAGGCCTTTTTTATTTTGAAATGTGTACATGCATGCTTTTAATCTGGAATGCTCCCCTGGCCACAGAGGGCTGCATGTTGGTTGGAGAGGCACACTGGCTTCAGCAAAGCTCTTTGAGAGTTAGACTAACAAACTGTGATTGGATGGGTGGGTGGAGGGATGGGCATTGAGATGATGAGACACCCCCCCCCATCAGCTTTTAAAGAAATGGATGCAAGAGAGTGTGGGTTTTTATGATTGTGTTCTTCTTTCCCAGCTTGGCTATTGAATCCACAGAATATGGGATGTCCAATCTGGGTCAGCTGTTTACCATCCAGCCCCAGAAGGGGAATCTGAGTCCCAATGACCGTCCTACGCAGGTCCAGATTGTCTTTCATTCGAAGAAGGAAGTGAAAATTGAGGACAAGCCTGTTCTGCAGTGCCATGTAAGACCCCTGGGTGTAACTGGCTGGAAAGAAGGCGGTTCAGCTAGCTTTAGAGCCAACAAGGTGGGAGCCAGCCAGTCTATTCTCCTCACTCTAGGTGATTGAACCTTCCCTCTGTGAGGGGGGAGAGACCATTGCCACCATTCCCATCCGGCTGTCAGTGCTGTCCTTATTCAGCAAGTACAATATTGTCCCTCCATCCGTCATTAACTTCGGACCACTGATGAACAGCACACGGAAGACCAGCAGCTTCACAATCGAGAACAAAGGGGTCTTGGACTTTAAGTTCACCATCTGCAAGCAAGTCCGTGATGTTGTGATTACAGCAAGGAAAGGGTGAGTGTCACCTTCAGGGATCAGACCACTGGGATCTGTCAGCCTGATTTGTTATATGCACGGAGTCAGGTGCCCAAAGAGGCATATTTTCACCTAGAACGGAGATGTTTTCTAAATATTTAACATTAACAAGAGCAGCAGAATTTCACTTCTTGGCACAGCCACATCTTTGCACGTGCTCATGTGTGCATTTGTTTCTTGAGATGTATTTATTGTATTAAAGTTCTCAGAGCAGGTTACAAAGTTATTTAAAATACTAATACTTCCTTAAAACAAGAAACATCAATGTGTAAATAGCACAAGAAAGAGATAAACATTCACATATAGAGCAGGTGTTTGAAAATGAAGTCAATACAATCTATAGAAATACCTGGAAGAAAGGGAATGTTTTTGCCTGGCAAAAAGATTAATTTTCTTTAGAAGTTTCCTAAATGTGGCAGCACTCAAAGGTTTCTGCCTGCCAAAGTGATCCTGGTGAAGCCGAAGCCGCTCTGGCCCAGAAAGCCTTCTCAAGGCTGGTATCCAATTATAAATTTTAATTTTAATCACATGCTTGGAAGAGATCTTAGTGTGGTCAATTCATCCAACTGGGTTTTATTAGATTGTCTTCAATAGACCTCCAGCAAAGGGGAACACCCCCCCCATAATGAGGCGCTGAGGTGACGGCCTGCTGCCCTTCTCCTGAGGTCTAGACTGAAGCTTTTTGGTTGCACAGGCAGTACAGGAATAGGTAGTATAATCAAGTATTTACAAACACTTGCTCAGTGACCATTCAAAGTTATGATGATGCTGAACAAGAAGGACGTAGAACCATCGCAACAAGCCACAGTCACACAATCACAATTTCTGAGGTTCTCTGCTGGCTTCCCACAAGCAAAGGAAGGTTGATTCATGAGTCTTCTTTAGGGACAATGGTCTTTCTTCAACCAGGAATTCACATATCTACAATCAGGACAGTGGGTTTGGATGATCTCAGAGGTGCTCTCCGATGGGATTGATGGTTAGCCTGTCATCAACATGTTGTCCCCTCCTTGATTTAACTTTTCCCACTTACTGTTCTACCTAGAGCCAGTTTGGGGGACAGAGTAGGGAGCTACAGCCCTCACAGCTTGTCTGTCTTTCCCTGAGAAAGGAACTGGCACTTCCAAGGAAGGAAAGGCAGAGCATACATCAAATGTTCTTGTGATAACTCTATAGTTACCACTACCTAGGCATGTAAAATGTGGAAGTGGAAGCAGACCTCAGATCCTCCACAAAGAGCTCAGGGTGGGAGTCTCTCAATTTGGTCAGTGTGTGTTGGGGGTCTCTTTCTATCCCCCTCTCTTTTGATTCCCTCGGGGAGGTTAGTTATGGCCCTGGAAAGGTGAACATAGATGTGACCCTCCAGGGCTTGTAAAACACATTCTCAGAAAGTAGGTTGTGCATCTTTGTGAGACCTTCCCTGCCTGTGTTCTGAGACTACAGATAAGATCCCATCTATTTTGCAATGCTTCCTTTTTCAGAAACTCTAATATCAAAAGTTCCCGTTCTCGTGACACAGACCTCAGCCGGCAGAACGCTTTTATGAGCACAGGCAGGCAAAGCAAGCACGCCGACTCTTTGCAGAAGGACATGAACCTGATAGGGCAGGTAGGCAAGGAGACGGGTTCCTCTAGTTCGCACTTCTCCCACCCCGATGGCCACCTTTGATTAGGCAACATTCATGCTTTATTTGGGGAAAAGGAGCTTTCCGTGGAGTAGCTCTGGGTCAGGATTCTCCCATCCAGTTTTCTCCATGCTGCTCCAGGGCCTCAAGCCAGCGACACATGATCCAGAAGGTGCAACTCCAGTGGGAAAGTGCACAGGAACGTGATTCCCCAGCATTGACCCCACACTGGGGGCACTTCTCTGTGAGAATGGTTGCTGGAATTGGGTATGTCTAGTTTAATGAAGAGAAGGACTAAGGGTGACATGATAGCAGTGTTCCAATATCTCAGGGGCTGCCACAAAGAAGAGGGAGTCAAGCTATTCTCCAAAGGACCTGAATTCAGGACAAGAAGCAATGGATGGAAACGAATCAAAGAGAGAAGCAACCTAGAACTAAGGAGAAACTTCCTGACAGTTAGAACAATTAATCAGTGGAACGATTTACCTCCAGAAGTTGTGAATGCTCCAACACTGGAAGTTTTTAAGAAGAGACTGGACAGCCATTTGTCTGAAATGGTATAGGATTTCCTGCCTGAGCAGGGGGTTGGACTAGAAGACCTCAAAGGTCCCTTCCAACTCTATTATTGTTATTGTTAACCAAGGAAGGACTTTGCCCAGTGCCATTTTCCCCTATTCTCACTTGCCCTTGGGAAACAATTGCCACCATTGAATCTCCAGAGCTCCTTTGCAGTCTTGTTTGTTTGCATCTCTCTTTCTAGCTGGAGAACAGCTGGTATCAGCCAGCAGCTGTTTAAAAGAAAGCAATCCCTGTCTTCTCCACAGGCACGCTTCTCTCTCGGTATGTTCACTGTGTCTCCGGGGTATGGAAACATTGCCGCAGGAGGCCATCAGGTCATCACGGTGGATTGTTTTGCTGAGCCTGCTGGGAAGTGTGAAGAATACCTGATCGTTGAGATCACAGACCGAGACCCTGAAGACAGTCCCGGAGGCATCCTCTACACACTTGTTGCGGAGTCCTGCATCCCAGGTAGGCAGACCTTCTCTCTTGCTCCTGGCTTACACAGCCTGGGGACACAGACCATGCTCTAGGCACCAGAACCAGGAAATCAGGACTCATTTTTCCTGAGAAGCAAGCTAAGGGAATGCAGTCAAGAATTAAAAGTGGGCAAGGAAAGTAGTTAGCTGATACCCCCAACTACAGCCAAATTAAAGGTCGACCTTTCTTATTCAAAACTGCTATTGACCTTCCATCTCACTACAGTAGTGAGAACGGATAACCTCCACTCCTGGTTATCTCAGCAGGAGGAGGAGGAGGAGGAGGAGGAGGAGGAGGAGNGATCCCGAATCCCTCTCTAGCACCCCTGAAGGTAGTGCAAAAGTCAGCCTCTCAGTTTGAAGGCAGGTGGCGGCAGTTAGAAGAAGCGATTGGGGGGTGCTGAGTAGTTGCCAGGATCCTTGCTGAAATTGCCTCCTACAGTTCCTGTGGTCTTGTACATGTGATGAGGAAACAGTCCCTGAGAGTTGCTATCATGTTGGTTTCCCAAGGATTTGTAACTGACAATCCAGGGATCATTTTTGAGGAGCATCGGATCTGTAACAGTGGCAGCCTCAGCCAGGTGCTGAAGTCCATAGGCTGCGAAGGTGTGTTTGTGACAGACGAGAACAAGTTTCTCTTTAACAATGTCCTGGTTGGGCACCAGGCAACAGCCCGCTTCAAGATCTGCAACACTGGCCGGATCCCCTGTGATGTTGTCATGACCACAAAGCCCATTTCTGCCAAGGTAAGAGAAGGACGAAGAAGGTTTGCATCACATGTTTTGTAATGTTGTCCCATTCTATTTCATGGGAGGCTCGGAAGAACATTAATCGTGTAGCAATTTGGTGAGAGCTTGGGCCATCCTGTCTTGCGAATGGATAGTTGCTCTGGAAGCCATTGATTTAGAGAGGCCGATCCTGCGGGGCTGTTCCTGGCTTTTCTTACAATAGACAGAAAGGCGAGGTTGTCCATTCCCTATACAACAGGCAGGTTGAGTCGTGAAATATACTGCAGCCAAGCTCCGTAGCCTGTAACAGGGGTGAAGGGTGAGGGGGGTCCTCGGTGCCTTCTCTGGGGTGATTCCTGAAGTTCTGCTTGCTCTATGGATGTTTCCTCAGTCCACTGCCCGAATCAGCGACACCTTTGAGCTCCATCCTGTGCGCATGTCCATTGCCAGTCATTCGAATGCCTTTGCAACCCTGACCTTCTCACCACAGGCCATGCAAAACCACCAGTGCATTTTTGAGGCTTCAGTAGATGCAGTGCCCAGGTAATTCCCAATTGGTTGCTGAAGAAGGTTACCCCCTCGGGCTGCTTCTTAATTTGCATGTAAGAACAATCCTTTCTCTTGGCTTTCAGTGTGGTTGCCAGATCAAGAGTTCTGTCCTTTGAAGTCAGCGGAGATGGCAGCCTTCCTCAGATCACCATTGTGCGCCCGGTTCTTCGCAATAAAAAGGGGAATCCACTCCTCCTCTTCAGAAAGCTCCTCTTAGGTCACACGGAGGTGCTCCCCCTTGTCCTTAAGAACAGCGGCAGCCTTTCAGTCCAGGTAGTGGCCAATGCTCAGAAGAGCAATCGCAGACTGGCAAGGGGGTCTTGAGGTGGGAATGCCTGGAGCATCCCTCTGGCAAAAAAGGGCTCTCTCTGCCATCTTTCCTTGCTGTGCTATTTGTGCTGCTCACTTGTTTCCACACCTTTGAGAACTGCCATATTTCCAAGGATCAAAAAACAAGGGCAGCTGAGATGGGGGCGGGGAGGTAGAAGGAGAAGGGAAGACAGACAAGGGAGAGGGTCCACCTGGCGAAATCCAGTGTTCCTGGTCTGGTCTACACACTGCCAATTGAAATCAGAGCTATGGAAAGCTTTCCAAGACTCAGACTCTGCCCTAAAAATGATTGAAAAAGGCTTGCTCCAAGATGCACCATTTTGCCCAGTTAAAGCTTAGGGGAACAAGAGCTTTAGAGGTAGGTAGGTAGGTAGGTGGATGGGTGAGAAAGGAGAGAGGGAGGGAGGGAGAGCGCAATGTCCTATCTGATGCCCAGCAGTGCAAGAGGCCATTCTCCTAGGACTCATTTCAGGGCATTTATGTCTGCATTGGTCCCTCTCCTAGTTGTACCTGGATATGTCGGATGAGAGTGGGGCATTCACCCTGAGGCCCAGACCCACCACCGAGTGCATTTACCTCTCTTCTCAGAACGAGGAGAGCGAGCCCAGCGATGGAGGTAAAAGTTGCCTCTTTCCCTGAGCTGGGAAGGAGGGGATGAGGGCTGTGTGTGAGTGCAGCACTAGCTGTCTGGGCCACTACAGCTCTCTGCTACAGTGCAGAGGAACTCTTTCCACGCTTTTAGCACTCACACTTACTCTTTCCTTTGCATCTTTGTAGTCCGAAAACCACACACGGCCTCCTTGGTGCTGCACAACGGGGAATCAGCTGAGTTCGATGTGATTTTCCAGCCCGGCTTGGTCCAGCGGGTCGAAGGGCTGATCCACCTCTCTATTGTGGACAATCAGTATGAGGAAACCAGCATCCAGATGGTTGGGGAAGGCTACCAGGATAATGTCACGCTGGACAATATTCACAGCCCGGTGGCTGAGACCAAGACAGACGACATTGAGGGGCAGCTGGATGAGAACACAGGAGAGGGTGAGTCAGCCTGAGAAACTGCAGAGGGCGTGGAAGGCAGGAGGGGAAAGACCCTTTTCGTTCCCGGAGGCTTGCAAGCCAAAGGGCCCAAATCGCTTGTTCCTTTTCCTTTGCCCAGCAAGAGGGCTTCCGTCACCAGGAGACCCAGCTTTGCTCTGAGAAGGCTTGGCCAGGCTGGTCCCACCCGCTTTCCTCCCTCTGAAAGGGGGCAGGTCTGGATGTTGGAGGTCTTCTCTCAGTTCCTCTCTTTAATTCACTAATCGGCCTAATCGGATGCTGTCCTTGACAGGGAGGGTGGGGGATGCGCAGCTTGAGGGTGAGGCAAGGCCAGCAGAGCCTGCTGTGAGGTGTCCCTCCTTCCGCCTGGCTCGCTCCCGCCAGTGCAGGGGATGGGAAGGACTCCGAGTGCGGATGCCAGGGGTGCAGACCGCTCACTCTCTTCTCCAACAGCTGTGAGAATGGACCACATCCAATTTGGAGACTGCCACATTGGGAAGCTGTATCAGGCCGCATTCACAATCACAAATCACAGCAAGTTGGACGTGATGAGATTTGAATGGCCTGCTGTGGGCCCCTGCCAGTTCTCCCCACAGGTAGGCTGGTGCCCCTCCAGCTGCCAGATCCAAATGCGATTCCTAACTTTGGCAGGCTTGGGACTTCCCATGTTCGGTCCTTGGAGGGATCTGTGACATCATGGGGGGGCTATTGGGGGGGGAGGAAGTTACCTCTGAAGGGAGGAGAAGCCAGGTTTTTAAGAGATGTCCATGTACCTATTCTGACCCTGCCACCCCACCCCCCCCGCAACAGTTAAAACATGGATCAGAACATTTTGGTCCCATCCGCTGGGAGGGAGGCACAAATGAGGTGCTGGGGTTCCATATGCCCATTCCTGATTTAATGGGTTATTTGTCATGTCACTCAGCAGTTACCTGACTTTTCCAGAAAGATTGTTTGTTTTTCAAGTACAGCTTGGGAGCAACGGTAGCTCTTCCTAGATAAGGAAGCCTTTCAAAAATGCAAGGGCAAGCCTCTTCCAGATTGTTGCCATGAAAAATAGGTGAACGTATTTTGAATGAATGTTGCTAAATGTTTCCTTGATTCTCAGAGTTTTGCCAGTCTCGAACGTTTGAATATTCTTCTCTCCAGGTTGGCCATCTCCATGCAAGATGCACTAAAAACATCACTCTGACTTTGAAGTCCAGCCTGCCCATCACCCTCAGGGAGCAGCTCCTCAAGTGCAAGGTGTCCAGAATTGCCTTTCAGTGCCCTGCTGACCAGGTCCCGGATTGGGATGGTCGCTTGCATACTGTCAAATGGGTGGATGTGTCAAAAGGCATCACAAGTATACGTCCAACAAAAAAGAAGGTAAAAAACCAGGATCTAAGATCCACCCTTTCTATATGGCCACCAGTGGGCAGGCAGCCACTATGGGGCCCTCGAAATTCTCATTATCACCCATCCACTGCCTTCAGTGCATCTTCAGCACATTCAGTAGCTCTGGTTTCATGGATAATAAAGTACCTTATCTGGGCTGCTGCTGCTGCTGCTGCAAAAACCCTGGTGATTTCTGTGCCTCCTTACTACCATATCTAAGGGCCATCCAGACATGGCAGGCTAAGTGTAGGGTCTGCACAGGCGTTGTAGCATGGAAGGAGGAAAGGAGGGAGGGAGAGATAAGAGAACCAGCCCTGCTCCACCTCCTCCTCCTCCTCCTCCTCCTTCGCTGGTGCTCCTGAGGCAGCTGCCATCATAGCCACAGCTGCATGTGCAGAGAGCCCAGCCGTGGTAGGACTTTCCTGGTGGCTGCTCTTCCTGGCCTCATCCTCTTCCTGCCTGTCTTGGAGCAGCCCCAAAACAAGAGATTTCTACCTGCAGCTGTGATGAGGGGCACCAAGCCCTTCTGGGCGGCTTCTGACTCTTCTGCTTTTGGGGCAGGTGATAGAGACTGATCCAGAACCTGCTCATATGACTGTGGAGGAGAGTAGCCAGGAACTGGTGCTTCGAGTGAGTGCCAACGTTGACTTTGCCCAGTATAAAATGGAGGCGGATGCCGTGCACTTCAGAGACACGTTGCTCTTCCAAACAAGGGTGTTCACGTGAGTAAGATGAGACCAAATAAAATATTATGTTCAAGAAGACTCTGCCTGCCCTTCACCTACATCCTCTTTGCATCTGACTTTAATCCTTCAGCCCTCACAGCTGCCTTCTTTGTATCTCCTTTCATGTGTGTGTGTGTGTGTGTGTCCCAGCTCTGAGCAGACTCTTCATTTCCCCCCTGCTCTGTTGCCCTCCCAGGGTGGAGCTGTCCAACACGGGGAATGTGCAATTGGAGTATTCCTGGAAAGCAGTCATGGAAGAAGTTGGGAAGGCTGTCAACTTTGCTACTGAACCTTTGTCAACCAGCCCAGAAGGTACAGCATTCTCTTCCCCTTCTCCTCTTGCTTTTCCTTCCCTGACAATCACCTGTTGCAAGGATCTCAAGAACTTTGCTGCAGACTTTTTGGGTTTATGCATTGTCTTCCATCATCTTTTGTGCCTTACAACAATCTCTGAAGAGGCTTTCACAAATTTGGACTTCAATTCCCAGAATTCTCAGCTATGACTTTGTTGTCTGGGATATTCTGGACCAGAAATCAAAACTCTGGAGGATAGTGAAACTGGGGAAACCAGCTCTGGAATACCAGTTGCCAGGGATGTGGTTTGCTGTGAGCTTAAATTAGAAAATGCTTCTGCCAGTAGATGAGTCTCTCAATATATGATTCATATTAAAGCGAGCGAGTTTCCTTAGGTTAATATCCTATAGTCTGGGAATTTCTGGAGGGAACCATTTTGAGAAGCAAACGGAAGGTCAGTCTGAAGAAAGTACAATATTTGCAGAAATGTTGTGTCAATGAACTGTTCCTTTCTCCAGGGGACCCATCTAGAGCATCAACTGCTTCCATCAAGGCCCAGCCTAGCCGGCCCTTCAGCCAGCTGGGAAGCCTCCTGGAGAGTTTCTCTTCCTATGTCTTCCCAGTGGTCACCCGCCCTCCATTCTTCATGGAGCCCAGCAGTGGGATTATCCCTCCTGGGAAATATCAGTCCCTCCAAGTGAAATTTTCTCCCCAGGAAGTAGGAGAGTTTGAGGGTCGGCTACTCTGCAGGTAAGAAACCATCTCATCAAGCCATGCTTGGCACATTTTATAGCAAAATGTGTGTGTGCTAGTGACCAAGAGGCCAAGTGATCGACTGAAAACTAAGGCTTACCAAACCTTCAAGCGGGTGCCCTGACAGATGGCTCACCTAGAAAAATATTTGAGAACCTTATTTTATGCAGACACAACCTCTGTTTATGCCTGCCGTTCTTTCTTTCCGTTTTCTGTGGGCACCTGGTGATGAAGGGAGTTTCAATGCAAAGCAAGCCCGTGCATGGGCCTTGGAAAGCCCTTAAGCCCTTGTTTTGCATTCGCTCCTCAAACAGGCTTGTTTTTTTCCAGTATGCCTAATTTGAAGCTAGATGAGGAGGGCCCCGTTGTCACTGTGAAAGGGAAGAGTCTCCTGCCATATTGCCACTTTGAGCTGGAAGACTCTGATTACATCACTGCAAACAGGCGCAATTCAGACTTGCGAGTACCAGGAGGGATGAGTGTTGACCCACAAACGAAAGTGATTGAATTCACCTCTGTAGGAGTCCATGTGAAGAACACCAGGTGAGCATCAAGCCAACTGAGGAACATTCTCTGATCATTTGGAAGCTTCATCTTCGTCCAGCAGAGCCATATTCGGCTTTGGCCCTCATCTAACCTGGAGGGCACCCTGACGGTAGGGTAGTTCCCTCCTCTCAATCCTGGGGGTAGAACTTGTCCCCCTTGTCTCAAAGCTGCCCTGCCATCTTCCACACTCTCCTTTCTACAGCTGATTGCTCATGTATTCGTCTGCACCTTTCACTTTAAATGTGAAACCGTTTTTAGGGGGTCACTGAAATAAAATTTTAGGTGGGTATTTCAGTATAGCTTATGGATCTCTCATTGTTATTTTATAAAATAACAGTGTGCTATGATAAGCTAATTTAATTTCTCTCCTTAATACATGTTTTATTATTTACTTATTTTTTATTTATATGGTTGCCCAGCCCACAAGGTAACTCTGGTTTAAGGTATTTGTGGATAGATGTGCAGGTTGTCCTGGATTCACTACCACAGCTGAGACCGGATTCTTGGTTGTTGAGCAAAGCATTCATTAAGCAAAACATCACAGGACTGCTTCGCTCCATGACCGCAATCCCAGCCCTTCTGGTACTAGAGGCAGTGTGGAAAAGAAAGGAGTGTGGGGTGCCTCGGGGGTTGGAGGAGGCCCATTCCCCTCTGCTGAACCCCAAGTGGAAACCACTGGCTTTCTGGGGAAGCCCGCAGGGGAGATTGCCAAGGGCAGTTACCTTGATCCAGGGGCACTTGGCGACTGGTCAGAATGGCAAAGGAATTGCCAAGGGCTCAAGTAGCCATCCAATGGCTGTGGGGTGGGGTGAGCAAATTTTGCAATGGTTGGAAGTGCTTTGGAGGGTTAAATTAAGGAGTTTTTATCATGTCTTCTGAATGCTAGTTGGTGTTTCACGGCGGCTGTTGCCCTGTATGTTGTAGACGATTCTTCTTGTTTCTTCTGGAATTGCTGGGTCTTTAGATTTACTTAGGGTATTTTGGAGCGGTTTAGTTGGTTTGTGTGCTGTGGTGATACCATGTGGTTGTCATAGTCAATTGGTGGTTTCTGAGATGTTTTTGATATATGGCAGTGTTATCCTTTTCACAGTTTGTGTTAGTTGTGTTATACTGAGTTGAGCAATCAGGCACTTTTTTATAAAGTTGAATGGGTATCCATTTTGTTGGAAGATGTAGAATGTTCTCTTTCCTTTTGCTGATATTCTCGGTTGCTACAGTATGTTTGTGTTCCTCTACATAATGTTCCTAAACAACTTCACTTGTGGAAGGTTAGATTGTTACTTTGGTAGTGGAACACTTGGTTGGTGTGGATAGTCTAAGATAGACTTGTGTTTCTAGTTGGCCATCACTGCCTCTGCTGATGAGGATGTCCAGGTAAAGTAGTGTGTTGTTGCTTTCATCTTCCCATTTTGTGCAGCAAATACTAGACTGTACAACAATGAATATCGATCTAAAAATTAATTCATCACAGATCAAGGTAATTGTGTTTGACAGAAAAAGTCAAGTGAAAAATTCCCAATTTAAATATTCTTGGCAAAAAACTGGAGTCATAGATGAACCTCTGTGATAGACTGTTTGGTAAAGATGGAGAAATTTTGGGATACCCAGTACTGGTAGAAAGACGGTGGTAAAAACTCCAGCTGCTAACTCCTAGGGTATCTTACAGGGTTGCCTGGTTTGTTAAAGGAAGTCAGATGAGCGGCTCTTCTGCCTGTGCTATCTGGAAGTAGGAACTGAGTACATCAAGAGAAACATACACACTGTTCCAGAGTAGTTCTGTAAAATGAGATCTGGTCAAGAATGTATGAATGATAAATGAATATGAGCTGATTTCACAAGTGAAATTACCTGTGGTAGAGAGGGGGGATCAATGGGGATCCAGTTGCAAGCAAATATATGGAGGAAAAGTGGATGAGCTTAGAGGAAGAGGTTGAAGAACGGGAAGAGAATCTCCCAAGGAGAAAGGGGAGATGCACCAGGGCCAGCATTGCATGGCAGACTCTGCTTCATTGGGGCATCAGTGTGTGACTATTATTGTGATGTACCTAGAAAAGGGGTGAGGCTGGTATTGCAATGCCAGGACGTTGCTTTCAGCCTCAGACATTTAAAGAATATTTCTATCTTCCCTTCTGGCCTTTAGAAGGGACCAAAGACTTGGTGTTACCATCTTGCTGAAGATCCAGTCATGGTGCTCGGATCCTGCTAAATGGTTACATCTTTAGCAAACTGGATTGCACTTTTTCAGATTATAATTGTTATGTTTAAATAGTTTTTCATTTCTTTTAATGTTTGTAATGGCTGCTGTTGTATAATTTTTGGTTAATGCTTGCTTTTGTGTGTGAGAGTGTATTAACTTTGTGAGCTGCCCAGAATCACGCAAGTGAGACAGAGAGAAAGAACAAAAGGCAGTGGACGAAGTCCTGGATGGATGAGATGGAAGGAAGAAAGCTTTGCAAGGACAGAAAGGGAGACCGAAGACTGGAGATTTTAGGCAGTTTTCTTTTTCTTTTTCCTATCCAGTGCCTGCAATTCCTCAGCATTTTGTTTCTTACTTCCCTCTGTAGTGGGCATAACCAGTGGTGGGATTCAGATATGTGAACAACCGGTTCTCTGTGTGGATGCCGCTTCCGGAAGTCCATTCTGGGCCTGGGCAACAAAAAATTAGCTACCGGTTCTGCCAAAGTGGTGCAAACCAGATGAATCCCACCACTGGGCATAACATAACAAAAGGGAAGTGTGCGATAGTGTGTGTCTATGGAGCTCAGGCACCAAGTCCATTATGTTGTGCCAGTCCAGCCGAAACAGGAAGGGAGTTTGAGCCTCAACTAACGGAACTGAATCTCTTGGTGAAGGGTAGTTTTGTAACTCTTTCCTCTATGTAAAGATTTGTTTCAAATACCTTAAATGCCTGCTGTTTCAACTGATGAAAGAGAAACATCTGGCTAGGTAGCCCTTATGATCCTCCTGCCTTCTCTTCATGGCAGGACCTTTGCCATCCTGAACCCCACCAACGCTGCCTACTCTTTCCAGTGGAGGTGTGAACAGCAGGAGGAGAGGAAGGCTGCCCCGGCTTTCGTCTGTTTCACCGAGCGGGGGCTCCTCCGGCCAGAGAAGAAGATAGAGGTGCGTGCACAGAAGGGGGCTCAAGGCCAACAGGCTCTGCTGCTCTCTGCTCACGGCTGCTCCGAGCCCCTCTTGAAGGAAACTCCCGGCTGCTGGATTCCTCTTCTGGTTCAGCCTATTGTAGGGCTCTCTTTCCTTTCTTTCCCCCAGGGTGTGGTGGCTCTCCTTCTGGGGGGGGGGAGATACTGAATGCTGGAATATTCGCTTTGCCTTAATCTCCTTTTCTAGCAGTTTGGAGGTGAGGGCAGAAGCCTTCTCAGCTGGTAGAAAGCCCTCTGTGGTCCTTCACACACCAGTGAAAAACTCACCTAAGTCTTCAGTATACTGTACTATTTTACATTTTATTTAACATTTAAACATCCAGTGGTTAAATACTGTTTTGGAATTCTAGCATACTTTTAAAGGCTTTGGAATTAAAACCAAATGCAGGATCCCTATTGCTCCATTATCCTGCACAGCGAGAACCACTCTGTGCCAGAACTTTGCATCTATCTTTTCCTCTCTAGATCATATTTGAATTCATTCCCAAGCATCTGGATGTTACTGAATCCTTCTGGACCTTCACCATTTCTGAACACAACATCACTGTCCCTTTCCTCCTGGTGGGTCACACCACCGACCCGGCTGTCTCTTTCGAGAAAGTCCACTTGAATCTCCACTCGCTTTTGATTGGTAAGAGCAGCCCCGAAGGACTCAGGTGCTTGAAGGTCCCGGGGGTCCTGCTTCTCCCCTAAGCCCTTCTTTCAGTAGCCACATGGCCATGAGTTGCATTGCAAGTGAGGCAGTCTTCCATCAACTCTGCTAAAATAATCTTTCCACTTTGATCCTGATATAATCGGCTGCCTCAGCTGCCTTGGGTTACGCCTTTGGTTCTCCCTCTCCAGTCATCTTTCTTCCCGATGCCAATGGACCACCTGGGCCTCCTCTGTCCACCTGGAGGGGTTTACTCTGGGGTGAGCCTTGGTAGAGGCTTCCCGCCAGCATTCCGCTTCCTCTTGCTCACTGCCTTGCACAGACATTCCTTATACGGTCCCCATGGTAGGGCTGGGTGCCTCTCCAGGTTGATCAATTTCGCAGATTCTGCCTAATCTAAGGAAAGCACAACTCTTGACTCCATGCGGTTAATCAAAAGAACTTTTACTGAGAGAAAGTGGTTGCAGTAAAGACAGGCATAATCTAACGGTCCTGCGCAAAGCACGAAGCTATTCTTCCCATTCCGAAACCCAACCCCCCTGACCAGTCAATACAGTGCCACAAGGTTATGAGAACGCTGAGATACAGGCTTGAGCAGCTGAGAGGGAGTCCATCTCGTCTCCAAAGACGAGCCCCCCCAATTCCCATGTGGTTACAGCAAAAGCGAAAGCATGCAGAGAATGCTCCCCTCCAGAGCCTCCTCCCCCTCCCCCTCCAAAAGGATGGCAGAGCACCCAAAAGGGGGAGCTGACGGAGGGCCTCCCCCCTCTCAGACTTCTGGAGGACTCTGATGACCATATCTTTCCCCAGCCCTGGCTAGGATCAAAGGGAGCCCACGAATGGGGGGGAGGTTGTCCTCCGTGGCGGGGTCTGACGTTGTGGCATTTGTGGGTTGTGTTCATTTTTGTTTTATAGAATGTGCCCATGAGCCACCTAGGATTAACATATTGTACATAAGATAGGTGGGCTATCTTACTTAAAACCTGATTACATAGAAAGCATTTTTATGAAAATTTGCCTTTAGATTCAAAGGAAAAAAATATACAATAGGAAGGGGATTTCTAAATTTCTGGCAAATTGGGACACAGGATTCATTTGGCACGTGATGCAATGAGGAACCCAAAGGCAAACCCGTCCCTCTTCCCAGGAACCTTCTGTATGTGCTACCCGGAAGGGGCGGCTGTGGCCAGGATGGAGCCCTTCAAACCAGAATAAACATTATTTCCTGTGATTTAGGAATTCTGCTGGGGCATCTTAAAAGCACCTTGGCCTTCTTTTGCAGCCACATTGCAATCAGTTACTAAGACTTGTTTCACAAATTTTTGCCAAGCCAGGTGAACCCCATTCTTTCGCAAGTGGAGAGATAAATTTGATTCCTAATTTCCCTGAATTCCACACTGCAAAGGCCTCTCTCTTTCCAGGACATGAAGCTCGGGAGTGCATTGATATCCACAATGATGAGAACAAAGGCTACACTTTTGCTTTCCGAGACTCTTCCCGTTTTTCAGAGGGGCGAATCAACTGCCTAAACATGCAGCCCATGGAAGGTGTGGTCCCGCCTCATTCCAGGTGAAGGGGAGAGAGAGAATTGGGTGCCAAGTGGGGCAAGCTGTTTCCCCAAGATGAGACTTGATGTGGCTTTGAGGTAGCTTAATAGATGTTTGTGTGGCTTGTAGCAGGGATGGAAAAGAGGACACGTGATAAACTGGGTCTGTTGTGGAGGGTCAAACCAATATAACCTGGTTTGATGTCTTCAAACTTCATCACCTCAACTCCTCAGGCTGCTCCAGGTGAGAGGTGAGCATGGTACAGGGGCAGAAAAGCACTTCCCGCCCTCCCTCAACTGCCAGCTGACTGAAGGAGCATCCAGCGACTACGCAGAGCTGGATCCAACTTGGATTCTTCTCCTTCCTCCTGTGGCACATTTATTTACATCTGATCTCTCATTTCTGATTGACTTCACTGGGCTGGGTAGGGACAGTCAAATGGTCAGACCTGGCTGAGGGGACTGTAGAATGCCCAGGTCTGGCTTGCAGGATGGATGGATGGATGGATGGATGGATGGATGGAAGGAAGGAAGGAAGGAAGGAAGGAAGGAAGGAAGGAAGGAAGGAAGGAAGGAAGGAAGGAAGGAAGGAAGGAAGGAAGGAAGGATGTGCAGGAAGAAGATGGTTTAAGAGAATGACTATGGGGGGTCTCAAATGTGTCATATCCTTACTGTTGTTTTTATTTCTGGTTTGGTTATTTTTTGGTCTGTTTTAACCTGATGTAACCTCCCAGAATTGCAATTTGCAAGTTGGTGGCAATAAAAATTGATTAACTAAATGTACAAAAATAGAAGTATTTCTCTTTTTTTAAAGCGTTTTACAGGGTTTTTTTCCTGAGATTTTGCTGAGGTCTTCCTGTTGGTTTTTTTAGGACCCTTGGATGTAACTATTGTGCACACCATTAAGTGAAATCCTCATTCTTTAATTTCTTGAATTCTGATTTTGTACAGAGAAAAACAGACATCCTGCTATCAACAACAGATCTGGATAGGTCCATTTTTTACTGGAAGAGACCAGCATTTTAAAAATCTGGCATTTATTTATTAATTTATTCATTCGTCCAATTTATATGGCTGCTTATCTCACCCTACCCAAGTTGCTAACAATAATTAAAACAGCTTACAAACACCAAATAGAGAACCAACAGCCTGCACATCATGTGCAGCCAAGGCAGAAGCCCACAAATCAGCCCAACCACTGCATGGTCTCCCACATGTACCCAGGTGCCAGGCCCAGAGAGTCAACCTAACCCAGCAAGTGTGTTTTCTCACCAGATTCCCAGTTCACATCCACTTTACACCAACGCTGGAAGGGGAGGTGAATTTTAATCTCATCTGTGATGTTAAGAAGAAAAGCCAGCCGCTCTGTCTGAATGTCAAAGCCACTGGCCACACCATGAATGTCTCTGTGAAGTGTGAAGAAAGCCACGGGGTGGTGACCGAGCTGAACCCTGAGCATCCGAAGCAGATCCACTTCCGTGAGGTGAGAGGGCCGTGAGCAGAGCAGGGCTGGCCTGAACAGACATGCGGGAAGCTTGGAGAGCTTCTGCTGGCTACTAGCCCTTCTTCTGTGTGCTTTGCTTCATTGCTTCCCCCTCAGCACCTTCAGTTTGTGACAGAAAAGGATCGGCTGCATGTCCTGGCCAATTCAATACCCCCTCTCCCAAGAGTCTCTTTCCTCCTCTAGGCTGTGGATCGGAAGGATGATTCGGTGATTTTATAGCTGTCAGTCATGGCCATCCCAAATGGTAGCCCAGGGTCTTCTCCCTCTTGAAGGATCAGACCAGGCTCTGAACTCCTTGGGGGTCTAATCTGTTGGGCTTTTGTAATTCTTTTTTTTTAGGAGCTCTCAACATTTCAGGGGCACATTTGGAATTTTATCCTTTTTCCAAACCGTCCACCAAAAGTTCATAACCATTATCCATCATTGATATTTTGTAAGAAAAAGTTATTTTTTAAAGAAAATCTGGGACCTAAAATAACTTTGGTAATACAACAGTTAACACAATTTTGCCACATATGTCAGCTTTTCTGTAGGTCCTTGTGAGTTTTGTGATGACAGAGAAAAGCTGGTGGATGCTGAAGGAAGGCACAATGGCTGCCTTGGGTGCTATAGAGACCATTCCCTTCTTACCTGACGAGATCTAGACCAATATCTTGAAAGGAGATTTGATTTTCTTGTATGATTGTTTCTACTCTTAAACTCAACTTGGTCTGGAGTCTAATTATATCCCAGGGTGTCCCCTTACATCCTCTCCTCCTGTCCTGCTGAGATAGTTGAGGAAGCTGGGAAGGCAGTACAAACTGCATCCCTGTATACTGGGGTGGGGTGGGGCCAGATTCTAACGGCCTCATGAAACATGGCGTTTCACAGGAACATCCCTGGAGGGTGTAAACAAAAATGCCGAGCTCTCGATGCCTGCACTGGAATTCCCTCCACGGGAACCCCAACCACAGGCTCCCTGGATTTTCCTTTTAGGCAACTCTCTGGGTGTGGCACGTCCTTTCCATTCTCGGGGCCTGTGGCTGGGAGCTGTTGCACCATGAAGTCTGGCCAGGCGCTGATGGGCAGTGAGGAAGATAGGCTGGTGGAGGAGGAAGTGCAAGGCAGGGTGGGCTTTGAGGAGATGCTGGCAGAGCTGGCTTGGGATTCCAGCTGGAGGGAGGAGAGGAAGCGACTGACTGCCTTCTCTCTGCTCTGGATAGATGCAAGTCAATGATTACGCAGAGTGCAACTTCTCCATCCTCAACACCGGCAAATTCAACTTCATCTTTTCCTGGGAGTTTTGCAACGCCAAGAAGTTCCGGCAGTATTTTGCCCTCTCCCCAGAGAGTGGCACTGTGGAAGCTGGAGAACGGGTGGAGACCATGGTCTCCTTTCACCCGCTGAGGGCCTTCACCTTAAAGGACATCGAACTGAAGCTGCAGGTAGGAACCCAGGGGCCCTGTTTTCCAAAAGGCTTCCATTGCACAAGAACCGCCAGGAAGCCATGGATGTCTAGCACCAGTTCCAGGCAGGGAAGAAGGAAGGAAGCTTAGCCAGCGAGAATACCGGCCGGAGAGGGAGGATAGTCATTTATGCTCCTATGTCCAACTTTGTAGCTGAATGACCAGAAATGGTCACAGGGCTCTTAAGGGGAAAAGAGGAGCAGGAAGGAGCAAGGTAGGTTGGCTAGCTTGTGTTGTATATGAAAAAAAGGAGGTATAAAAATATAGAACCCCCCCCCCTTCCTGGCTGAAGTCTCTTTCTGGAGAAAGTATCTAGACATGGTCCCAGGCCTATCCCTGTTTACTCAGAAGACAGCCCCGTGGGTCTTTAACGAGACTTGTTCCTAGCTAAATCTGGCTGTTTTTTAAAATATATTCCTATTCTGCAGTTATTGCATACAAAGTGAAATAACAATTATATCCTTTACATGCTCACTTATATATTTCTGGACATATTGGGTCCCTCTGTGATCTTGGGATACCAAGAAGATGCCAAAAGTGGCACATAAAATAGTAATGCTCTGTTTCACTGCAACAACTATTAAATGAGTTTTTGAAGCTCTCCGAGTTAGTTTCCTGCAGCAAAACCACAGAAACGTAAACATTAGTGGCTTGGTTGTTTGTGCTGTTGCAGCAGCCAAGCCTTGCAGCAAGTCTGCATTTCTTCAGAGAAATCGGCCAGAAATCAGCCGCTCTGTCTTCAGATGCCCACAATGTCCCATTCCTTGATGGGATATTTTCTGCACAAACTCACCACCGTTCCAGACACCTCAAATTCCAGGATATCAACCACTGATCTGAGGGTGATTGTCTTCTAACAAAGAAGGGATGAGGACAATTGTCTCGGAAATAACTGGTCTAAAATGTATCAGATGATCTTTAAATCTCATACATCTTGATTTAACCAAAGATCAAACTTTCTCATAGCACTACACATTAATGGGCTTGCAAATGTAAGAATATCTGATGACTCTTAATAGAATACTTTTCACTGCCTGCACCTTTTGTGTTTCTAGTGTTGCTAGCCTCATCGTGTAGTGTGTGTTAAGTTGTTAAATTTCTCAATGTATTTTGTTATTTATTTTATTTTATTTTATTTTTATATTTAAACTTCTATGCCGCCCTTCTCCCCAGAGGGACTCAGGGCGGCTCACAGCATGTTAAAAAACAACACAAAAAACATTTCCCCTATAAAACCAATTAAAAAGCAAATATATTAATAGCTGTGTCATATTTAATAAAACATATTGAATTCATTGATGTAGCCTAATGCAGAATAATCCATCAGCAATGGAAGTATTCATACATTGTCAGCGATAGTAAAGTAAATGATAAAGCCTCTTTTAAGAATGTCACATCCTCTGCTGAGTGTCTTCCTCCTTTCATAGATAAGCCATGGCCCCACATTTACATGTGTGTTGCAAGGCTCAGTGTTGGCTCCCAGCATCCATTTCTCACCCCTCAGAGTGGACTTTGGCAACTGTTTTATCTACCAAGCTGGGATGCCCATTTCCAAGAGAATCTTGGTGGTCACTAACAAAGACAGCAGGAAAGCCAGGTGAACTGCAGCCTCTTGACGTGTGAACTGGTATGATGGAACAGTAGGTTGTTGTGTGAGGAGAATGCACATCAAGGATGAACTTGGGATTCCCTCCCTCCCACCTGTCCGTTGACATTCCCATGCAAACACAAAATGCTTTATTGCAAAGGGTTACAAAGCCAATGTATTAAAAGTTCTCCACGTAACAACACCCAGGAGTCCTCCCATCCCAAGGTTCGGGCTCTCCTCCATCAACTTTCTCCCCCTTGAGGCTCCTATTTCCCAAATGGCACCTTGGGGTCCAAATCCATTGGCCACACCAGTTTCAGCTCTTGCCCCCCAAGATCCCTGGAGGTGCCAGGAACTTGCAAGACTGGAAGGTGCTGGATTCAAAACCAGCACTCTCCTTGCCTTTCCACAGTCTCATCACCTTTCTCCTCTTGGAATCAGCCCATTGGGGAAGGGGTCAGTGAGATTTCGAAGTCTTTTATAATGCAGGACAAATCACTTCTGGGGAAATAAGCCTAATTTTAACACATGTGGGATTAAATGCTGTTTATTTAGATTTCTTAGTTTTGGAAACTGGTAGCACCACAAAGAAGCCAGGCGTTCCCAATACAGCTTGCAAAGCCAATTAACCATCTTCTTTTCATCTCTTCGAAGTGTGGAGTGCTTGTTCACCAACACAGCCTACCTTGAGATCGGTTTCCATTCTGAAGCTCTGAGTCCCAGAGAAAAAGTGGAGATTCCCATCAGCTTCTATCCCCGAGAAGCCATTTCCTACCATGAAATCGTCTCCTTTGAAATAAATGGGATCTTACAGCGTACTGTAGAGATCTTTGGGAAGGGCATTGAGATGAAGGTGAGATTAGGCAGAGATAGAGAGGGAGACTTGGGGTTCACGGTCCGGTCACTGGCTGCTCAGGCTGCCTCTTCTGTGGGCGAGGGGTTCAGCACCTCCTGCCCGGTTGCTCCTGCAGCTTCGAGAAGTCTGAATTGAAAGCAAGGAGCTAGGCTCTTAGGAGCTGCTCCTCACCCCCATTGTGGTCACCTAAAGTGTGTGTGTGTGTGTGTGTGTGTGTGTGTGTGTGTGCACGCTAAATGGTCCTGATCTTCTATCCACACAACTGAAAAGAGCTTGCACATCCATGATTTGAAAGTGGAGCTTGAAATTGCAGCTGCCTCTGAGTAATGTGGCCAGCCTCAAACCACCAACATTTAGGCCTGGAAAGCTTTTTCAGTGTGTTGCTGATATTGTGAGAAAGGAAAGAAAGAAAGAAAGAAAGAAAGAAAGAAAGAAAGAAAGAAAGAAAGAAAGGAAAGAAAGAAAGAAAGAAAGAAAGAAAGAAAGAAAGAAAGAAAGAAAGAAAGAAAGAAAGAAAGAAAGAAAGAAAGAAAGAAAGAAAGAAAGAAAGAGGGAGCTGGGCCAAATCAGCACATCAGGACCCCACCCTGACTGCGACATGCAGGAACCCACTGAGCCTTCTCTCCCTGGTTCAGCCCTCTAATCTCCTCCCCCTTCTTTCTAATCCCCCCCCCCCAGTTCATTCCACTTGTTCTCTTCCTTAGTCCTGTCTGTTTCTCACTCATAGGTAGATGTTGTGGAGCCTCCCCAGAAAGTGCTGAAATTTGGAGCTATCCCTCCAGGGCACATTGTGAAGAAGGGAGTCACATTAGTGAACAACAGTGTTACCTTTGTCACATTCAACCTAAGTTTTGTGGCCTCCGTCCCGGAGTTGCAGGAAGCCAAGGTAGGACTTGTCCTTCTTGAGATGGTGCCCAGGTGGGCTTGAGCAGGGTGAGCGGCTGGTGGGCACTCCTGCCCCAGGGGTTTCAAGGGGCTGCTCCTGCCCTCCAACTTCAGACATGGCCAGGAAATACAGGCTCCTGGGTGAAGGGCATCATGTCCCTCTCCATTCTCACAGGAATGGCATCATGTGGTAAGCAGCACAGGTCCTCCTGGAGCCTGGGTTCTCCCCTCCTTTCAAGCTGTGCCAGGGAAGGCGCTGCCCATTTGGGGGGCCAACAAGAGAGAGTGCCCAGGGGCAGAGGCAGAGCTGAAGACCAAAAGGCACAGGCCGTGGGTGCTCTTGACTGAGCCCAGTCGGGGAAGCAGCAGCCAACTTACTAGTGCAGCTTCTGTGTCCTTCCAAAGCATCTTGATTGGAAGCAGCTTCCTGAGAAAGCTGGGCTGCCTCGCTGACCTCTCCTGCTTGCAGCTGCCACTCTTAACTTTGGTATAGTTGAGGATGGGCCTCCCGTAAAAATCTGCATTGAAAGCTTCACTTTCTGGAGGGCAAGGAGGAGGAACAGGAGACAGTAGAGGAATGCTGGGTGAGCAGTGCATGATGGGCCTCCTGGTCTCTTGGACACCAGCAGAGCCCAAACTCAGAACTTGTGAGGAGCCAGACCATTGAGGAAGACCAGCTATCTCTTTCTACTGTAAATGTCTCCCCAGTTGAACCTCTGCCTGTCCTGCAGACCCGCTGGACATGAGATTGGCAAGATGGGACTCTTTGCAAGAGAGGAGTGAGATTTTTCCACTTGATGTCTTTGCACAGGTGCTCACTATGTCTCCCAGTGGGGAAATTACCTTGAAGCCCCAGGGGGGCACCTGCCATGTGGAGGTGACGTTCAGTCCGAAGAGCCGCATCCTGCCCTTCTCCGAGGAGGTCCTGCTTGAATGCCAGGGGGTCCTTCACGCCCTCTTCATTGTGCAAGGCTGCTGCCAGGGCATCGAAGTCCACCTGGACCAGGATCACATCCCTTTTGGAGCTGTGGTGCTGCGGAGCCAGGCTTCGCGGCGCATCATGATGCGGAACTCTGGAGACCTCGGAGTGGGGTAAGCCAGCCAGCCCTACCAGGGGGCTTCCTCACCAGCTCTTGTGTCCCTCCTGGCCAATGCAGGGCACCCCAACACGAAAGAAGAAAACAAAATTCCTGGCCAAGGCAGCTTTTCTGCAGCATATGCCGCATGCGTGAATGGGGCTGCTAGTGCCACACACACTAGAGCATGCACAAATGGGCCGCACAAACTGCCTGGGCTAGCAGCGCATGTGCAAATGGGCTGCGGACACCTGCCCCACGCTAGCATTCTTGTTCACGCCCTGTGCATGCGGAAACAGCATGAGTGGGGGGGAAATGCGCGTCCACGTGTGCGTGCACTGGCCAGCCATTTCTGCGGCCCGCTGGCCAAGAGCCCACAGCCTGGGCCACGGACCATAGGTTGGGGACCCTGTGCTAGAGAGAAGTTCCCTGAGGATGGGCTCCAACATGAGTCCAGAATCTGGCCCTCCCTCAATATCTTTTAGTGGCTTTCAATACCATCAACCATGGTATCCTTCTGGACCAGCCCTGGGGATCAGGAGATGCTGTTTTGTGATGTTTCTCCTCCTTTCTCTGTGGTCAGTTCCATTCAGTGTTAGTGCAGGAAGAGGCTGGGCCCTTGCACTGTGAGCTGCCTCAGGACTGGGTCTCTCAAAGCTCCTCTTCACCATCTATATGGAACTGCTGGATGGGGTTATTTGAAGGCACAGCTTGTGGTACCATGAGTATAGATGATGCTGTGGTGTTACTGACCAGGTGCATGAAGGTTATGAGGATCTGGTGGGGAGGAACGGGCAGCTTTGTACAGATTCATCTTGTCTGCCAATTTTGGTTTTTCTTGTCTTGGCTCAGTCACTCCTGCATTGGTCATTTCCTGGTTGGTCTACTGTGGTCTACTGCACACTGTGTGGGGCTGTCCTTGAAGACCACTTGGAAGTTACAACTGGCTCAGAATGCATTGGTGTGCACAGTGTTGGGGAGCCCTAGTTACCCTCATGTTGTGTTGCATGAGCTGCACTGATCCCTAGTTTTCTTCTGGGTGCAGTCCAGGGGCTGGTTATCACTGAAGTCCTCCCTGCCAGAGAGCGGGCCGCCTGTGTGACCACCTCCCCAAGGGCATCTGCCTGTCCCACTAGACCAGGGAGGGTGGGCACATTCCAGGTCTCTTGCCTTAAATGTTGCCATCTAAAGGGGATCTAGGAAACATACCTTTTTTATAGCGGCCTCGCCCTATGGGAGACCTTTTTCCTTTTATTTGATGGGGGGGGGGGCTTAACTTTCTGGAAAGCCAGAATTATCTCTGGGATCAGATGAAGCTAAAACTCAAAGCTGATGTTGTTGTTTGCAACAACAAGAAGGGTGTGTGTGGATTGATTGGGCTTCCAGGTTAGTCCACATTCTATTTTTAATGTTTGCTTTTATCTATGTGTAGTTTTATATGATTATTGTGAGCCATTCAGAGTTCTGGTTCTAGGATGGGTGGTCATAAAGGTCTTTCAAATAAATAAATAAATAAATAAAGCCAGCTCAGAAAGTAGAGTTGTCCACAGGAATCTAGGACAATCTGCTGTGACCAACTTGCTGCAGCCAACTCACTGCAGGACAAAAGTTACATTAATATTGACGAAATGATGGAATTGAGTCATTAAAGGATGCCAAGGGAGGGGGTGCAGCTGCCTGACCTAGGAGCCTTCCTAGCAGGATAAGGCCCAAACTGCAGCAACCTCCCCGGCTCCCCCTCCATTGCTGGGTCCAGTTCAAAGGGCCGATGACGGGCGACCAAGAGCACCGTGACTGGGGCCCTTGTTCTCTTTCCACCCTGTCCCTGCCAGCTGGCCAGTCACGATGAAGACCTTTCCTCTCACATGAGGTTGTATGTGTTAAAACCTGGGGTCTCTCAATGGCTGTCCTTTGCCTTACACAAATTTCGGGTTAGGTAGAGCTCTTGCTTTTTCAGAAGTTGGTTAAAAGACTATTTTCCTGAATGTCTGGAGAGGCTCAGCTTTTAGCTATGGGATTGAATGGTTTCTGGTGTGTTATTTGGTTGATTGTGGATTCGGAATCTGTAAATGTGACCCTTAAGAGGTTTCTGATTGGGGTGATGATACTTAGAAGGAAGAGACACACGTTCAATTTTAACAAATGGAAACCACAAGCCTTACATCATTCTAATACAGGTTTGCCTACTAGGTGAGGTGTCATTTCTGCTCAAGCTATTTTATTCTAGATCCTTTTATGGCAGATGGTGGTGCGATGGTGGTGCCTGACCAAACTCAGATAATCTCAGACAATGCTTTCATGAGAAGCCGCCAGAAATACTTGTTTTGCTAGAATGGGCAATCCTGGGAGAGGGCAAATCATTTCCACAGGCCTGTGGCATTGCCAGGAGCCCTTCTCTCGTGGCTTTCTAAGCATCTGCCATCTGATGCCACCTGCCCTCTCCCCCGGCCTGTTCCCAAGACTTGTTGGCATTTTGCAATGCATGGGAGGGTGGGGGTGAAGAAGGCAGAGGAAGCTGGCTGGCTGAGGAATTCTGGGAGTTTAAGTCCACAAGTTGTAAAGTTGCTACGTTTGGAGCCATCCAGAGTTTCCTGAATGTGCACAACTCCTGAGGGGAACCATTTTCCTTTTCTTTCAAAGCTTCCGATGGGATGCCAAGCGCTTCAGACCAGACTTCTCCATCAAACCAATAGAAGGTTATATTTCTTCAGGAACAAGTGTTTCCTTCGAAGTGACCTTCCACCCCTGTGAGCAGAGTCAGGACATCTGCTATGAAAACCTCCCGTGTCACATCCAAGGTGGAGAACCTGTGAGGCTCACGCTGAGTGGACTGTGTGTGAGCGTCCCGCCTGTCAAAGAGGTGACTGGTGGGGCACCTTGAGCTGGGAATACCTGGGCAAAAGCAAGGATGGTTCACATCCAGTCTAAGGTGTAACTAGGCCACTCCTTGGACCCAAATGTAACCTAAGTCAAGTTACAGGAATCTTGGCAAAAGGAGCCATCAGAACAGAGGTTAAAACAGAGATGCTTTCTCTCCATCTACTCAGTCTCTGATGCAGCCTCTTCAAAGTCAGGTGGTCATCCAATAGCCTATCTGCATACCTCCAGCCTTCGATGTGGAGGAGGCCTCTGTTCCAGAGTTGGGAAGGTCCCAAGTCTGCAGCTGCAACGGCCGTCTGTGGGCACGGGAGGGGCTGGAGCCTTCTCAGTCTTTGTGCTGAGGGGGCAAACTCACCAGCCTTTCTTCTTCCTTGAAGAGTGGTCAAGATAAGAAGGGGAATATGGGTCAGGTAGTGTTGCAATCCAATAAATGTTTTAGTTTTAATATTACTGTACAAACTCTCCAGAACAGGACATTAAAATGTGAAGATTTGTACCTCATTTGTTTACTGCTCACTAGTTCCCACATCTCTCTGAAGATGGTATCTACAAGCCATAGATGCCCCTTTTGTTTCAATGATCAATCTTGAATTTTCTTAAAGCAGCTGTGACTTAGGTCTCAACGTGATTTCCAGCATTGCACCCGGGGCCCCACAGATTCCATAGGCCTGCTTAGATTGTAAAACTGGCAGGCTGCAAGCATATCTCAAGCTGAATTAAAGCAATTGAGATACCTACAGAAACAGGATGGGGTTGGAAACATTTGAAGGCCTAGTCAGAAACAGACACTGCATAAACTCCTTTATTGTTATAGGGTATAAGAATTTTTAAAACATTTTGCTCATCAGAACAGAGCTGGAAGGGACCTTGGAGGTTTTCTAGTCTGATCCCATGCTCAAGCAGGAGACCCTACACCTTTTCAGACAGATGGCTGTCCAGTCTCTTCTTTAAAAACCCCAGTGATGAAGCACCACAACTTCTGGAGGCAAGCTGTTCCACTGGTTAATTGTCCTCACTGTTAGGAAGTTTCTCCTTAATTCCAGGTTGCTTCTCTCCTTGATTAGTTTCCATCCATTGTTTCTTGTTCTGCCTACAGGTGCTTTGGTAAATAAATTGACCTGCTTCTCTCTGTGGCAGCCCCTCAAATACTGAAATACTGTTCTCACCTCAGTCCTTCTTCTCTCTAGACTAGCCATATCCAATTCCTGCAACCGTTCCTCGTGTTTTTGTCTCCAAGCCTTTAATCATCTTAGTTGCTCTTCTTTGCACTTTTTCCAAAATCTCAACACCTTTTTTTGTAATGTGGTGACCAAAACTGGATGCAATATTCCAGGTGATGTCTTACTAAGGCTTTATAAAGCGGTACTAATATTTCACGTGATTTTGATTCTATGCCTGTTTATACATCCAAGGATTGTATTAGCTTTTTTGGCTGCTGCTGCACATGGCTGACTCATGTTTAAGTGATAGTCCACTAGGACTCCAAGGTCCTTCCCACAGTTACTGTTTTTTAGCCAGGTTTCACTTAATCTGTACTTGTACGTTAGGTTTTTCCTGCCATGTAAAGCCTTGCTTTTCTCCACCTGACAGAAATTCTCTCTATCCCCTTATACCCAAGAGAACCAAGGTGTGGCAATCTTAAGATTTTTCCCCCTCCTTCCCTCTTATTTAGCCGGGTCAGTGTGAGATTTATACGACAGTTGTTGAATTCTTTTTCAAGGCAATCTCCTGCCCACTTAATGTCTTGTATGTCAGTTTTTCTCTCTGATGGCAGCCATTGTGTGTGTCTGCTCCTAACATGCCGTCAGTATTGTATTCATTTTGGCACAAGTGCTCCAACTTTGAACCTACATGACGATTTTGAAAAAGGTCATACATTAGATGAAATTCATGGGCATGAAACTGATCGACTACTAGAAGCCCCTGAAGATAACAGCAGCTCACAGATCTGATAAGTGGAGAAAGAAATGTGTATTCAGATGAAGGCTCTCAGATATCTCAAGTAATAAAATAGCACTGTTTGTAAAGGGGAGGGGAAGGCTTTTTTAGCCACATACGGCTCTAGTGCAGAGATGGGAAGAGTGGGGGGCTCCCTTGATCACTCTAGCTCCTTTTTTCTTGACACCTTCAGTGGGGAGGTCCTCTCCACTTATTTTGCGCCAATGATTTGTCTGGTGAGGTTTTCAAGGAAGGAAAGAAGGTCTGCACTTCTTAGCAAACCATCCACGTACGTTAAGTCCCCCAACAGTGGAGTGAATGAACAGAAGGCATTCTTGTAAATAAAATTCAGAAGGATTTTTAGTCGTTGTGTATTAGTAAAAGTGACCTAAAAAGGTCTGGTGACTCCTCCTGATTTCTGACTACCATAAACTAACATGACTCTTCCACAATTTCTTGCAGGTGGTAAATTTCATATGCCAGGTGCGTGGAAAGCAGACACAGACCATCATGCTATCCAACAAGACCAACCAACCGTGGATGTTGCGGCCCATTATTGAGGGAGAGCAGTGGAAAGGGCCAGAGTACACCAGGGTGGAGGCCCACCAGCAGAACAAGCCCTATGAAGTCACATACAGGCCTCTGGCTATGAATGTAGAAAACAAGAAGGACCAGGTATTTCAGAAACAAACAGCAAAAGGAGGAGAAAGATGGGGGGGGGCTCAGAAGCTGGGCTGGATGAGGGTTGTTCTATGCAAAGAGGGATCCTTGCATTTCTTTGTACATTCAGTTGCCATTTTATTAGATCCACACTGCCCACAAAAGCTTGCAGCCTGACTAACCTTGTTCCTTTTGTGCATGAGCATCATCTAAGCTAATCCTTGGCCTGAGCAGAAAGTAATTCTGTGGTTGCTGCTGCTACAGATGTTTCCTGTCCACCAGTAGCGTTGTATGGCCTTTATTTTTGTTGTGGTTCTTCAGTGCTATCCAAGATAGCTTGGATGGAAAGTTCATACTTCTTTCAAGCTGAGGGTGAACCACAATAACTGAGAATTAACATGCGAAAAAGGCCAGATATAGCGAAGGTAAAGAGGCTGAATCCAGGGCAGAGAACTTCCAAGGGTGGGCCCCACAACAGCCCTTTGGAGGGAAAGAATTCCTGGCCCTTCTTGGGGTATGTTCCAAACCCTCCATAGTGGAAGGCCTGCAGGGTCTTGTCCAGTAGAGTAGCTACTCTTTGGGGGTCCCTGTGCTCTGATTTAGCCTTAGTTATCTAATAGTGTTTAAAGCAGTGCATTTGGATAACTGCTTATGAGCAGGATCGCCCAAAGTTTTCTGCTGTCTGGCTCTAGGTCCATCATACTTGTCCTGGAGAAACTTTTGACTCAAGCTTTGGAGCAGCAGCACATCACAGCTGGCCATCACAGAAGAATGCTTGCTTAGCTAGTTTTGACTCTTTTAGAACTCTTGCAAAAGCCAGTTGAGAAAGACGACTATCTCAGTTGGGGATGGCTTAGAACAGTGAAGAAATGTTGCCTGAAACTCTCCTCTTTCTCCAGGGCTCCATCTTCTTCCCCCTCCCAGATGGAACAGGGCTGCTTTACCTCCTGCAAGGCACTGCTGAGCCTCCCAAGTCAGCTGGGAATATCATGAGGGAAATTCCGTGCAAAACATCCTACACGGAACTGCTTCCCATCACCAACTGGTTGAGCAAGCTGCAAAGGTAAATGTGGAAAAACGGCTGGGCAGGGCTGGCAACCTCACCCTAGGCAACAGAGGAAGATCTGAGGGGGGGGGAGGAGAGGTTGCAATCACACAGGAGCCCACAGGTTTCAATGGGCATTAAGAGTTTGCACCCCCAATTTTCCTTTGGTTGTTTGAGGCCCCCATTGTCTTCTCCAGCCGTTGATCCCAGGTTCTACCAAAGCAATAGGAGAGAGGTGTTTGTTACCTTATTTGTAAAAATAATGAAAGTGGGATATAAATAAAATCAATAAATCCCTAAGAGCCCTAAAGTTAGTTTTTCACATCTTGCCTGCTCTTGGGGGCTTCTGTGCCCCTTTGCAGAGAAAATATGTTGCTAGTGAAGCATTGCTAGAGTAGAAAAAGCTTCCATGAGTGTCAATGGGTATGTCAGAACTTGGAGAGCCATTTCATGGGGAGTGTAATTGTTTGGCAAGCTGGACTGGAAGCAGTTAATCCAAAAAGAAAGTCTCTCCTTGCGAATATTTGTTTGGAAGGAAGGTTACATCACAACTACACCCCTCCTTTCAAATTCTGAAAGGCATTACTAGGATCTTTTGTGAAAACAGGGGCCAGTCTACACTGCACTGGCAACTTCTGTTAGACTTCTTCCACAGTGAGAAGTTAAGTGGACCATTCCTTCAGAGGGTTCCATTTTGGCTAGAATGCTCCTTTGGGATTTGTTAAGAATGTTATAGTTATTACTATTTATTAAATTTCATACATTGCCTCCCCTACATGGAATTGCTGGGAAAGATTTTCTGAAATATGTTTTGAAATTCAGGCCAATTACAAATAACCTGGTAACAGACCCAATAAGGGTGACAATTTGAGCTGTAATCCAAGGTACAAGTAGCCTTTGGTTAATAACAGTAATTGGGACCAGGAAGTCCTTCATTAAGCAATTCACTTGCAGCATCACATAATCACACCAACTTACAACAGCTTTAGTTTTGGAGGTTATGCGAATCCTGCACGGTTGCTAGGTGTAACATTACGGGATCACCATTTGTGACCTCCTCCGGCTTCTCCATGGATTTTGCTTGTTGGAAGGTGGCAGCGAATGTTGCAAATGGCGATCGTGTGACTACAGGACATTGCAATTATTGTTAAGTGCAAGCCAGTTGCCAACAATCACATGACCACAGGGGTGCTGGGACAGCTGGGACTTTGAGGTAGCTGTCATTGTATTTATTTAGTAGAGAAAGCACAGGTGGTGAAAAACTCGTTGAGGTAGTTTTTAGGCTAGGAATTAAATGACTGCCTCTTCTGACTAGGTTTCGGGTAATGGTTGACATGATAAAGCCGGAAAAACTGGAAGTCACAACCACCCTGAAAACTCTGGACTACATTGAAGTGCCAGCTTCCACCAAGAAGGATCACAAGCTCACCTTCTTCTCTTACAAAGAGGGCATGTACACCGCCAAGGTACATGGGTCTATGACCCTGAAAGCTTCTTAGGCTTTTTCTTGACCCGGCATCTTTGTAGAAAGAGCAGCTCTTTGGCACAATTTAATTCAGAAATACAATTTTTTGGGGGTTACAATTATTTGGCCATTGCTTTTCACCAAGAATATGCATCAGTTGAGAATAAATATCCTGCCTTTTTTTGTGTACCCTGTCCAAGCAGGACCACTAAGAGCAAGCAGACCTCTGAATTGTTTCAGGGATGCTCTCTGCCTTCCACTCAAAGGCCCCTCAGTAGCAGAGGCAGGCAGGAGGGTCAGCATGGGTGCCAGAGGCCTTGCGTCTTCAACTTGCCCGGTCTTGCATGGCCTCCAACAGGATGTCTAGGGCTGATTGACTAGATAGTTCTCAAGACTCTCATGTCATTTCAGATCACCTTCCGCAATGAGGCCACCCAGGAATTCTTATTCTACCTGATCACATTTAAGGCCACCCCATGTGGCCCACTAGGCACCCTTGAGTTGACCACAGCTGTCCGGCAAAGCACCTCCTCCTCAGTCAAGGTGGAAAATCCGCTACACTACCAGGTGTCCTTCAGTACGGACTGCAAGGTGCCAGACATCAACCTGCCTCCTCAGTTCATGGTCCCTGCTCAGTCTGAGGTACATGCTAGACTCCAGAGCTCAGCAGATCCTCAGCATCTTTTACCCTGACCTCTTGCTTGCCTTTCATTTCCATTCTTTGAGAAAATGGAGTTTCCTTTCCTTTCCTATCTCGGCTTTTGTTCGATCCTTTCCTTTTTCCCAATTCTTGCAGTGATATCATAGAAGCCTTACCTCTGAAGGTCTTAATATGCCCCTCTCCCCAAGAAGCCATTATTGGATGCAACAATCCTGGATAATTTCTGACTAATGTTGAGAGGGTGGTCAAACAACGGTCCAAAGGAAGATTGACTGGAGCCATTCCAGTCAGGTCTCAGGCCAGGGTATAGTACAGAGACAGCACTGGTGATCTTTGGCAGAGCCCCAGTGGTCTTATAGAATCACAGGTCTGGAAGGGACCTTGGAGGCCTTCCAGTCCAATCCCCTGCCTGCCCAAAGCAGGAGCCCTTGTACCATCCTGGACAAATGGCTGTCCAATTCTTTTCTTGAAAATGTTTCTTATTCCTTACATATTGAAAGAAACTTTTTGTTATTCTTGGCTCCTTCCTTGCAGATTCAGGCTTTTTGCTGATATTCAGTTCTAGTTATGTGCCCCTTTCCCCTTTTTTAATAGTTGTCTTTTTTGTCCCTCAGTTTGTCAGAGTTCTTTATGTAGCAGCCTTTACTACCATCAGTCACAGTGCCCTGCAAGGGAATGGGGGATGTTGTGTTGTGGTGGTTCTCCTCCTTTCCATGTGGGTACTGCAGGCTGTGTGGACAGGTGGACTCCATGGTTCCCTCACTTGTGGGCTTCAGGGCTCGATGCTTTCCCATATTGCTTCGATGCTTCCCTGAAACTGCTGGAAGAAACCCTGCACTGGTTCAAGGTCAATTTTATATATCTTAATCCCAAACCATATTTTATAGTCATAATTTGAGGATTACTTGTATCTCTGAAGATCTCAATCAATCAATCAATCAGACTATAGCTAGAAGGGACCTTGGTGGTCTTCCAGTCCAACCCCCTGCTCAAGCAGGAGACCCTATACCATTTCAGATAGATGCCAGCACTGGTTTATTTTTCAAATTTTCAAACTGAACAAATTGCCTTTAAAATGAGAATCTTAACCATTCAGTAATTTCAAACTTATCCAAATTTAGGTTTTATAGTCATTTCATTTCATTTCAATACGTTTTGATCCTCCATAAAAGGTTTAATTCGCCACTTCCATTAGTAAAAGGGTGGGGCAAAAATCCCCCTCCTTCACTTTTGGAGGTTTTTTGCTTCTTGGGTTTTTTTTTCAGGAAAGTTGATAAGTAGGATAGAGAAAATCGATGTTTTTACCCAGATTCAAACGCGCTGTTTACAACCAGCTTAAAATAGTGCTTTTGACTTCGGTTGCTTGCAGCTTGGGCTAGACTCTGAAGTTAGGCTAGCCTTTCCCCTGTTGGTTTCTGGAAGGCTTCTCCTGGACTGATCGCGTTGACTGCCGTCTCTCCGAGGTCCCCAGGACTTCCTTCTTTGCCGCCTCTTCAGGGAGGCTTCTGGCCCATTTAGGCAGTGGCATGTGTGGTTTTTGCTGCCCCTACTATGGCCTGTCATATTTCTCTCAGTGTCGAGTTGTTGTATTAACACATTTTGATGGACTTTATCAACACGGTGGCCAACTAACTGCACAGCTAAATGATCAGAAAATGTGATTCTAATGTGATTCTTTGGCTGTGAGGACACCATACCTGCCTTTCCCTTCTAGTCGTTGCAGATTCTGAGCTTACCTCAGTTTCCCTCTTTCTGCTTGGCTCTCACCCCTTTGTGCCCGTTGTCTTCCCCATCATCGCCCCTCCGTCCTGCGGCCCGGGATCTTATCCTCCCGTCCCCTCCTCAGATCCCTTTCCTTCCTGCCTTGCCAGGGAACGCTCGTCTTCGAATTCCTGCCAACGAGGCCTGGGGAGACCAGTGGCCGCCTGGCCCTCAACAGCAGCGATCTGGGCTCTTTCCAGTACGATCTGATCCTAAAGGCCACGCCGGCCCGCCCGGAGAAGCCCCTCTGCTTCTCGGCCATGCTGGGCAGCAGCCAGACTTTGGTGGCCAAGTTCGTCAACTACACCCGCCAGAAGACGGAGTACTCCAGCAAGGTGGGCGCCCGGCCCGGCCCTCGCGCCTCCCTTCCCTGCTGGATCCGGTTCCGCTGGCCGAGACCGGCACGGCCGGCCCCGGAACCCGCATGCCGGGTGCAGTGGGGGCGGCGGCGGCGGCGGCGGGTTCCGCAGGGGGGCCAACGCGCCTCTCCTCTCTTCTCCACCCGCAGATCGACAGCCCGGACTTCCAAGCCGAGAAGGTCATCAGCGCGCCCGCGGGCGCCCAGACGGGTACCGAGGTGGGCGTGGAGGTGACCTTCGAGCCGTGCCAGCTGGGCGAGGCCCGGGGGACCCTCCTGCTCTCCTCGGCGGCGGGCGGCGACTACTCGATCCCGCTGCGGGGCACGGCGCTGCCCCCCCGGCCGCAGGGCCCCGTGCAGATCCGCCTGGGCGGCAGCGTGGCGCTGCCTTTCAAGAACGTCTTCCTGCAGCCGGCCGCCTTCAGCTACGCCGTGGACAGCGCCGCCTTCTCGGTGCGCGCCGCCGAGACCATCCGCCCCAAAAAGACCGCCACCATCTCCGTGGCCTTCGAGGGCGCCGGCGGCGGGAGCAGGGCGCCGGTCACCGGCAAGCTGGTGGTCTCCTGCCCGCGCGCCGCCGGACTGGGCTCGCCCGTCAGCTGGGTCTACTACCTGAGGGGGATCCCGCCGGAGAAGTAATAAAGTTGTTTTTCAGACATGAAAGAGAGTCCGCGGCCTCTTTTGGGACAGGGGGACTTCCGGGGGCGGGCCTTCGGAGGGAGTCGCGGGTTCCGGTTCTTCGGCCTTCGCGCAGGGGGCGCTTTTTCGCCCCGCGGGGTGGGATGACGTCGCGCGGGAGGGAGACGCGAAGGGACTACAGCTTCCGGGATGCTCGGGTGCGGTGTCATGTGACAACCAATATGGCCACCTCCCGGTAGCCGCTGCCGCCGCCGGCCCTTCACGCGGCCGCGATGAACCCGGAGAAGGACTTCTCGCCGCTGACGCCCAGCATCGTGCGCGCCCTGAACGACAAGCTGTACGAGAAGCGGAAGGTGGCGGCGCTGGAGATCGAGAAGTGAGCGCGGGGCCGGGCGGGCGGGCTGGGGCCGGTGGGCGGCGAGACAAGCCCACACTCGGCTCTCTCCTCCTGCAGGCTGGTGCGCGAGTTCGTGGCGCAGAACAGCGCGGCGCAGATCAAGCACGTGATCCAGACGCTCTCGGTGGAGTTCGCGCTCTCGCAGCACCCGCACAGCCGCAAAGGGGGCCTGATCGGCCTGGCCGCCTGCTCCATCGCCTTGGGCAAGGTGGGCGCTGCGGGCCGGAATAGGGCTGGGCAGGCGGGGCAGGCTCCGGCGCCCGGCATCCCTCTGTGCTCGGGCCCCGAAGGCTCTGGTAGCCGCGAAGCAGAGAAGCGGCGGGGAAGAAGGTTGGCTTGTGGCTCTTTGAAGCGAGGCTGGGTGTGCCGGGATGGGGACGTCTCTGGGGCCGCCCTTTGCTGCTGCTGGCCTGTGGCAAGGAAGCCCCCGAGGAGAGAGGGCCGAGGTGGGGGGCGCGATCGAGATTAGAAAAGTGGCCTCTCCCCATCCCCGCCCTAGGAGAGGCCTGGGTGGCGGAGGCGTTGCCCGCAAATAACCGGCTCTGGGGTCGGTGGTGGAGTTCTCCTGGCAAATGGAGTGGTGTTTGAGACGGCCTCCATGACAGTAGTGGACTTGATCCCGCCTGATGAGTTCATAGGGGCAGTGGCAGAACTGCTGAGCCCCCCCCCCCCGCCAGCTCCCAGCTCTTGGTGTTGTTTCCTGCAGGGAGGCTGGAAGTATTTGAGTGGTCTCCCCTAGGACACCAGTGGACCCTGCTGGGTTCTAGAGGCAGTTGGAGGTTGTTCCCAAAGGCTGAGTGCATGGTTTGGCCAGAGCCCCAATCACTCCCTGGAATAAGAGGACAGCAGGGGCTTTGCACTAGATTGTGCCCGTGCAGCCTTTCTTCTCTCATGAATCCTGAGGTTTTCCTGGTTTATGGAGCTGCCGAGATGGAGGAAATGGGAGAAGAGATGCCTCAAGCACCACTGGAGAACTACAACGGGTGAATTCCAAGCACAAACCAGTTAAAGCTCCCCTCTTGGTGGTAAGGGCAGTGAAACATCAGTATTTCTCCACTGCGGTTGTATCTGCATAAGCCACAACCATCTTTAAAGTAACCCAGATCTTCCTTGGAAGGACAAACAATAGAAGAATGCTTTATTGGCCAACTGTGATTGGACACACAAGGCATTTGTCTTCAGTGCATAAGTGTACATACAAGCAACAAGTGATAATCATGATAATAATCATAAAATACAATCCTCATAAATCGTGATACAATACTTAGTGATAGGCATGGGATACTAAATAAAGGCAATCAACATAAATCATGAGATACAAACAACAAAGGTATCATCATAAGAAGCTAAGGAAATGGGTAATCGGAAAGATGAGAAGGATAATAGTAATACTACATGGCTTGACATCCTAGAACCTAAGACAGTGTTGTGGGAATTAGTTGTTTAGCAGAATGATAGCATGGGGGAAAACTGTCTTTGTGTCTGGTTGTTTTGGCGTGTAACACCCTATAGTGACATTCTGAGGGGAGAAGTTGAAACAATGTATGTCCAGGATGTGAGGGGTCTGTAGATATTTTCTGGTTTGTGCAGTATACAAGTCCTTAATGGAAGGCAGGCTGGTTGCAGTTTTTTCTGCAGTCCTAACTATCCGTTGAAGTCTATGTCTGTCCTGTTTATTGCTGTGCCAAACCAGACAGTTAAGGAGGTGCAAATGACTCAATAATTCCTCTTTAGAACTATATCAGCAGCTATTGGTTCATGTTTACAAGCTGACCTTAATCTAAGCTCTGATAAACTAAGAAATTGCTGTCAGAATGAGATTCTGAGTCATTGTTTTTTGCTGACTCAAGCTGCTTTCTTCTTGGAGTCCTACATGTGGACCTCCCATCAGCAACTGGGATGGTGGGGGAAGATTCAGAGACACCCAGCAGGACAGCAGCAGTTCAGAAGAAGAGCAGACCAAAAGCAGGTCTTAGCTGCTCTTTTTCTTGGCATCCAGCTCCTCTGTGAGGGGAGAGTCTTGGTTGGAGCATCCCTTTTAGTTTAGGTCTCTTGGGTCAAGCTCCAGGCTCAGCAGTCCCAAGTCATGGAGCTGGAAAGGAGGCTGAAAAGATAACAGAAGCAGACAGGAATGCCCTGCAGGCCAAAGTTATGGGGGGGGGCTCTTTAGCTTAGGACAAAGGAGGTGAGGCATCGCATCCTAAAGTAATGGGGGCCATGAGTTTTGATAGCTACGAAGTTGGCATTGGGTGACCCAAGAACAAAGAGATGGTGATTGTCTCCCTTTGCCATGCCCAACGAGGGGAGACCTTGCTAAGCCAGTCCTGATGGTCTCCATTGCGGCTCGGTTGCCAGGATTCTGGTCTGTACCTGAAGGAGCTCATCGAGCCGGTCCTGACGTGCTTTGGAGATGTTGACAGCCGGTTGCGCTATTATGCCTGTGAGGCCCTGTACAACATTGTGAAGGTGGCCCGGGGCGCCATTGTCCCCCACTTCAACGTGCTCTTTGATGGCCTGAGCAAGGTAACCACTGGTGAGCAGAGCCTGCAGGTAGAAAACAGTTCCTGGGGGAGGGGTTCCTCCAGCAATCTGGAGAAGGGGTAGAGGACCATTCGTGTCCTTGGGGCTCCCCAGATTGAGCTCTGGCACTGGAGGCTGACCCATGGGGTGGGATCTGTCCTGGGTTACACCCCATCCAGGCTCCCTGAAGGGCCTCTGAAGATGGACAGGAGGCGAGGGCAAAGGCCTCCATACACAGAAGGGGAAGTTGCAGCGTCAACCTGGATCTTGGGAGGAGCAGGAGGTTCAGACCTTGCCAGCATGTCCTGCAGGCTCCTCCTCTGGTCTTTTATTCTTCCCAGCTTGCTGCAGATCCTGACCCGAATGTCAAAAGCGGCTCTGAGCTTCTGGATCGCCTTCTGAAGGTACAGCTTCTTGTCCCATCGAAATGGGTGACTGGAGGGAGGGGCCTGAAGGGGGGGAAACATCTGGGATTTGGGGGGACAGCTCTGAACCAGAAGGTGGAATTTGGGCTTCTGAGCAAATGTTCCCTCTTGGCTTTCAACCTACACAGAAACTTAGAGGCAATTGTGGTGTAAGGAAAGGTCCAGTTTGGGGACCATTGAGGACTCGTGTCTTGCATGTGTGCCTGGTCCTTTCCGAGTCGTTCCCTCACCTGCTTCCCATCTTTGGGACTGTCACTTGCTTCCCTGGCATCTTCAGAGATTCTTTGAGCCAGTGGCATGGTATGAGAGCCATTCCCTGGGGCTGCCTGCAAACACCCCATATTAGCTGAGTTTTTTTAAAAAACAAAAGAGTCCTGTCCCTCCTCCTCTTCCTACTTTGTCTGCCCAGAGCTGGAAAGGCAACCTGGCCTTGCTGTGGAGGAGCTGCCCTTCCTGGTCCCTACTGGTGGTAGAGCTGAGGTGATGCGTCTGCCCGGCCTGCTGATGGGCCTCTCAGCTGCACACTGGGCCACCAAAGGCCACAGATCCAGTGGAGTAGTCAGAACATGGGAAGCTCCTCCCTTTGCATGAGCATCTGATTTAAATCAAGACAGAGGCTGAGGCTTGAACGAGTAAAATTTATAAAGAAAACAGGAGTTTATAGGCATTTGAAAAATAAAAGCAGTTTTGTTAAAACAATAAATGTAGCATTCAATATGGAATACATTAGAATAGCGCTGTGGGACAATTGAAGCAAAAGCATTTTTCATGGCAACAATGTGACCATAATATGATTCAGACAGGGATGTGGTTCCCATCTTCAAGAAAGGGGAAAAAACGGACCCAGGAAACTACAGACTAATCAGTTTAACATCAATACCTGGGAAGATCCCAGAAAAGATAATCAAAACACAGATCTGCAAACAACTAGAAGCAAACAAAGTTATAACTAGTAGCTCATTCTTTGATAAAGTGACTAAACTAGTAGACCAGTGAAATGCTGTGGACATAGTATATTTAGATTTCAGTAAGACATTTGACAAAGTAGACTACAACTTACTTCTTAGTAAGCTAGAAAAAGGTGGAATAGACAACATCACCACCAGATGGATCTGTAGCTGGCTGGCAAACCGTACTCAACGAGTAGTCCTCAACGGCACTACATCCACATGGAGAGAAGTAAGCAGTGAGTACCACAAGGTTCTGTCTTAGATCCAGTACTCTTCAATATCTTCATCAATGACTTAGATCAAATTTGCAGATGACACCAAACTGGCAGGAGTATCCCAACACCCCAGAAGACAAACTCAGGATCCAAAAAGATCTTGACAGACATGAATAATGGGCCCCATCCAACAAAATGAGTTTCCATGTGAAGAAAAGCACAGTTTTACATTTAGACAGGAAAAATCAAAGGTATAAGTACAGATTAGACCTGGCTTAAAAACAGCAACTGTGAGAGGGACCTTGGAGTCTTAGTGGACGATCACTTGAGTATGAGCCAGCAGTGTGCAGCAGCAGCCAAAAAAGCTAATACAATCCTGGGTTGTATAAACAGAGGCATAGAATCAAGATCACGTGAAGTATTAGTACCGATTTATAAAACCCTACTAAGACCACACCTGGAATACTGCAGCTAATTTTGGTCACCATATCAC